ATCTAAAAAGTCTTAATTAGATTTACAACATGTATTTGTACTAGTGAAAAATTTATAAACTGTATAAATCTTGAGAGAAATTCTAATCTTCACCTTCAGCCATTTCCTTCCTTTTTTTGCTTTACTAAAATTATACAGCCTTGTTTTGTCTGCTTTTCTCTCTGAAAATCGTATAATACATACAACATATACTGTAAATCACTTTCATTTTCACAAGACAAGAGCAATGCATTTAATTGCAAAATATAATTTTGCTAACCCCATGTGTGAAAAGAAAAAGTCTTAATGTTTGCATAGTTAGTATTATTCTCAAGATAATCATTTTCACAGCAAAGTCACAAAATTACTTGAAGATACAGTTATTGCAAACAAACTATGATTTACAGATTTACAGAACATAGATCTGAGGAAATCAATTAATCACTGAGAACATCCAAATAACAATCAAAAGAGGAGGCTATTAAAATGTTAAGGATAGAAACTGTTGACTGACATTACCTGCTTTGGTGATTGTTATCCCATTCAGAATTTTATTGTCATCTTCATCACGTAAACAAGGCTGTAGGAAATCAAACTCACTATCTGTGCTATCAAACTCATCATTGCTGATAGAAGAAAATGATAACTGATACAAAAATTCATTTTTGTCTGATTACAATATGACTTAATCCACAATAAATGTCCATGACGTGTAATTTATAAACATATTTTCTCATGACAGAAGTTACAGAAGCAGGGGAACAAAAAGGAAATACTGCATTACACATTTTACATGCTCCTAAAATATATATAGTAATGCACTGTATGTAGATCCATGTAATATGGGCATTAAAAACATTTTCATAATGTTTGACATGCTTGAAGTACACTTTGCTATCAAAGAGTTCAAAATAATAAACATTAACTGTAATGTTACCTGTACCTGACAGGTTCTTTCACCAGGTTTTCCACATAAGAAAGAAGTGGTTCTAATCTGAGGGCATGTTCCAACTGCTGGAAGTGAACAGGTTCTGCAAGCTGCTGTCCATAATCATGATCCATCGTGGCAGACATATCTAGTTCCAGATGCCTTTAAACCTGTTATCATCATATATGCTTTTAAAATAAACACTAAACCATGTGCTTTACAAAATAATTCCATAAAAATTTCTTTTTCTTGTCATAAGAGCAACCTTTGAAGTCTCATCTGAATTCCTTTCCTTTGCAATTTTCCCTCAAACATACCAATTTGGGATAAAAATCTTGCTCTTAATCCAACCACTTTTTATATAAATTTCCAGCTCTAAAATCAAGAAGAATATGTTAAAAATCAAAGTGAAAGTAGAACTTTCAGAATTTAAACAATGTGTCTATAGAAATACCCTACATCGAATCATACTGGATTTGCAGATCTACTAACTTTCCTTTCACTGTTTCCTCAATTAATTTGTAAAATTCACTAAACTCTTTCATACAATTTAAAGGATGATTTTTCTTTCAAAGACGAAACAAGTGCTAAAAATAAATCTCCATCAATTTATTGCTCTCTCTCCTCCCCACCTGTCAAGATCTCCTTACATTGTCCAAAACTATGTGCCGATATTGCTTATATGCATCTCCGACTGTAACTTAACTTTATCATTACGATTTTTATCCAGCGACTATATTTTCCCTCTGTCTTACATTACCCCTTTCACCCACCACCCCACTCTTCATCACTGATCACACGTGCGCCGCTTACCTTTATTTTTACTCCTTAGCAGACGAAAAAGCACCGGTGTTGAAATTCTATGTGACAGAAAATGTCAATCTTTGGAGCAAAAATCATCTTTCCTTACATTCTCGATTACCTTAAAACTCAACAAATATGGCGGCTTTCGTGCTTTACAGAGATGTAATGGCTGGTCGGCGTCGCAAAACATTGCTCGGCTCATGACTGCCAATGCGCGTCGCGGGGGGTCCAACGCCATTCATTTTATGTTTATGTAAACAAATTAAATTTCTTTTTACTATGCTTGTTAACACTTTTCTGGATCTATTTTCAACTACAATAAGCTTCATAATGTTCTTTTTACACGATTAAAAAAATGAAAAAAATAAATCACTGTGATTTGATACTTTTATCCGGTCTTTTCCGGAAATTTGTACAGCGCAAGAACACTGGTCAAGTAAATTTTATTTATAGTCGGCATGTACATATATATATAGGGTGAGTTAACCATGCATCGGACACATACCTTGCTTCGGACAACTTTAAGCAATAATCTTTCATTGGACCCGAGTCTCCTCGTGTTTTTACTTGTTTCTGTCTTAAAGGGGAAGATTTAAACTTTTTAATGATGCCGATTTTTATTTTCATGTTGTGATAAAAATACCATAAGAATGGCCTTGAAGTTACGTCATATTTTGCATCATCAAAGGGGAGTAACCAGAATTTTACGATTTTGCAATTTTTAGAGTTGTCGTTCTTTTAAATAGACGTCAACGGAACGGGTCGGACCTAGGTAAAATTTATCAATAATTGATTATTTTACAGAAATTTTTCAAAAATTTTACTTCAATGTTTGAATAATATATTTTACAGTTGTTTTTATCTAGTATATTTATTTCACCGTACATCGGACACAAATTAACCATGCATCGGACACTTTCCGATGCATGGGTAATCACTTCCATTTTCATATAAAACCCAAATGACAGCTGTTTTTTACGGAAATAAAAAATAGAAACTCTAAATATTCGGTGAAAATACAAATAATCGATATATGACGACTAGAAGTGGACTCAATTTATTTCTTTAAACTAGATGATGATAACCCACGAGACAAAGGCGCGAGTTGCCATATTACTAGTACTGTAAAGCCTTTCTAAGGCGATATGATGCAACTAAAATCTCTTCACATTTGTGGATCGAAAAAGTCATTCAAATTTAATTAGAAGTTTAATTTTTAAATAAAAGATAAAAATGTTTCGATATCACTCATTTTAAAGCACGGAGATCAAGGTATGATATTTTTCTGGTTTAAATATCGTATGTCCGATGCATGGTGAATATTGTCCGATCCATGGTGAATTCTTACTTATTCCGAAAAAATCGGTTTAAAATGATATTTTCTCAATATATAGGGCGCGGTTGTGTCAAAAATTTATATTTTAACCACATACTACATATTAAGTTCCATTTTGATAATATTCGGTCGGTAGCGATATCGCTAGAACTTGTTGAAGTGCGAGGGTGTCCGATGCATGGTGAATTCACCCTATATATATATATATACAGTATAACAGAATAATATGAGCTGTGATAGTTCTTTAACCGACTTTAACTAATTTACACAAAGATAAAAGTTCTTAAAAATATACACGTTTAGTTAAAAAAAACTGGTGTTCAATCAGTATCATTTATTTTCTCCCTCGTTTTACTCCTCCGAAAATAAATATTTTCTTGACTAATTTATTGAAAAACAAAGAAAAAGAATATTTCATAGGATTGTTGCGTTCGTTACAAATCGCATTTTTATTCAATATAACACAAATGACATGTATAAATTTTACAAAGTAAACAATGACAGGGCTGGGCGGGCAAGAGAAATAATAATAAATAATATTTAAGAAATAAGGTATCATTTTAAAATTTTTACCGGGATGTAAATACGGGTTGGTCATGTGATCAAATCCCAGAAAGCCCGAAGTATTTGCTACAAGGTCATTGTATCGACCATAGAACTTACGAAATTATGACTTTAAACGAAACTGTTGATATTCTTGTTTCATCAACGTGTTTGTCAATAAATTTTAGAAATTGTTCATACGTAGAGCATGCTCTTGCGTATCGAATCAGCTGAGAGATATAAAGATATAAACCCAATATGCAGGTGATATGGGTGTATTGCTGCATAAGTAAGGGAAATTGACGATTGAAAAGTTAAAGTCATCAGGTTTATCATAAAGCTTTGTAGTTAGGTTACCATTAAAGTCTTTTTCTAGTGAAATATCCAAACTGATATGAAACAGATATGTCAGACTCTGTGGTATCTTTTATTTCAAGCTCACTGGGATATATCGAGTCGACATTTAAATGGAAGTAACTATTGTTAATACGTCGTCGATATACATGTATCTAAATGTCGAGTTAAAGGCTACAACAAGTGTTAAATTCTTCTCATGTAGAAGTTATTGAATAAATTCTGCTTCATATGAATATAAAAATAGGTCTGTCAATAAGTGGGCGCAATTGGTACCCATGAGAATTCCAACAAATTGTTGGAAGCATAGGCGTCGGACCGGGGGGGGGGGGGGGGCTAGGGGGGCTTAGCCCCCCTTTTTTTGCAAAGATAGACATACTATAGGCATTGAACACTGGGGCGTAGGTTTACAACAACAACAACAACCCCGAAATAGGATTTTCGTGTTTGGACAATTTTCAATTTTCCTGTTTTATTTTTTTTTATTTATTTTTTTTTTTTGTTTGCTTGTCAAGTTTTTTGGGTGTTTGATTTTTTTTCTTACAATTAGCCTCCCCCCCCCCCCCCGCCACTTTCAATTTGCTTCCGACGCCTATGGGAAGCCATGATCTCTAAAAACTACAGTAGATGTCAATCAGAAACTCAAGCATCTTTTTTTAAATATCAACAGCAGAGTACTTGTGTGTACAATCAAAATGTTTTTTAACAAAATAATTTAGCAAATGAACAATAACAAGGTAATTATATTTACGGGTTCCATTTTTATTGAAAAGCAGCTGTCTACAATGTACTTAGGATGTCAAAATTAATTAAAGTACGTTACTCAGTTACACTAACGACGTCGTCATTTTTTAGCTAGCTTGTTTATTGATTAATTGATTGACATATTTACGTATTTAATTTTTTTGAATTTTAAATGATTTTTTCTTTCTTTTTTTTTTTTACAAATTTAACAATAAAATTTTATTTTTTTTAATCACAAAACGTCACGTTTTTATCCGAATGAAAAATCTTCGACTGCTCTATGGCGCTTTACATTTCAAGCGTTCAAGTGAACGTTCCACGCCATATTACGAAAATTTGTGAAACGAGGTCAGTTACTGAAAGTGTGTGTACAAGCTTATCTTTAAAAAAAAAAAAAAAGATAGGTGAGCTAGCACTGTAGCCATCATAAAACACAGAAGTAAATATCTGAACCATTGGTTTAATTAGCTGATTAATTATAAATGGGAAGACACTGGGGGGGGGGGGGGTCTTAATATCAGAATGAATGCCATTGGGATTCACATCGGCTATGGCAAAACTAATTACTTATGCTTTATGCATTGTGTAGTTTGCTGTAATTTCAATTTTGAGGTGAAAATTAAGAGATCAGTAGAACCAGTGAGCACCTAGTTTTAAAATATCCAAGTGTGGTACTGTTAGTTAAGAAAAGCTAGGTTTTTAATTTTAGATAAAATGACCGTTAGGGCGAGCGCAGATCCGTCTCTTCAAACCACACATGACGTTTTGTACATCTAGACCCTGACGTCATATGACGTAAGTAAGTTGCATTACCAAACCGAAGCCTGAGCAGTGCTAATTTAATGAAGAATGTTTAATCTACTATTTATCTGCAATATTCATTAAAGCAAAGCAGTGATTCATTTTGGTCTGCGTCCTGCATAAATTATGCACAAATTTTGCTCAGGTTGCATTATTTCAATAAATGTGCATTCCAATGGATGCAATAAATTTATAGAAGGACATGTTAAATTATTTCGGTACAATCTTATTCAAAACTTGACCGATTGCATCATATCCTAGTTAGAATAATGTAACTGTGTCTCAGGACAAGCCCTCACCACCGGGTCCGTAGGACATTTATCATTTTAACGATAGAACATTCTATCTAATCATATCCATGTGCTAAGCTATATGCATGAACAATTTTAACAGGTATAAAGTTGCCAACAACAATTCAGATTTCACAATTGCAGTTAACAAGCAATTATCAGAAAATATTTGAAAGTTAGACAGCATAGTTCAATTATCACTGATGATATCTATACTGTGAAACATTTCTGAAGCGTATAGTATACCTTAAGTTGTACTTAAGCTGTAACCTGTATCATTTTTTTTTCTGTTTTTTCCTTAAAAGCTAAAAAGTATAAAATTTAATCATTTTTGTTTCTGAATATATTTCATTTCTTCTTAAACTTTCTTTACTTCATACTGCTTCTGTGCATTTTATGACTGATACAATGTGCGAGATCAAATGTACGATCTAAAAATAGAACTAAAGTGCACAGTTGAGAATATATTGTTTTTATGACACAAAATCATGTACTCTTGGACAATTGATTGTAAAAGTATAAACCACTCACAGCTACAATAAAACATTTGCACTTTCATGCAATACCCTTTTATATTTCACCAGAATTTCCTCTGTAATATCTAATATACGGTACCCTTGGATTTGGACGCATTGATTTTGGCATGGGACTCATTGTTGTCATTAAAAGGGGTCCTCTGGACCCATGATAACCATTTTCAAAATGAATCACTGGCAAAGTGAGTTACTTTTGTTGTTACTGCGAGAAAGTAGTTTGCGATGAGATGCAATTCGCAAAAGATTGTGGGTCCAGAGGTTACTGAGGAAAAAATTCATTTGGATCAATGTGCTAGTCCGAATTTTCTCTTTGCCCAGGTGTTGTCGTTTCGGGCCACTTGCTGCACTCGCTATTAACGAGGTTCGCTCCTGAGCTTTTGAGCAAATTTTTATCTTAACCTATATTTCAAAAATTCTGCATAATGTTTTAATTCTTACAATAAATTTGAATTCTACAATGCCAATTTAACTATATTCAGTTAAAACTCCATGATTAAATTCCATACTAAAAGCATTAAGTGAGGAACTATATTTTGTGGCGGAAGGTTTTTTAGAAGAAAATGATCATTTTTTCTCTTTCAAAGTATTTAAAGTATGCTAAGTTTGGATTCCTATTTTTGCATGCAGTCTGCACACATAGTTATTTTGTGCATTGGACTGTTTTATATTGGTCCTAAATTATCTATTAAATAAACTGTCATGAATTCTATCATCATATATGATAAATATAGCAAATATATTGTGAACATGAAGAAAAAAATAGCCCTAATTTAAGCTTAAAATTAGCACTGTTTTAGTAATATCTAAAAATTAACATCACAGACCCCCACTTTTGATTTTCTTTTCTGAATATATACGATACTTTTAACCATTCTTCTTAAATTCAGTAAAATGTCATTACTTTCAAATGATTTTTTTGCTTGTGAAATTTTTAATCCCAGAAAAATGAAAATGTCTGAGTGCAAAAAGGTCAAATAATTGAACATGCGGAGTAATTTGAAAATTTCTTCATTGTCACAAATTTTAATGTGTCTATTTAAGATGAAATAAGACCGTTTTTGTCCCCATTATTTATTTGAACAAAAATTATTGGAGTAGAAACTTTAAAAAATTGATTTATGTGTAAGGCGTATTTACAGTGCAAAAAGGTCAAACTAAATGCTCTGTAGCGCCAAAAGAAGCGCATTGACCCCCATTTTTTGTTTTGATTTTTAATAAAGCTATGTGTATAATTTCTAAAAATATACTTGATAAAAAATTCTCATTACTTTTGATTGCAGGATCCAACCTCCTTAAGGAAATAATCAGAATTCCTTCACAAAATCGTCACCTACATAAACAAGTGCAGAATTCCCATGCTTTTTTTTTTACACCCCCCCTTTCATGTACGTTGTTGCAATTGTCATCCATGTTTCTCCCTTTCTTTTTTGATCACCTGGGCAACCAATCAAACAATTTAAACCATTGGAAAATGATCTTTCTCGAACATGGTCAAATGTTTGATTTAACTACAGAGAAGCATTAATGTTAATTTTCAGGTAGGAAATAAAAGGAAAGATGAAGTTTTCACTTTTACTTCATTAAATTTTGTAAGTGAAGGCTTTATGCTTCAAAAAATAGGATATAAAGCGAGATCATGATATAATTGCAACTGTCACTTAGTGAAACTTTTAATTAAAATCATCAATCAGATATGTTGAGATTTATCATAAACATGCATCCAGAACCACAAAAGGTCACACAGAATTTGCAACTTAATTCATCCTAAAAGAAAATGAAAAATAAAATGATGAATTCAATTAAGAAAAAATGAATATTATTGCAATTAGTGCCCACCGCACCAATAAAGTATAAGGAGCTCATGTTAAAGAGGATTTTTTAGAGCTTAAAAATGATGAAGGCCAAAAGAGCAATTGAAATTAAACTTCTCCAAAGTTGAATCATAGGATATAAAACAATTTTTATCCACCAGAGAAGAAGAATATTTTTTTTGCATTAACTGAGTAAGAAGTTAGACTTTTATGTATAACTACAGATATTGTTTTTACGAAGCTCTGCGGAAATTTCACATGGAAAATCAACCGTACTGCATTAATTGTGTGAGGAATATGTTCAGTAAAATTCTCTGATGCCGTTGCGCCTTTTCTTTATTTCAGTAGAAATCAGATGCCATCAAGTAAACAGAAATAACCACATGTGGTCAGTTATTTTGACTCTGATATGAGTAATTGACCACCAAACAAAAACATTTGATTAAAAATTTTGACTCTGATATGGGTAATTGACCACCAAATGGGGGGTAAAACACCTGATTATTAAGTTATTTTGACTCTGATATGGGTAATTGACCACCAAATGGGGGATAAAACACCTGATTAAGTTATTACAAATTTTACAAGCTATACAGACCTCAAAATTTTAATAATGTTTCCTTACAAATTTTTTATTATTCCCAGGTTATAAGTTCTGAGACTACAAAAATCAGATAAGCTCGATAAAATGACATCATATATGTTAATCATTTAATGACATCTTTTATGCAAGTGCTTCATTTTATTATTATGACAGGTCAGAGTTATCAAACAAATCATTTGTTGTTAGCCTAACTTTCAATTTTATTGCTTTAAATTGCTTTTTTATTGCGTCAAGCTCTTGGAGCTCGGACATCATCTAGCAAGCGCCCAGTTGAAATCGCAACCAGATGTACGCGACCGAATGTGTCGGTCAGTGCATCCGCAGTAGAAAATAGCAATAGCTATAAACCAATTTCTTTGAAAATGCTCACAATGAATAATATTGTTTTTGTTTAACACTTGACTATTTTTTTTACCTGTAGGTAAGCATGGGAACAAGAGTGTACATTGGACATTTGTCCTACCATGCAAGGGAGAGAGATGTGGAGAGGTTTTTCAAGGGTTATGGAAGAATCAGGGATGTTATGCTGAAAAATGGTTATGGTTTTGTTGTAAGTGTTCTTGTTCATGGACAAACCTTTTCCAAAGAAAAAAATTTGAAAATCACAAAGACTTTATATGCCCAGAGATTACAATTTCAAATAGTTATTACTCTTCTGATGAAAAACCACTGTAGGTGAAATGTGCAATAAAATACAGCATATCAAACTTACTTGATGTATTTTAATTTGAAGAGTATGTCAATTACCATAATTTTAATAAATTTCATTACATTCATGATAAAAAAGCACACACATTTTCTGATGAATAACAACTTTTACTGGACCTGCAAGCAACAGATATTAAGCCCTGTTTACCAACCAATACTTATATAAATTTTTGTATTTAGCATTAAACATCCAAAGTCATTTACCAGATGTGTAAATCACTCACTTTCATAGCTTGAAAATACCTGTACAACTTGATGATTATTCCTGCCGAGATTTTAAGAATTACAGCTCTTAAAGTAAATTGGACCAAAACTTCTCTCTCTTTTGAAAATTTGTGAAGTTTTAGGGCATCTGTTTTCCCCAAGGCACTCCCTAGACTGGTCCTTATTTGATTGGATGCAATTCTTGATGGCTGGAATTAATTAATAGGCTTAACATCTTGTGATACCAATGAGAACATAGCCTGCTCTGTAGTAGAGTGTGATCATTTTGAATTTGATTATGCAGGGTTCGACACTAACTTTTTTACCTTGGTGGACCGCAGGTCCACTCGTCAAAAATTATTGGTGGACCTTCTCAAATTCTGGTGGACCTTCATAAATGTTTGAATTAATGAATAAATTCATTATACAAGGCTTGAAACTAACTTATGTACCCAGTCCAGTCAGACTAATAAAGTATAACTTAACCAGTCAACAGAATCAAATCAATTAGTCAGGAGTTTTCAGCAATATTGTTAAACATATTTTCAATAATTCAAAAAAAAAAAAAAAAAAAAAAAACACAATCTATATCTTCAAACAATGGTAAAAACCTGCATTTATTTCGCTTCCAACGGTAGATAAAAGTTAAATCCCAATTGTTCATATAAAAAAGGAAATTTTTCATGCATCTATGGCTAAAATTTTTTTTTACTACAATGCAAAACGGACAAAAGTGTATGTATTTATTTATTATTTATATGTATTTATTTATTATTATTTTTAATTATTATTTATTCAAATAAACTGCGATAATATGATTCTTTTATGTGATATAATGTTTAGCAGAAAAAAAAACAGGAACTGCAGATACATGTAATGTATTCGTAAAATATAAATCACACCTGTTTGAAGATCTAAAAAATAAACAATGCATAAATGCAGCTGTCAATCAATTCTAATTATCTCTAAACCTGGCCATCAGTGTGCGTTCAGGCGTGAAGTGATTTCCTGTTACCCAGTGTACATTTTCACACCTTTCTGTGCATTAAACAAACAAATGACAGACTGACTAATTTGACACAAATTTTACATGCTACTTTTTAAAGGTCTGTGTTAAATGTTCTTGCGTCTCAATGTTGTTGTTGTTCTAGTCATCAATATTATATGTAAATAGAGGATATTCAATTTTTTGTAGATGAATATGGAATTTATTTCACCAGTGGGACAGGATTTTTTGATATTTTCACGAGTGCGAAGCACGAGTTAAAATATAAAAAAAAATCGTGTCTCACGAGTGAAATAAATTCCATATTCATCTACAAAACATTGAATTTTCTGTTTATTACATTTTCTTTGATTTTCCCTTTGCCTCTGTCTTTTCTTAACACAGTGTCATAGGCTTGATGTCATAGTTGAGCGGTTGAGACATCATAGCTTAGCAGTTGTGTGATTGAAAACATTACATAGCATGGATTTTAGCAACATATTTGGGAAGAAATTTGCAGTTTTAGCTCTATCAAGATGCTTAGTTACTATCTCTATCATATGACAGGCCAGAAATTATTTTTTACTTACTTTGATATCCTTTCACACTGTGAGAGAATATCATTTTTGGTATCCTTTCACACTGTGAGAGAATATCACTTTTATTCAATGAATAAATCACGGTATTTCACCGAGGAAAATGTAATAAAATATATAATTAGTCGCTAGGTTCCCCTGATTAAAACAAATATTACCATATTTATTTCTTGTAATAAGTATGGATGAATTAATCGTTTTATTTACGGATGTCGATTTATAGGGGAAAAAATGGAATTTTACTGTGTTTTTTTTTAATACGGTGTTTAAATTTTAAGTGGACCGACGGTCCACGTAGTCCAGAACATTTGGTGGACCTTCCAATTTTTTGGTGGACTCGGGCCGCCGGTCCACCGTTAGTGTCGAACCCTGTTATGTATATCATATGAGTTCTTGGAATTTCAGGTAATTTAATTTTCTATTACAGGAATTTGATGACAGCAGAGATGCTGAAGATGCAGTATATGAATTGAATGGAAAAGAACTTTGTGGTGAAAGGTATCATTTTCATATGAACATACTGGTATTGAAACTACGTTGTCATCTTATATGCAATTGAAGGTACTTCACTATGTGTTTGTTGAAATAAACATCACAATAAGGAAAAAATGTTCCACTTTTACAGAATTACTAATGGGTGCATTTTTACAGGGTGTCTGTTGAACATGCACGGGGTACTGTTCGTGGTGGTGGAGGAGGAGGGGGATATCGGGGGGACAATTACTACAGAGACAGCAGCTACAACAGGAGACCAATGTGGATTGACAAGTAAGAGAAATCACATAATAAAACTGTAATCACTGATAAGTAATAAAATGGTAATCACTGATAAGTAATAAAACTGTTATCATTGATATGTAATAAAACTGTAATTGCTGATAAGTAATAAAACCTTAATCAATGGTAATAACTGATAAGTAATAAAATGGTAATCACTTATAAGTAATAAAATGGTAATCACTTATAAGTAATAAAATGGTAATCACTGATAAGTAATAAAATGGTAATCACTGATAAGTAATAAAATGGTAATCACTGATAAGTAATAAAACTGTTATCACTGATAAGTAATAAAACTGTAATTGCTGATAAGTAATAAAACCTTAATCAATGGTAATAACTGATAAGTAATAAAATGGCAATCACTGATAAGTACAGTCAAACCTGTATTAAGAGACCTTCCAACGGAGAAAGGAAAAAAGGTCACATATGACAGGTGGTCTCTTAATACAGGTTGCTTATTTTCAGCAGTGTTCAAATATACAATGCTGAAAATATTACACGTTTATGTGGAATGTATTTTATAGGTACTGCTCAACTCTAAACGCTTTTATATTATAGGTACAATTGTCCTGTTCAGTAATAAAATTTGCTTGATCTGCACATGAGTAATTTGATTATTGGGAAATACTGTGAACATCTGAAAATATTAAATGTTTTTTATGTGCATTAAGTATAAAAAAGCTGCAAAGATTTTTTCTAATAATATATTTTTTTTTTTAATACATGATAGCCTATATATATATAGCTTCGTATGTTTTGCAAATTACTAAGAATTAAAACTGTATCATGATTTTTGTTATGTACTTGGTAACAAATTAAATTATATTTATGACTAAAAATTTACTTAACCTAATTAATTTTTTTTCATTACTGAACTACCGCGTCTAATTGCCTGTTTGTCACCTACTTCAATCACTTCAATTATCACCTGGTATGGGTGCTGCTAGCGTGTGTTTATTTACCCCGTTGGTGACACAATTCACTTAAATAAACATCTAGGCTTAAGTTACTTGTTAATTAAAAATTAAACAGGCAGGTTTTATAGCTGAATATCCATTTGGCCCTTATAGCACGAAATGATATCGGGATCGACCTCGAACGTCTATTTTCAAAATGGCACTCGATCATTGGAGAGAAAAAAACGTGAATGTTTATGCATTAGATTTTAATGTTTATTCAATAAATATCAAAACGTAAGTAAAACTATTTATTTTGAAATGTTGTTTTATTCTTAAAACTCGCATTATATAATTATTAAATGAAATAAAAGCGTGTCTGTAGATGTTTTGAACCAAAAAAACGTAGCATGCTCGACCAAAATCGAAAGTAGGAATGGGAAATTATATAGTCGTTAAATCCAGTTAAAATTGCCTGAAATTACAAAAAATGGTCAGGAAAATCACCGTCGGTGGTCGCGTTAGACAGGTGGTCGTTTAATACAGGTATAAAATATAGGGAAAAGCGTTGGGAGGAATTCTTACGGTCACATATGACAGTGAGTCGCTTAATACAGTGGGTCGCTATGGCAGTTTTAACTGTAATAAAATGGTAATCACTAATAAATAATAAAACTGTAATCAACTTTAATGGAAATGTTGTCTCTGATAAGCAATAGAACTGTAATCACTGATATGTAATGGAACTGTAATTGCTGATAAGAACTGTAGTCAATGACAAGTAATAGAAATGTAATTATTGATAAGTAATAGAAGATGTATATTATCCAGGTATGGTCCACCCACAAGAACAGAGTATCGGGTGACTGTAGAAAACCTCTCCTCCCGAGTCAGCTGGCAGGTAAGATGATTTGACAAGGAGGAAATTCTTCACTTTCAGGAAAAACCACTTCTTATTCATACCATATCAAATTTCTTGTAGCGTAAAAAAGTCATGGATTTTAAATCCAAAGTGTAAATTTTCCAAATTTGTAATTTTTTGATTTGATGATTAATATTTAAGAGTGTTAAATGATTAAATCTTCATCATTTCTCTCATAAGCTTACAATGCTGTAGATGTCAGAGGCCTGATCTGACTGAGGCTCTGATGAAGGGAAATAACTGAGGGATGAAGAGAGAGAACTGATGACAGTCCTCTGATGTTTTCTGGCTGTCTGTCTCTGATTTGATGTGACGAGGGGCGATGGGTTCTGGCTGTCTAGAGCCAGTCTAGCATGATGAGATATCTGATGATTGATGTTAAACAGCTGTTATCAGAAGCTAGTCTAATTTTGTGAATCCCAGTTGAAATAATAGCATGTCAATCTACTCAATGATACATACATGTCAGACATAATGTCAGAGTCAAAATTTTTCCATCTAGAGGCACATTCCAAACCAGTGATTAATTTTGATTTCAAATAGAAGAAATATTGAATTGGGGAATTTATTGCAAAATTAATCATAAAGAGGAGTAAAAAGTAGTTTCATATTTATTCACATGTTTATGCAAAAAAAAACTGTCAATTATTATCAGATTAACATTAAAAACTTAAAATGGCCTGCGAATGGTGTAAATATTTATTGGCCATTAGAACAACAAATAATTTAAAACAGAAGATATGATGTTGGTAAATGTGAAGTTTGTGATGACGAATTCTGGCTGGTTTCTGTCGGGGGTCAGATGTTCTGGTGACAGCCTATCAGTGCTAGATGAGCCAGGGCTTTCAGATGTTTTTTCTAGAAAAATGCCAAGGGAGGTAATTCATACACAGTCACTGTTCATACCTGTCAAATCAGCAACCCTTTGTGTCAATAAATAATAAAATAATGATAATGAAAAAGAATAGGATTTTAAATATATTAGGGTTGGGATACAATACGTATCTAGTTATTAGAACACGATACGATACATGTATCTCGATATTATGATAAATTAGAAAACTATAATAAATTTAGTATTTTATTTCAATATTTGTCTTCTTAACAAATCAATGCATGTATCATAAACCGTATCTTAGCAGAAAATATTGGTATGTATCTATGTATTGGTATGTCGTCCCACCTCTTAAATGTATTCAAGTCTGATTTTTGTTCATTTGGACCTCTCAAAAATGGAGGCTAATGGCTCTTCACCATTTTGGTCAATACACCAATGTTTTCTGACCAAAATATTGAGATGTCTGAGCTTTATACACAAGGAAGCCATGCTGAATAGATTATACCCATTAACACGATTAATTTTCAGGCCAAAAAGTTACCTGGATTTCTGACCACATCAGAAGTTTTCATATCAAAATCTTGTGTCCTTTAGTAGACATCTAATTTCATATAAAGGTTGATTATAACAAACACACACATACACACAGGGGGCTATACAGTAAAACTCACTCATAGAGAAGTGCCATCACTGTAACCATGGATTACTGTATGTAAACAATTTCATGTTCAGAGTAATTAAACTGGTTGCTGAATTTGACAGGTTATGGTAGGTTTTAAGTTAGGTACATGTACCTCAGCTTAATATTGTCGTGTGTTAGGTTTATGTTTTCTGTATGTTGAAGGACTTGAAGGACTACATGAGACAAGCAGGGGAGGTAACCTATGCTGATGCCCATAAACAACACAAAAATGAAGGGTGAGCAGAAAGCGTTCATGTTTAACAGGAAAAACAGTGAAATCAGTTGTCTGAAATTTTAATGTGATAGTGAAAAGCTTTTTAATAAAGAATCTTTTAAAATAAATGTGTTGGTTTCAGTGTTGTGGAGTTTGCCTCTTACTCTGATATGAAGAGGGCTGTGGATAAGTTGGATGGTACAGAAATTAACGGCAGAAAAATTCGACTGATTGAGAACAAGTCCAGGAGAAGCAGAAGGTAACTCTACGTTACAGAGAGACACCTCATAAAATTCACATTTCTTATGTGACGCATTCCTATTGAGTCATTTCATGTATAAAATGGTGAGGAACAATTGCAATGCTTTTGAAATAAACTGATAATATACATAATATTTTATTTTCAGAGATTCTAGGAGTCGTTCAAGATCTAGGAGCCGCAGCAGATCCAGGCGAACTCGATCCAGGAGTCGTTCAAGGAGCAGATCCAGAAGTAGATCCCGCAAGAGGAGGCCATCATCAAGGAGCAGAAGTAAATCTCGCAGCCACAGTCAATCAAGGTCAAGATCAAGGTCAAAGTCTAAATCCAGGTCCAAGTCCAAATCTAAATCCAGGTCTCGTTCCAAGTCCAGATCACCTTCTAGGTCAAGGTCCAGAACCCCCATAAAGGAGGAAATTAAGGAAGAAATTAAGGAGGAGATAAAGGAAGAGGATAACTGACCACCGGGGCATGAAGAACATCGAGCTGTCAGTGTGACTAAGTGAGGAGGCATCAACTGGATTCTAGAGGGATTTGTCTTGTATCAGCTGTTTTCAATTTGGACACAATATAGTGTCTGTTATCATCATGTTTGTTTGTGTTGTTTTAGTATCATGACATTCTACATTTACAACCTTTATGAGTTGTAAAGATGTTCATGTCGTACTACTTGTACATAAAAATAAATTCCCTACATGACAAAAATGATTTGTTTGATGGTAAAGTTGATTTCTAAATGATATCCATTAATAAATTTTGGCATAAAACAAGATAAGAAGATTTTGTGCATCAAACAAGAACTTGTTTATATTTTAACCACAGAAAAGTGTTGGCTAAGAAAAAAAAACTTCCAGTTGATTCTGATTTAGAATATGAATTTCAGATAGATGAGATGTATCTCTCAAGATTTGGATAGCCGACATATCAATCTGCTTCACCTCCTTTAAGATTTTGGTAAAGGTGAAATGGTTGAATATAAGAGAATTAAGATGTATCATATTACAATGAAACAGATTAGAGCAAGTAGAGGAACAATTTTGATTTGTTAAAAACATAATCCATTGTATCCCAAGAGTCCATAAATTGTTTATTGTAACTACATTGCATAGGAAATGAAAATAGTGTGACTATCAATATATGTGCTGTTAGACACATACCAGTTGTACACCTTCAAATATCCAACTTTTTCGCCTAGTCATAGAAATTGAATATGTGTTAAAAACACCCTCCTCAACCTGTAAAACATATTAGTTATTTGGGTGCACTATTGGGCTAGATTGACCAAATGCGCATGTGCAGATATTGTGTTTAATGACAGTAAAGTGCACAATAAACAAATACTGGTATTGTGGTTTGATGTCAATTTACGATATACAAATACATCGTGGTTAATGCAACCATAATGCACAACAAATAATTGTAGTTTGATGACGCCACAATTTCATGATATATAACAAATATTGTGGTCTGATGACACAATGCACGATAAACTTTTGTTATACCTTTAAAAAATGGTTCATATATATAAATCAATAATTAAAAAAAAAATCTTTCACTGAGCGGTCATAAAATATTCGATGTATGACTGCAGAGTGAAATATTGGACCGTCGATGAGGACCGCTTACGTCACACCGGGGGCGGGATCAGCTAAATCATGTTAGTATTTAGGTCCCTGGTTTTACTGTAGTACGGGTTAAGGAAATTTACATCTTGGAAGCCAGGACAAGATACATGATGTATGTAAAAAAAATAATAATAAATGAAAAGTATAACAAAACATTGACTGCTTCTCGGGCAAAATGCGTTTTGTCGACCCCTCAAACGAAACTGTTTGCCTTCGGCCTACCGGATATTTTGGTTCTTGTGTCCGACAAAACGCATGTTGCCCTCGAACTCAGCCAGTAAATGTACATGTATAATATAGTATCTGGTTTGATGACACCGCAGTGCACGATAAACAATTAAATATTGTTACTTGAAGACACCACAGTGCACGATAAACAAATATTGTGACTCGATGACACCACAGTGCACGATAAACAAATATTGTTACTTGAAGACACCACAGTGCACGATAAACAAATATTGTGACTCGATGACACCACAGTGCACGATAAACAAATATTGTGACTTGATGACACAACAGTGCACGATAAACAAATATTGTGACTCGATGACACCACAGTGCACGATAAACAAATTTTGTGACTTGAAGACACCACAGTGCACGATAAACAAATATTGTGACTTGATGACACAACAGTGCACGATAAACATGCTACCACAATGCATGATATGATTAACACCACAATATTGTGGTTTTCAGCTACACACCGACACCAAGATAACTTGATAACCAATCCCATGTAAACACAAAATGTTACATTCGATTTTTATTGACAGTATGTCAACTATTAAGAAAATTCAATATTTTGATTTTAAAGAAACAGATACATTATCACTAAGCAGTCCCTCATTTGATAAATTCCTCAGTTTCTGGGCTTGCCGGATCACAGGGTTCCGACTGCTGTACTGACCACACGTCCATTTGTTGGTTTATGGGCTCCACCTCTAAAAATTCCTCCTGGGACAGTCTGGGCCACTTAACAATTATGGCCCGAGCCACAATTAAGAGAAAAACGATGAAAACTACGACCAGAATAACACATGCCGCGGCTACGATGTTCTCCTGTAGACTTGTGTCACCGCCCATCCTGTTAAAGAAGACATCGTCAAAACTGAAAAATGTAGACCCCATAAAAATAGTGTATCACCATAATAATAGTAAACAATATGTGTTGGTGTTTTCCGACGGATGCAGGTTAAAGTATATGTCTTCCGTTAGGGAAAAAAAAAGATCGCTATAAGTACTGCTACTTGACGTACATTACAGGATCATCTGCACAGAGCATCCCCCCCCCCCCCCCGAAAAAAAATTTAAATTGTGTTTGCCATTAATATACATGTATACATGTAGCAAAATAACTGAACCATCTCATACCTAAAACGTCTTAAAACAATTAAACACTAAAATTCATTTAAAATTTCAGTTACTTTAAGATTTTATTTAAAAAATAAAACAGCATCCACTTAATTAAGTCTTATCTTTTAATAGATTAAACTTACCTGATTCTTTTTTGTAATTTCTGTAGATTTTATTTTTAAATTCCGTGATTCGAGTTTCCAACAAATCACTGCTCGTCCAGTGTTGGTACAATTTCACTTTCTGACATTTCTAAATAATTTGATTACTGACAGCACATGATCAATAAAGCGCCTTAGCAGCTGAATGAGAGTTTGAATAAAAGGAAAATTAGCTATGCCATCTCCTTTTTGAGCTTTGTCTTTGTCAGGCTCAATCTGATATATCTAATTTGACGTATAAATCAGCGAAGATGAGCAAAGAGGAAAGAAGAATTGGAGCCAGTTGGGATGGCGGAGAAATTGAACAGCGAGAATAATTCAAATGACGTGACAGTTCAAACTACGCAGAACCTCGCTTTATCACGGACGGCGGCCTCTCGAATACAGCACCCGATAATTGTCCCCAGATTTTATGACTCCGAGTCATGCATATTTAAAAAACCTTAAAGAAGGAACCAAAAAAAAAAAAAGAAAATAAAATAAAACTGAATATGAAAAAACATGCAGCTATTTTCCTGTGCTATCTGTTGCTTGTTGTTTCTAGAATATTTAAGGACATTTTGAGATGATCCTGATTTGGGTTCAGACTGCAATATATATATATATATATATATATATATATATATATATATATATATATATATATATATATATATATATATATATATATATATATATATATATTAGGGATGGCAATCGATTACAGAATTGCTAATCGGTTAACCGCAAGACGTTCCGACCGATTAACCGGTTAATCGTATCAAAATGCAAGTTTTCTTGACAATTGTGTTTCAAGTAGCTCTGTTCATATACAAAAAAAGACTCAGATAAGAGGATAGAAGTTAAAACATTCCATTAGTCTTGATTCTGGATCAGAAAAGTACGGGTACATATTTTTTTTTATTTCAGTAGACAAGAACAAAAAATGAGAAAACCATGAAAAAAAGCTAAAGAAATCTTTGATAATTTTCCAGAGCAGATATCACAAAAGTTCTTTCTGCAATTTCACTATGATAATCAAAACTACATGCGATCTTTATAGCCCTTAATTTACAATGTTTGTTTAATAAATTGGATTAAAAAATGGAAAACGACAAACACGCCAATTCACAGTGCTCAATGATTCAATTATTATCAATGAAGAATTACAGGACAGTCGAGGGTAACGACATGATGTTTTCACAGTAATTAACACTACATGAACTGACCAATTACGTTACGCTCTCAATCTGGAGATTCATAATTACATGTACGTCCGAATTAGATCCGTTAAATCCTAAATGATCATCCTTTGTGCAGAAATTCCTTTTTTTTTAAATAAAATTTTTAAAAATGTGTTTAATATAACAAATATTTTATTTTTTCCGATTAACCGATTACAGATTTTCTAATCGATTGCCGTCGTTCCGACCGAGTAATCGGTTAACCGGTTACAAATTGCCATCCCTAATATATATATATATATATATATATATATATATATATATATATATATATATATATATATATATATATATATATATATATATATATATATATATATATATATATATATCTTGCAGTCTGAACCCAAATCATTATGAGGAATGTGAACGAGTATTCGAGTACTCGACTGTCGTTCGGTCATACCGACTATCGACTAAATATTTTTTTTAACTGAGTTTTTCGTTAAAAATGTGCTACTTTCTGGTGAATCTTCATTTTAAGGTGATAAAATTAGAATCGCCTTATTTTAGACAGTAAAACTCGCTTAAGGGCAAGACCTAAAATCGTTCTTCGTTCATTGTTCTCGGTAAGGAATTATTTGTTTTTTAATTTTTGATCGGAAAATATACATGTACTTAAAAAATGTGCAGCATGAGCGTATTTTAAAAGGTTTCATAATGGAAAAGACTGGAAAATGAAAATAACGTAAAGCTGAACTGGAGTTTTGTGTCTAAACTTCAAAATTATTATATCATTTTACATAATTAAAGGCCGACAGCATTCAAATCCGTCGAAATCTTTAATTGAAGCTTTTCTCTTAAGTTCCCCGCAAAAAAGCCTAGGTGCAGAGCCCGAAAAAAAAACTGATACTATTACAACATGATCGTAATGGATTTTCTGCCTCTAAGTGCTGGAAATGGAGAGGACTTTAAAGAATTATTTGGATTTTAGCTTCAAATAAAAAAAATCCGACTAGCAATCGAGAAAGATTACTCGTAATCATGTGCATCCATATACATGTAATTTAGGAAACATTCATATGCGTAATTAACTCTTGTTTTTCATGTATCAATTCATTTCGTGATTGTATTGGTTATTTACACAACATTTCATAATCAACATTTATCGCAAGCTTTCCATGTTTGATAAGAAGAACATTTAATTAACCTTTTACCAGTTTGCTGGAACTGGATTTTTTTTGTTTGTTTATTTCTTTCAGACCATACAATGGTATATGAGGTACATGAACATATTTACATATATACAGAATACAAAGTCAAGTAAGGAAGAGTAGTATCAAATGAAATAGTATTACTGAAAACAGGCCAAGGACACGTGTAAATGACCTCGAGTGATGGATCAATCACGTGTAATGAGAACAAGCGAATTCAAAGTCTCTGTAAAGCTCAATTATTTAGATATACCATATGCAGTACAACAATAAATTTGAAATCAAATATATTAAATTTAAATATTTAATTCATCTTAAAGGTTTATTCGAAAATATCAAGAATATGTGATGGTAGTGTGGAATAAAATATTGTACCAGTCTGTAAATGACAAAACCTGACACAGACAAACACACGTACACAAATATTTTAATGACTGCTCTACCATCGTTCAACTAATGCATTTGATTAAGCTGTCCTAGTAAAACTGACATATAAGAGTGGTACATTTAGTAATCGAGAGTGTTTCCTGGCTGAATTTATAGTGAGTTGTAATTATAACTTCAAGGTTAAAAAGTTTGTTGAGCTATGATTGATTGATTATATTTCAGCCAAATTTCGGCGGTACCTGTATATTAAGTTGTAACTTTTTTTTAGAGCGATTGTAATCAAGGATGCCTTCTGATTGGCGAAAACAAAATCTATAGGAGTTGTTACTTATAAGAGCGGTATGTGAGTTGTTACTTATAAGAGCGGTACTTAGTAATCGAGAGTGTTTTTTGTTTGTTTGTTAATGATGTTTAATGTCCCTCTTGAGAATTTTTCACTCATAGCCACCACGTACTTGCCGGTTGAGGACTGCAAATTTTTTACCCATACTCGGCACTCAGGGCCATTGAGTAGTGAGGGATCTTTTTCGTGCCAGCATCCACTGCGACACGGTTTATACAGTCTCATGAGAAGGACCGGTCTCCACGTCCCGCAGTGGATTCGAACCCGCGACGTAAGGATCAACTCCTTACTCAGCAGACGCTCTAACCACTGCGCTACGCGTGTCTTCTGATTGACGGAAACAAAATCTACAGTGAGTTGTTACTTATTAGAGCGGTACTTAGTAATTGAGAGTGTCTTCTGATTGGTGGAAACAAAATCTATAGTGAGTTGCTACTTATTAGAGCAGTAATTAGTGATTGAGGGTGTCTTCTGATTGGTGGAAACAAAATCTAAAGTGAGTTATTACTTATAAGAGCGATATGTGAGTTGTTACTTATAAGAGCGGTACTTAGTTAGTTATAGTTTGTTTGTTTTTTAACGTCCCTCTCGAGAATTTTTCACCCATATGGAGACGCCACCACTTGGTGGTGGAGGGCTGCAAATTTATACCTATACTCGGCACTCAGGGCCATTGAGCAGTGAGGGATCTTTTTCTTGCCAACACCTTCTGCGACGTCCCGCCGTGGATTCGAACCCGCGACGTAAGCAGACGCTCTAACCACGGCGCCACGCGTGTCTTCTGATTGGCGGAAACAAAATTAATAGTGAATTGTTACTTATTAGAGCGGTACTTAGTAATTGAGAGTGACTTCTGATTGGTGGAAACAAAATCTATAGTGAATTGTTACTTATTAGAGCGGTACTTAGTAATTGGGAGTGTCTTCTGATTGGTGGAAACAAAATCTATAGTGAGTTGTTACTTATAAAAGTGGTACTTAGTAATTGAGAGTGTCTTCTGATTGGTGGAAACAAAATCTATAGCGAGTTGTTACTTATTAGAGCGGTACTTATAGTAATTGACAGTGTCTTCTGACTCGTGGAGTTGGTATAGTGAGTTGTTACTTTTAAGAGCGATACTTGGTAATCGAGGGTGTCTTCAACAAAACAGAACCTGCTTGTTCTTTAATAAAATATCCCACAAGTTTCTTTTACTCATTAACAGCTGAATTATAAGATACCTGTTTTCTCAAATGGTTATGTATGGAAGCGGTCGTAATTTAGCACACTTATATGCATGTAATTATAAGATTTTTTTTTTTTTTTTGCATGTAATTATGAGATTTTTTTGGTACAGTTGCTCTTGCTGTAAATTGTCGATTATTTTATTCCACTGATTCTGTTTTAATAAATTTTTTAAGTGAAAAAAAATCATTCATAATGTTTTTAAAGTGCAATATGTGAATTTGCCATATTGTAATTTTAAATTATCAATATATTGATTTAAATGAACTGCATTCATGCGAGTGCTCATAGACGACATGCGAAGAACAGGTATTTAAATCTATCAAACTGTTAAAATATTTTCTTTCATTACATATCACACAACAAAACATTTCATTTAATCTGCTGGCCACGTGATACGTCTTCCGTCACTAGGGACGCAACCGAACCAGGTGTGAATCGATCGAGTTAAAAAAGGTAAATACTTCATTCAAAATGGCTAGCCGCCTGACGCACGCGACACCCCTCACACCCGTCCAAGAGAAAACATCTCGACTTACCACCCCCCATCTAGCCCCCAAACCACCAGCCAAGAAATCGGGATCCCGGCCAGCCAGCACCCCTCCGGAGGACAAACAGTTAAAGCACCCCTGGCTAGTAAGTTCGAGACATCGTTTCCGAGGCCTGTTACATTTGTATTAATTATTTTGGCTAGTTCAGCGTTTGGTAAAAAAAATATTTATTGATTATAAAATCAATAACACAGAATTTTTTTATCCATCAATTTTTGTATTGTTTACACAGCCTTTTGAATAATTTCAGAAACGCAAGGCCTTGAGCGAGGATTATGAGGGTCCCGTCACGGAGAGGGAGGGGTGGTGGCGAACATATATCAGGGTGAGTCACTTACCATAGGCGTCGGGGGGGGGGGGGCTAGGGGGGCTTAGCCCCCCCCCCCACTTTTTTTTCCAAAGATAGACAAAATATAGGCATTCAAAACTGGGGCTTACCTTTTTCCGTTGGTTTAGCCCCCCCCCCCCCCACTTTCAATTAGCCACCCCACTTTCAATTTGCTTCCGACGCCTATGCTTACTATATTAGTAACACGGAGAGGGAGGGGGTGGTGGCGAACATATATCAGGGTGAGTCTGTTACTATATTAGTGACACGGAGTGAGAGATCTAGTTCTTGTAATTAAATAATTAAAAAAAAAAGTTGGAATACGACTCCTGTGTTCTTCAAGAGCCATTTGCTGCTAAAATCAAATTATTATGTTTTTTTTTGTTTTAATACACCCCAGCAATAATTGAGTTTCTGATTTGCGCGAGCTGCTGTAATTTATTTAATTCTTTATTATGGTTTGTTGCTGGAATTAATACAGGTTTGACGAACATGAGTGAAACTGAGTGAAGCTGGTATGTGTTGCAGCGATTGAGAATTCATATAGACTTCTATTGGGGTTTAATAAACATACAATACTGTTATAATATTCTCTATTCTAATTGATGCATTTATTAAGAATAGATAACACAAATGAGAACCAATTATTCTGAATAAAGAAATAAGCAATGTTGTATACATGTAATTTACTTTTTGTGAGAATATATAAGCTTGAATGTTTCAGTTCCGATAGATCAATATAAACGAAATGTTTTGAAGAACTCTGCGATATACTTTTGGTTTGTAGCGTTGAGTGAATTATTGTACACAATTAAAAGCAAACATCCTTGCATTTATTAAAACATCTTCGTGCTCTATTGCTGGTATTTATTCATTTATGTGTCAAAATAAATTTCAAGTAGCTATTTTATTTATTTAGTAGTTTTATGCGTCTTTGCTAGATAGTTATTCAATTTAAAACTACCGCAGCGGGGATGATCTCCAGTCGATGGGCATTTGAACTGTGATAGTCAATTAATTGTCTCTGTAAAAAGTATCCTCCCTGTTTTAAAATGTTACAAGTTGTTATTACCTGAATATGGAGATTAGCCTCCCAGTTGATTCGATACGCAAGAGCATGTTCTTCGTACGAACAATTTCTAAAAGGAGGCAAGCTATTGACAAATAAGTTGATTATACAAGGATGTCAACAGACTCGTTTAAAGTCGACATTTCGCAAATTCTAAGGTCGATACAATGACCATTAGCAAATACAATCAATCGTTATGTCGAATGTTGACTGAGCTTTTCATACACATTGTTAGGCCATTGTGTTCACACCGAATTATCTACGGATTTTTCCGTTTCCCCCATCATGACAAGGAGCACACGGCGGGTGTGACCGATCGACAGGGGATGCTTACTCCTCCATGGCACCTGATCCCACCTCTGTTGTTTTTAGAGGTCCGTGTTTGCTCTGCTCCCAATTTGTATTATTCCAATTGACTTTTGAGCATTATTACTGTTCTTTATCTTCATTTTTCATCAGTACAGCACTGCCGTGATTTAGGATTTTTTTTTCTGTTTTAACGATTCGTCTGAAGAACAATTTCTCTTTTTTTGTCTGTGACATTGATAGCAGTAGCTGCAGATTATCATCGATTTTTACACGAAAGTTGAAGATCGTAAAATATTTTTCAGACATTGATTGTTTTGGTTCATTTCTCAGTAAGCCGATTATTCCGCAGAAGACACGTAAAGGTTGCGAGTTGTTCTGCACAGAGAGTAACGATTTACCCTCGGCTTGTACAATAGAGAAAAGAACATCCTCATTTAATTTTCTGTTGCTCTAAGAAAGAAAGAAACATATTTTTAATTGTTCACCAACATATGTAAATTTTTTAGTTAGTTGACGAGACTCTTCAAAGCGCTTCTCCCCAAGTTAGTTTCGCCTCCACTATTTGGCGTATCGTGTATGTGTTGGTTAATGAGGTTTCATTACCCTGGTACAAAGGAGAATATATTTACACTTAATTAAGTGCGGGTATTACTGACTTATGACAGCAGTTCAAATTGTTTTTATACTCTCTTGACAGGAAACCCCCCTTCCTGGGGCCTATGAGAGCGGGACGTTCCTGGAGGATATAGAAAAGAAACAAAATACGTACAGATTTAAGTCAGATGGCAGAAAAGTAGATCCACACCCACACGGAAAAGGGGCCACGCTGTTACCCGGAGCTTACGAATTCCAACACTTTTTAGAGAGGTATTGACATTGTTTTGGTCAAGGGGAACTCTTGCTTGGTAGTTTTGTGTGTTAGTTATTAAAGTAATAACCAATACTGGACATAACAGGTTAAGAGCTTTCCAATTGAAAATAAAAATGTATAATTTCACCGTTCATTATGAATATATTTCACCAGCCGTAGTTACTTGCAAGAAAAAATGAATATGTAATTCTTTTCATGAAAAATAGAGTTGAAAATGCACAAAACAAACGAAGAAAAACCCCCACTTTTTTTCATTTTGAACGAAATTTAATCCATGGCCGTAGGAACCGGGGGGGGGGGGGGTGTCAATATAAGAGCATGGAAAAGAATTTTGCCGATATATAGAGTACTATAGAAAACATAGATACTATATCCTTGTGCCCCCTCAATAAAAACGTCTGGTGACCTTTTTTTTTGCTTGTCAAGGAAATTTTGGTATTTTCCTTCAACGGAAAATGTATGACTGTGCCTCCCCCCCCCCCCCCCCCAAACTGAAATTGCTTCCTACGGGCCTGTAATCATCTTCACGCATGCCTTGTATAAAGTGTAAAGTGTACCAATATTTTTAATCAGTTACATTTTTAAAAAATCAAAGACACATTAAATTAATAAACTATGACATAAAACATTTTTCAGTTGCATGATACCTATTAGTTTTTGGCCTGAAAGATTTTTATTGATTAATTTTCATCAAGAAAAATGAAACCCTGATGTTTTTATTTACATTATTATGGAGAATATTAAGGATTTTACGATGTATGAGACAACGGAATGGTATTTGGTAAATTTGTGAGGTCTTCAAGTGACTAATTATTTACATTTTCATCGTTCAATTAAAATTCGTCAACCTATTTTAAGTAATGAAAAAATTAACGGCAACGTGTTGACTCAGGACCCCTGACGTTGTGAGGATGTGGTAAACTCGATGAATGGTTCTTATTTAATTTTTTTATCACTATACAAGATACAAGATATTTTATTTACCAATCAAGGGCCCCGAGAGGCATTTCCACATATATAAATGCACAATTTAGACATAATTCACACTATATGAAATAATAAAGAAAAATGTAAGTGCATGAAGGTGCAGTATACTTAGTGTACAACAAAAGGTAGTGACAAGTAGACACAACGGATTAAATTCTTTTGGTAAGAAAGGAATCGGTCCCATCCCCTCCTATTTATAAACATTCATTTAATCATTTTCAATCTTTTCTCTGGAATATTTTAATTAAGTTGATATTTTGTTGTAAAATATAATACTTTTCTTTGCAGACTTGAACACGCACCAGCAACTTACAATTTCCGGGCCACAGATAGAAGCAAACAGAACTTTTTAGTTATTGGTCATAAAGACAAAGTAAGTCCTGACGCCTTCTCTAAGATTCTACTTTACAAAGTCATTAAATTATAATTAAGATAAGTTTATAAGCTTTGTTGATTAATTTGTAGGACATAAATATAAGTCCTAATGCATACGATACAGAACAGTATTTGTCAATGACAACATCTCGACAACCTTCAAAGTAAGCCAACACTTACACAAAACACAAAGTTTACATCAATCACTGTACAATCACACTGGAAGCCACCGCCACCTACATCACACTGTGGAGAGGGTCTTCACTCTCATACAGCTAGCCCTATTTTGCAGTTCCGATATTGACCAACACATCAGTTCTTTTTTTTCTCTTATTCTTATATTGCGCATATATCTGGTATATCTCCAGAACTGGCATGTAATGAGATCTTCTGTGTCTTTGATGATTGTTTCCCTCCCCTGTCCGTACCTGTGTCACAATTATTACGCTTTCAGCATGATGGTACTCACAACCTAAAATACCCTTGTTACCCCCCCCCCCCCCGAACAAAAACCAGTCATTGTTTACAATTGAAGGGTATGTGTATCACATGTTGTGTGCATGCTTTTTGTTTCATTCACGTCTCTTCTTTTTCCTTGGATCACATAGCATTTCTGTCCTTTCCATGCTCTTATATCGAATACAATTGCAAATATCATACAACTCACAAGTGTGGGTGTATACACAGAGTTATAAAATATATAGAATGTGCTGTAAAATTATGATGTAAAACAAGAGGCCCATGGGCCACAACGCTCACCTGAGTAACTTTGGCCCTGCTGTTCTTCACCAGACTTTCCCCCATGTAATACACCTATTGTGGTCCCATCCTATCCCAGGGGTCATGATTTTAACAATTTAGAATCTACACTACCCCAGGATACTTCTACATTAGTTTCAGCTTTTCTGGCCCAGTGGTTCTTGAGAAGAAGATTTTTTAAGATTTTTTCTATATATTTCAATGTAAAACTTGGATTCCCTATTGTGGCCCCACCCTACCCCCGAGGGTCATGCTTTTAACAATTTAGAATCTACACTACCCCAGGATACTTCTACATTAGTTTCAGCTTTTCTGGCCCTGTGGTTCTTGAGAAGAAGATTTTTAAAGATTTTTTCTATATACTTCAATGTAAAACTTGGATTCCCTATTGTGGCCCCGCCCTACCCCCGGGGGTCATGATTTTAACAATTTAGAATCTACACTACCCCAAGATGCTTCCACATTAGTTTCAGCTTTTCTGACCCAGTGGTTCTTGAGAAGAAGATTTTTAAAGATTTTTTCTATATTTTTCAATGTAAAACTTGGATTCCCCATTGTGGCCCCGCCCTACCCCCTGGGGTCATGATTTTAACAATTTAGAATCTACACTACCCCAAGATGCTTCCACATTAGTTTCAGCTTTTCTGGCCCAGTGGTTCTTGAGAAGAAGATTTTTAAAGATTTTTTCTATATATTTCAATGTAAAACTTGGATTCCCCATTGTGGCCCCGCCCTACCCCCTGGGGTCATGATTTTAACAATTTAGAATCTACACTACCCCAAGATGCTTCCACATTAGTTTCAGCTTTTCTGGCCCAATGGTTCTTGAGAAGATTTTTAAAGATTGTTTCTATATATTTCAATGTAAAACTTGGATTCCCTATTGTGGCCCCGCCCTACCCCCGGGGGCCATGATTTTAAAAATTTAGAATCTACACTACCCCAGGATGCTTCCACATTAGTTTCAGCTTTTCTGGCCCTGTGGTTCTTGAGAAGAAGATTTTTAAAGATTTTTCCTATATATTTCTATGTAAAACATTGATTCCACATTGTGGCCCCGCCCTACCCCCGGGGGTCATGATTTGAACAATTTAGAATCTACACTACCCCAGGATGCTTCCATATAAGTTTCAGCTTTACTGGCCCTGTGGTTCTTGAGAAGAAGATTTTTTAATGACCCCACCCTATTTTTGTCTTCTCTTGATTTTCTCCCCTTGTGAGGAGACTTGGCCCTTCATTTTAACAATTTAAATTCCCCTTCACCCAAGGATGCTTTGTACCAAGTTTGGTCAAAATTGGCCCAGTGGTTCTTGAGAAGAAGTCAAAAATGTGAAAAGTTTACAGACGGACGGACAGACAGACGGACGACGGACAAAATTTGATCAGAAAAGCTCACTTGAGCCTTCGGCTCAGGTGAGCTAAAAACTTGATTACAATAATAATAGTGGACGCATTAAAAATATCTAGTATTGTTCACCAAATCTAATTAGAAATAACATTTTTAGGATATAAATGTTAGTCCAGGGCAATATGATATGGAAAAATTTCTCTCCATGACAACAGACAAACAATCTTCAAAGTGAGTCAATACCTATTACTATTTCAGTGTTTAATGTTATGTTATAAAATAATTCAGTTCTTGAAAAACGAATTTCAGTTGTGAGTATTTCTCTTTCACTTCTTCACGCACTTATGCACCAAGTTGTATTAAGCAGTATAAAATTGTCACAGAAAAGTTAACTGAAAGTTATGTTCAATATTCGCATGTCATGATTTCAGTAACGTGTTACAATGTGTCTGATGGACTTTTTTTTCTGCATACAGACACTATATGTTCCGGTCACAACATAAAAGGTTCCCTACGCTACCATTCAAACCTGTGAGTATATATATAAGAAAAATCAAGAGTTGCCTCTCAGCATCTATAAAGGGGAGACGAGACCCTCGACTCACAAAAATTGATTTTTTAAGTAATTTTGACAATTCTCTATTGAAAAAAAAAAGAAATTGAAGCACTAATTACCATATGGGGCAAAACTTGAAATAAAACTTGGTTGATTTCTTAAAGAAAAAGTTATTTATTTTAAAACTTATCTTTCTTAGCGGTCACTCCTCCTTAAGATCTTTGTATTAGCCATTAGAGTTCTCTTGGTCCTAGAATGAATCCAAAGAACACATAATGTTTCATCTCTACACCTCATACATTTTGGTGAGCTAATCTTCAGAATGGTTAAATGATTTCAGAGAGAAGGACCTGGACCAGGGAATTATGAACACACACATCAAAGATCCCTCACTGCTGTATCATCCAGCTTCAAATCCAGAACTCCACGATTTTCTAGTTCACATACGGTTAGTTTTCAAACATGCAAAGTTTCAGCTTATTACAAACAGGGGACCTTCTTATCATTCTGACCTATGTAGTTTCTTCTGTACATAATTCCAAAGGGGCCAGTAACATACTTTGCTTGATTTTATGTGATCACTATATTATTAGCTCACCTGAGGGGAGGGCTCAAGTGAGCTTTTTCCCATGTCTGTCATTGTCATTGTAAACTTTTACAATTTCATTTTCTCCAGAACCACTGGACCAATTTCAACAAAACTTGGCACAGAGTATCCTTGGCATCATTTTAAAAATCTTCTCAAGAACCAATGGGCCAGAAAAGATGAAACTTACACCAAAGCCTCCTGATATAGTGTAGATTCAAATTTGTTCAAATCATGACCCCTGGATAAAGGGTGGGGCCACTAGGGGTGCATGAAGTTTTACATGGGTATATATGGGAAAAATCTTTAAAATTCTTCTTCTCAAGAATAACAAAGTCATGAACAGTCATATTTATATGGAAGCATTGTCAGGTAGTGTAGATTCAAGTTTGTTCAAATCATGACCCCAGGGGGTAGGGTGTAGAGCCACAGTGGGCAATCAAAGTTTTACATAGAAATACATAGAAAAAACCTTTAAAAAATCTTCTACTCAAGAACAGCAGAGCCATGAACAGTAATATTTATACGGAAACACCATGGGCGATCAAAGATTTACATAGGAATATATAGGAAAAAGGATCTGCTGATGATGAACAAGTAGGGCCATAGTTACTCAGGTGAGCATTGTGGTCCATGGACCTCTTGTATACAAAAAGGATATTTTTGTATATATCACGATCATGTAAAGTCATGCAAAGTGTGTTACTGGCTCCTGTGCATAGAACTCAAAAATAGAGTAATATCTCTTAGAGTGACCATTATAATGGTGGATCACAGATGTATGGTAGATGACTATCACCAGTATTGCTAAATATCAAACCTTTATATCTATTTTTAAGACAATGTACCCAGAATTGTGTATACAAAAGCTACAATATACCCCAGAACAAATGATTGTATTAAGTTTTGTTTTTCAGAAAGTCCCTGGTCCTGGGATGTATGAGAAGACATTTCAACATCCTATCCCTAACACTGTATCCACCATGGGAAGACAGCATGGCCTTTTCTTCACTAGTGCCTATCAATCATAGTGTTATTAACAGTTTGGATTTGGCCAGAACAAGTGAAAGTTTGGAATTTCAGAGGATGCTGACAAAGAGAGAGAGGACAAAATTGTAGAAAATGCTTTAGGCACCGGTTAAACTGGTGAAATTTACCCAACTTTTCCTGTGTTCAGATTTTATCTGATGAAAAAATACCTAGTATTCTTCACTGTTTGACAATTTATTATGACCAAAGTAAAACCATGTTACCATCTACTGAAAATCCAAACTGTGAAATTGTAATAGGTCAAAGGTCACCCCTGACTGAAAATCCAAGCTCAAGTTAAATTGAGATACAACAGAGACCCCATGTTATTTATTTTCTGTCCCTTAGTTCAAAATAATATGCAGTCCAAATGCATTTGGTTGTATTCCTTTTTGGGCATCTTTATTTGTTTTATCAATCATTTTGAACTGAAAGTAGAATTGTTATTTATTTTCTGTCCCTTAGTTCAAAATAATATGCAATCCAAATGCATTTGGTTAATGTATTCCTTTTTGGGCATCTTTATTTGTTTTATCAATCATTTTAAACTGAAAAGTAGAACTTGCAACATTGTGCAGTGCAAGAGTTGAACTGTGCCTGAAAACCCAAATTACAGTAAACTTAATAGGTCAGATAAAAAATAATGCTACAAGGAAACATAAATAAAATTTAGGTAATTAATTTTTCATTAATTCATTTAAATTGATCGTATTTCACAAACACAATGAACTTTAAGTGTGTGTGTGTGTTTTTAAGCCTGTGATATTGGTTCCCCCATTTTTCCCATTCTAGTCGCATTGTGGGCATAGGGTAAATCTATTCCTCCCCACTTTAGAAGCTTTGTGGGCACAGGGTAAAACTATTCCTTCCCACTTCAGTTTCATGTTTTGTTGCCAAGGTATTATAAATAATCAGTATTAATGTGTGATTGATGTAAAAAGAAAGTTATAAATGATGTTTGTTTATACATGTAGTTGTGTAGTTGTATCTGTGAAAGCAGAATCTTTTTTTTCTTTACATTTCCTGCAAGTTCATGTAGATTTTTTTTGTCAATGCATGGTTCTATACATTTTGTGGTTCTTTCCTCATATATATATATATATATATATATATATATATATATATATATATATATATATATATATATATATATATAATACAGCTATACAGCACATTCACAAGTAATTATAAATAAAATATATTTCACTTATTTTTAAAGTTACATGTATTTCAATTTCCTTGCGATATTGATAGAATAAAAAAAATATCCCAAGGACATATGTTTTTATATTTTTTACCTTCCATGTCAGGTTACATGAATACATCAATAATATTAAGCACTTTCTTTTGCTAGTAAAAAAAGCATTAGAAGAATTACTGACAAATATCAGCATGAATAGTCTACATATTTAAAAAAAAAAAAGGGAATGTCATTCATATCTATATCTGTACAAGTTTATATTGTACAATATACATGTAACAGCATTATGTAAGATATGTTACACTGAAATGCACATTAACGATCATACATGTGATATGTACAGGCTGTACGCAAAATGTACAGTTTTTTGAGCCCATTCATCGTGTACCGGCGGGACACCAAAATTCACGGAATGTGAAAATTTGTACAGTATTTTAAATTTCTCGCTAAATGCCGCCATTTTCCTCTCATTCTCGCTCACGAGACACTGGAAAACATCACCTGTGTTTGACACTTGACCTTCTGATAATTGTGTAGTATCGCGTGCGAAGGTGTGAACTGCCAATTGGGATAATTATCTTGCTATAAATCCGTATCAAATACCCCTTTAGGTAGTTTTATTTTTTAAGGGGTACTTAATTACTGTTAATGTTTCGTATACGTAACTTGATTGAAAAAAATTAAGCCAACTTTTAAAGTTGATATACATGACTTTAGTCTTAATATACGTGAATCTGACCCAGATCTTCGTAGGTATAAAATATACGATGTTTATTACAATGATTACGATGGAATTTCAGAAGAATTTAAGCGATATTTTATACCATTTTTTTGTACCGTTTTTTGATAGGCAGTGTACAGTTTTTTCACCCAAATTCCAGTTTTTTTATGGCTCCTGTACAGTTTTGTGGTCTTTGACTTATCACATGTATGAACGATGTACTTCAAACATAACATAATGTAACTTCGTCTTAGGTACTGGCTGATATTGATGATAAAACTGTTGTCTAGACCCCATGGCTGACGAGAGAAAACAAAAGCCTGACCAGCCATGAGTTTCCGACAATGAAATAAACCAAAAAAAAAAATGAAAAACAATATAAGATCACATTATTTATACCCTTGGAATGAACAGATGGTGGTCAAAACAATACAGATTTGGGGGATTTAAAAATATTGGCAATAAAACTATATGTAGATTACTAAACAAAACATAAAATAAAACATAACAGAGGAGAGCAGCACTTAAGATATGTTACAGCAACTGATAAAAAAACAGAACATAAACTGTTTATAATGCCCCTGTTATAAATAGAAATTAACCCAGAGTAATATACAATGCAGTTCAGGACATGAAATAACTCAGCTGTCAAATGCATAAATTTTTGCCCCGTTCACACAGAGAGTTTCATTCAAATTAAATGTAAGTTACTGCAGATTAAATTTGAACCACATTTACATGGAGAATTTACTTCAAATTACTTTAATTTGAATTAATTACTGTGCATTTAATTACTTCACATTAACACTGTGTGAACACTAAGTGAAGTTAATTCGAATTCACTTGTCCTTGGCACAGAATTTTGGAAAATTATGCCAGTGGTCAGCTATAGATACTCTTACTATTTTTGAGTGAAATACAGAGAAAAATTGTGTTAAGCACCAAAAATGTGTGCATGTACTACATCATGTAAGATGTATATCTGCTCTGTATAAGGTGAAGTAGTTTTCACAATTGAGGTTACAATGCTCTTAATAATGCGGAATCATCATTGTTCATGGGGGACCAATGTTTGTGGGTTACCCTTACCCATGAATACATCCTCATGAATGTTTATTTTGTAAACATATCGATTTAATGAATCTACCATATAAATGAGTAACCCATGTAATTACGTCTCCACAAACAAGTAAAATTTTGCTTGCCCACGAACATTGACCCCAATGAATTAAAATGATTCCACAGTATCTGTCATAAAATTTTAATGCAAATTAGTTTACTTTGCTTTAGCTGTCATGTGAACATTATTTAATTCACATCAGTTTAATTCGCATTATTTTACTTTGCATTAATTTACTGTAATTCAAAACTTCAGTGCACATTTCTGTGAACAGAGCAATAAACTGCACAGACTTGCAGCAAACGTAAACAATAATTCCTCTAAATTAAAGAAAATTGATAATAAATAATTAGAAATGCTCCCTTTGTATCAGAATTAACTCAAAAATAAATTATCACAATTGAGTTTATTGCACTATAGATTTGGGAAGTTTGATTGTGATATCACTGTAGCATGTGTGGAATAACGTAGAATGGCACGATAGGACTGGTCGATTCCAAACCTAGGGCAGTCACGTGACACTCACTGGCAGCTGCTGCTTCTCCGAGACTCTCCAACACAAGTCCAAGTCGAAACCTACAGTAAAACAATAAACCTATCAAACACAAGTCCAAGTTGAAACTTACAACAAACATATCATACACAGGCCTTTCTTAAATTTCTACGTGCACAATTTTAGGATCCAGCTAAGATTATTAGGATTCAAACCAGTGTTCGAAATTAGCATCGGCCTGTCGGTCCTGCACCGACGTACAAACGGAAGGACTCACGAATAGTATGACTAATGGGTCCTTGAAATAATTTTGGGCCGACAATGATTTGCCGGGAAATAAGTTAACGTCAATCACATCTTCTCAGACCTTTCAGGCGAGCTTGGAAAAATACACCGTTGTTTTTCTTTACCACTTGTTGGAAAGGCTTAAGAAGTTGCGATTGAAGTTAAGGTATATTGGTTTATGCATTTACATTAATTTTTATATCTTTCCTGCATTTTAACATGTTTAATTGGATATATTAAACAAATTAACCAATGAGCATCTTTAATCCAAATTGGACTTATGATGGGTAAAACTTGTTATTTTTATCAAGATCATATCAATTCTTCTTTTCATGTGTATTTTAAATGAATACTGAAGATTTGGTTTTTTTTCTGTATGGAATAAAGTTACATTATATGTATGAGGTTACATTTTATCAACATATTGTGGCAATCTATGAAATCTGTGTAATTTTTTACCCGCAGATTTTAAAACGGAAATTGTAATTCCGAGGAAAAGTATGTTTACAGTAATATAATCACATGTTAAACTCAATACATGTTATATATGACCAAGTAAGACAGTGTGACGATTAATAGCTTACCGTTTCTTATTGTTAATACTTGTGAGTTGTAGATACCCTTTATTAAATTGACATATTTCATATGAAGTGATAAACTTACCAAGATCATCGAAACGTAAAAGTTTTTTTCCCCAAATATTTAATGGTATTATTTTTGGGCCTACGCTGCCCTGGAAGGACTCGTGTAGTCCCTTTATCTGTGGGTCTTTTGGACCCATAGAAAATAATTCTGAATTTCGAACACTGATTCAAACAACCTGTTAAACACATGTACATGTATATACATCATTTAATATGTACCATGATTGATGGGCTGTTGGGTCAACATTTACCGCCTCTCGCAGTGCTTTCTCGGCCATTTTATTGTTCCCTTGTTCATGTAGCACCATTCCCTGTGTAATCATACAAAGTAAGATATTTCTTATGTCAGAAATGAAATACATGTGTCCAAAGAAATGTTAATTTACAAAGTCTGACTTTGAAAACTTACCAGGCGTTAGAGTGACTTTGTGGGTGGGTTTGATGGATATAACTCAGAAAACTTACCAGGTGTTGGAGTGACTTTGTGTGGGCGGGGTTGATGGATAGAGCATTCTCGTACCAGCACTTGGCGTCTTCATATTTATGTTTGTGTTCATATACCCGCCCTCTCTGCAGAATTGAAAAATGAAATTATACCATAAAGCATCTTAAACTTACAGTATAAACTTATTGACAAAATGATGTTGAATTTTCAATCCTCAATATCTAAGAGAAAGGTTGTACCATAAAAGCAACATGATGGGACAGTGGGAAGATGGTAGAAGTTTCCTGTACACAACCTTCTGCCTCTGTCATTTTGTCCAAGCTTAGGTACAATTCCGCTAATAAAAAAATCAAGGTTAATCTCTTGGCGAAATCAACTGTACAAAGTCTAACCCCCTGTTACATGTTATATGACTAGACGACACTATTTAATAAAGTGCCCCACCACAGCATGATACGCCCGTCAAATATTGTTCAATTGTCATAAACAGTTTAGAGTGCAAGAAAATCATGTCAACCTTGATACAAGGATTTCAATGATTTTTCCATTCCTTATAATATTTGTTTATACATCTTCTGTGGTATGGGCATTAAATATAACAAATATTATAGATCCTCAACTGGTTGTGTTATAGCTTGACAAATGCCCATCTGCACCCTCCCCCCCCCCCCCCCCTCCCCCGAGTATAATTAGTTTTAATTATATTATACAATATCAAATTAGTTTATCATACAATATCAAATTAATTTATTATACAATATCAAATAAGTTTTGATTACTTTCACCAAATTCATTTACAAACTTAGGCTAGCCACTATTTAATACAACTCGGCTGATTCTTTTTGTCCAGTTCCCAAGAGATATACCTGCTTGATCAGAGATGCTCTACCAGTTAGCTCCTCACACTAAACTCATTAATTTCTCTCTAATTTGATGTGCAATTTTCTGTTATCAAATTTTCCTTGACCAGTGCTTGATAATTACACCCATGGGAGAGGTGGAATTTCTCTTGTAACATTACATTTGTTATAGTAGATTGCTGTAAAGTATATAATGAAAAAAAATAAGTATTTTCTTGATTTAACATTTTTTTAATAAGGATACTGCAACACTCTTGCATTTTTTGGGATTGTGTAATCTAATAGTAAAAAGACAGTTTTTTTTTTAAATTTCACTTAAATTAAAAGTCACAGTGACCTTGAAATAGGTCGTGATATACCTTCTACCTAAGATGCATAAATTGGCCAAGTTTGATGATTCTAAGTCCAATAGTTTTCTAGTTATGAGCCGGACAGGATTTTTCCATATTTGGCCATAGCATCTTCATTAAAGGTCAGAGCGAGCTACTTTTAGTGCGCGACACACCTTCTACCCAAGAAGTATCAGCTGACAAAGTTTGATAATCCTAGGCCTAATACCGTAGTATTAAAGTTATGAGCCGGACACGAGAAAAGCTAACAGACAGACAGACGGACATGAACGCCATAACATAATACGTCCCATCTAAAGACGGGCGTATAAAAATTAAACATTCTTTATGGTGGAAAAAAAATACTTGTGTATAAATCTGATAATATTTACGAATGATTGGTACTTTATGATATGGTGATACATTTAGATCAACAAAGCTGATACCTAGGTGTAGCCAAATTTGTGCCTGTAAAAGCCAGGTTTCCTGGGAGCCCGGGCGGGAGTGGAGGATACTCCCCATAGAGGACGCCACCTCAGATAGAGTCTGCTCCACCCGCGAGGCAGCCACAGACTCCGCCCTCACCGACCCTGAAACAGACACACGCCACAAGGTGATAACGTACCTTCCTAAAAGTCCATTACATTTCAACAATACGTAACTTGCAGAAGCTCTATAACAGAAGGACTTACAGTATCACAATAAACGCTGAAAATGTCCCCTCTTTATATATTTTATGTACATAATTTAGTTACTATAGATTTAAATATCCTATATATGTATCTGTTTTTACCAGTGTCTCTGTCATTCAGTTCATTTAACTGAAGCTGGGCAAAGCTTCTTCTGTCAAATGTTGATCTGTCATTAGATGTAATGGTTCTGTATTTCTTCTCAGAGGAAGTGCTTCAAGTAGAATGAACATTTTAATCAACAGAGTATAATTTTATAACAATTTGAAACTGTTTACATTCTGCAAATGAATATTTCTAGACTTCATGAAAGTAAAAACTTAAAATGACCACACTAAAATATATTTTTGAGAAATTATCAAAAGTCATTCATTTAATCAATAAACAGCTTTCTTCATTTTTGCTTAATTTTTAAACTTCAGTTGAACTAAACTATTTTTAGCTGCTACTGAATATCCATCCTGGGTTACATTAGAGTGTTTTAAGCTACCATGGCTCTCCAGAGTTACATTATATTTCACGGCCCTGGACTCTTCAAAGTTTCATTAGGCTATTTAAGGTTGCCCTGGAGTCTCCATAGTTACACTATGCTACAGGGTATTTTTAGTTGCCCTTGAGTCTCCTTAGTTACATAAGGCTATTTTTAGTTGCCTTGGAGTCTCCATAGTTACACTAAGCTATTTTTAGTTGCCCTGGAGTCTCCTTAGTTACTTAAGTCTATTTCTAGTTGCCCTGGATTATCCAGCGTTACATTAGATTATCTTTAGTTGCTCTGGATTCTCGAAAGTGACATTAAACTATTTTTGGTTGCTCTGGATCTCCAGAGTTATATTTCCTATTTTTAGCTGCTGAGGATTCCCAAAAGTAAAATAAACAGACTTACTCCTCCACATCTGTTTCATAGAGTTCCTTCCACAGCTCTAACATCTCTCGACACGTGTCGAGCGCATACTCGGGACCGAGCAGAACCTCCTCCAGTTTACTGCGGGTCAACATCAGACTGAGGTTGTCCGGATATTCCTGGAGGGCTGCCTGGATCAGAGTCATTCCCTCCTCGTACTTCTTCTCTGACGTCATCAGCAGCACCAACAGATGTAAGGAGTGCATGTAGTCATTCTTGTGTTTTAGAGACATCTTAACACATCTTATTGCCTCACTGATCTAGATAAACCACAAAATGTATCACTTACATGTATATAGACAATTTTCAAAATACCTCACTAACATGTATATAGATAATCCATCAATTTCATTACGCATATATAGATAATTTTATGTAGATTATAATTTACAAATATACATTCCACAAAATACTGTATACATCAGGATCTCTTCCCCAAAATAATGTGAAATCTACTGACACATAAATACACTCACCTGTCTCTGTAGTGCTAACTGTAGTGCCAGGTGAAACAAGGCAAGGTAATCATTCTGATCCAGCTCATTTGCACTACAACAATTAGTGGGAGTTATTATTAATCAGTAATATAACTTTACAAAAAAAAAAAAAAAAAATTATATAACAAGAGGCCCAAGGGCCTTGAATCGCTCTTTTGATAAACTGTACAACCTATCACTTCTATTTGAAGTCTCCAAGTATCCTGTATATTTAGATAAAGCCTTGAAATTCAAAAGGTAGGTCATCATGACCTACATTTCAGATTAAAACACTCTGAGAACCCAGGATGATTCTAAGCCAATTAGTACCTGAGAGTAGGTCATGGTGACCTACTTATCACTTGTCATTCTCTGAGGACCCAAGATGCATCAACTAAGTTTGATGATTCTAAGCCAATTATTACCTAAAATATTTTTAAAATTATAACCATAAAATTTCAAAAGTAGGTCACAGCGACCTACTTTTCAGATGACATACTTTGAGGACCCAAGATGCATCAACTGACAAAGTTTGATGATTCTAAGCCAATTAGTACCCGAAATATTTAATTATAGTCATATAAATTGAAAAGTAGGTCACGGTGACCTACTTTTCAGTTGATATTTTTTGAGGACCCAAGATGCATCAACTTACTAAGTTTTATGATCATAGGCCTTAAAATGTCCAAATATCCCTCTAAAACGCTTTGAAATCGAATGCCTGCAAAGTTCAAAAAGAGGTCACGATGACCTACTTTTTAATAAATATATTTTATGGCCCGAAGATGCATCATCTTACAAGATTTAATGATTCTAAACCTCTCAGTATTCGAATTAATGACCTTAATTGTTTTGAAAAAAGATTAGCCATAAAATTCAAAAAGTAGGTCAAGGTGATCTACTTTTTAGTCAACATACTTCGAGGACCCAAGATACATCAACTGACAAAGTTTGGTGATCATAGGCCTTAAATTGTTCAAAATATGCCTCTAAATCATTTTGAAAAAGAATGGCCACAAAATTTGAAAAGTAGGTCACCATGACCTACTTTTGAGTCAACATGATATGAGGTCCTTAGATGCATCAACTGACAAGATTTAATGAACCTAGTCCTTATAGTAAGCAAAATATCAACATTTTAATAAAATGTAATTTTTGGTCAACTTTGAAGTGACCTTGAGACCACGCCCTTTGCCCCAGGGTGATGCCTTGAACAATTTTTGATCTTCAACATATCCTCATCCTTTTGTGTAAGTTTGGTGATAATCTGTCCAGTAGTTCTTGAGAAGAAGATTTTTTAGCAACCAGTACTTTTGTTCTATTTTCCTAATTATCTCCCCTTGTTTAAGGGTCACAACCCTAGTTTTAGTATAAACAGGAGCCCTTGGGCCAAGGATACCCTGTGACAAATTTGACAATAATTAGCCAAGAGATTCTTGAGTTATGGCCCATATTCAAAAAGGTTTATGCACACCATAGCATTAGCTCTTTGAGCTTTTGGCTCAGAAGAGCTAAAAATATAAAATAGAATAATTGCTTAGAAAAAATTGTACCATACACTTAAAGAGTAGCTCTTAAACTGAGAGACTGGAGCAACTCTAAACATAGGTAATCAGAGATTACAGAGCTCACCTCAACGAATGTTGTCTTTAAGTAAGGCAAAGTCCCACACTAAACTAATAATCTAGGAGTGTGCATCCCTAGATGCAACATTTATGCAATTTTGGTCTGATAGGGCTTGCAGTTACTTGGGAATGGACTTATCTGAAAACTTAAAACTAGACACTCATTCAGAAAATGTAAGTCAAATCCAGCATCCGAAGCAAGTTTTGAGATTGTTCATCCCTTGATGCATCATCCATGCAAGTTTGGTTCAGATAGGCCTTATAGTTACTTGGAAATGAGATCTGCTCCAAAAACTTTAATCTGGTCACTCATCCGGAAAATATAGGTCAGATCCAGCATCCTAAGCAAGTCCAGTAGTGTGAATCCTAAGATGTATCATCCATGCAAGTTTGGTCAATATAGGGTTTATAGTTACTTGGATATGACATCTGCTTCAAAAACTTTAACCTGGTCACTCATCCGGAAAATATAGGTCAGATCCAGCATCCGAAGCAAGTCCAGTAGTGTGCATCCTTAGATGTATCATCCATGCAAGTTTAGTCAATATAGGGCTTATAGTTACTTGGAAATGAGATCTGCTCCAAAAACTTTAACCAGGTTACTCATCTGGAAAATGTAGGTCAGATCCAGCATCCGAAGCAAGTCCAGTAGTGTACATCCTTATATGTATCAACCATGCAAGTTTGGTCAATATAGGTTTATAGTTACTTGGAAATGACATCTGCTCCAAAAACTTTAACCTGGTCACTCATCCGGAAAATATAGGTCAGATTCAGCATCTGAAGCAAGTCCAGAGTGTGCATCCTTAGATGTATCATCCATGCAAGTTTGGTCAATATAGGGCTTTTAGTTACTTGGAAATGAGATCTGCTCCAAAAACCTTAACCTGGTCACTCATCCGGAAAATATAGGTCAAATCCAGCATCCGAAGCAAGTCCAGTAGTGTGCATCCTTAGATGTATCATCCATGCAAGTTTGGTCAATATAGGGCTTATAGTTACTTGGAAATGAGATCTACTCCAAAAACCTTAACCTAGTCACTCATCCGGAAAATGTAGGTCAGATCCAGCATCCGAAGCAAGTTCAGTAGTGTGCATCCTTAGATGTATCATCCATGCAAGTTTGGTCAATATAGGGCTTATAGTTACTTGGAATTGAGACCTGCTCCAAAAACTTTAACCTGCTCCAAAAACATTAACCTGGTCATTCTTTAGCTGAAATTGCAGCATCTGAAACCTTGACTGGTACGATGAAACACACCAGAAGCATCCTCCATGCATCTCTGACTAATATAGGCCATAGAAGTACTTGAAAAGAAAACTGCTCCAAAAACCTTAACCTTGGACGCCGACGCCAAGGGTATTACATAAGCTCCCCCAACTTCGTTGAGGTGAGCTAAAAATTACACTGATACAATGAAACAATAATCATGTACAAGTTTATGATAACAAACAAGAAACCCCTACTATTTAAATGCATCTAATGCCTTCTTGTGTAGACCGTATCTGTCCCCCTGTAACTTGGTACCCTGAGCCTTGAGACTGTAGCCAATGCCCAGAGCCACATATAACCGACTCAGCAGAGGGTGGCTCTCAGAACAGCTGTCTATTGCCTGCTGGACTAGATTTATTCCATCATTGTACTGAAAGTGAAACAAGAATCAACAATTACATAATATACTTCTGTTTAGGATGTTATGTTGCCCAATGTCATAACAACTACCACCAACACTCCTTGAATTCTTTTTTGTTTTTGTTCTGATATTATAAATCACTTTTTACCCACAATAACTTTATTTTCGAGCAAAAATTTCATTCTCATGTATACAAGTATAATGTATTGCATTATTAAAAGTTATACAAACAATATACTCAACAATAACCAAATTTCATGTAAATTGTTTTTGCTCATAAATACAAAATAATAACATCGCAAAAATAAGGTGTCGAGAAAATTTGGTGCTCTACAATAAACATACTGTATACAGGAAAATTTTCACCTCCTTTTATTTTCGCCCAAGACACAAGTGAGTGAATTTAAGAAGGCGTGAATTCAAAGAAAACAGTATAATTTCTTATCAAACAGAACTGTGACTGAGCGAATTTAAAATGGGGAATATTGTTTGCAAGTGTGAAAGGGAGAAAATAACATGGGGTGAAAATAACCCTGTATACAATAATCGATTCATGATACACTTACTAGATGCAGACATTCAAAGCATAGCTTTGCTGCTTGCAGTAAAACCACTGTATTCTTTGGCTTTAGTCTCGAGCATTCTTTCAAGACATGTAAAGCTCTGCTATACTGAAAATAACATTAGGAACCAATTGAAAGTTTGGTTTCACTCTGATTAGTAGACTAGATATCTTCATTTTTATTTTTAACTTGCACTAATACCGGCATACACTGAACAAAATATATTCAACAAGTGAGGCAATATCTCAAATTCATGTACATTCATATTTCCATTACATTTGAAAAACAAGTCTTGGAAATAAAGAGATTGAATTGTTCATTACCTTTCCTGAACATATAAGTGTATTAGCAAATTGATGCCAGATATGGAATTCTTCAAATGAAAATCGCATAGCCTTCTCAAAGGACTGGAAAATAAATAGCCATCATTACTCACAACATTATCTACATACAACCTGGTTAACTTATTCAACATTGAGTATAAAAAGCCTGAAAAGCTTCAAAGGCGTTGAACATGAAAAACAATTTCAAAAGTTCTTTTTGAATTAAAAATAAAATTTAAACTTTGTAAATAAAATGTCATAATTATAGTTTTGGGGCCTTATGCCAAGGTTTGAATAGAACGTGTTCAAATTAACCAGACACCATCAAAAGTAAATATGTTCAACTTCATGCTAAATATTTTAACTCAGTTGAAAAACTAGAAGGGATTTAATGAATTTTTATGATATTATTATTTTAATTGTCAATGCCTAAACATTGTTTTTAGTGATTGCACCTTAGCTATGACCAAGTTCCTGCTACGACTATGAATTATTTTTGGGTATTGTATATGGTATACTAGGAAATGGAGCAATACAGTAATAGAAGTTGATTTCTTCAATTTTTGTAATAAATTTGGAATTAAAATTGTAAAAGTAAGGGTTAAAATTAAATGTTTTTAGTCTTCTAGTATTCATATTTAATTTTGCGATTACAGTCAGATGGGTTGTTTTCTGTTACATGGTTATTCTTCCGAAAAGTTATTCAAGTTATTTGATGCATCACTTTCTTTAGTTCATCCGCAACAACTATCCCATTTTTCTAGTGTGAAAATAAACAAGGTATCTGTGTTTTGTAACAGAATTAATAGTAGGTACATGTATAATTGATCAATTTCATTTTCAAGTTATTATTCATTGTGAGCATTTTCAAAGAAATTGATACATGTATACGGCTATTTTCTTTTGAGCATGCATCAACTGAAACCTTTGCTTACGTAAATTCTTATGGGCAATTCAAATGGAATGCTCCCTAATATGGCTTTTGAGCTCTGCTCGACGACATAAATAAACAATTAAGAAGTGTAAAAAATTCTATAATTTTAATGTCCTTTTTAGATGTATTCTGGACGGAGACTTACATCAGACAGTTTGAGGAATTGAGTACACCTGACCAGAGTGATGGCCAACAGATCGTATACTGCCGTCGTGTTCTCGTAGCTGATGTGTCGATCTTCCCGATGTTCCTCAGACTGGTTAAGCACAGCCTCTCTTGTCACCTGTTTATATCATCCACATATACAAAAAATCAAAGTAATGGACGTGACATTATAAATCAGACAAGTTAAGCACAGCCTCTCTTGTCACCTGTTTATATCATCCAAATATACAAAAAATCAAAGTAATGGACGTGACATTATAAATCAGACAGGTTAAGCACCGCCTCTCTTGTCATCATTCATATCATCAAAATAAACTATAAAGCGAAGTAACTAATGTAATATAAAAAATCATTAACAAAGTAATTCAATCCAAAATACAAACAATTTAGTGCTTTTTGTGTTATGTACAATTTACATGGTATAATGTTTGTTTGGAAATTGATTCCTAAAAATCCTGCCTATAAAAGCCTATTACTTCATAAAGAAACAAAGAAAGCTGTGAAAATACATGTATAATTGCTTCTTCCACAAGGAGGAGTATTTATGACACTTACGATTGCTTTTGCTACAAGGAGGAGTAAAAATCACACTTACGATTGCTTCAGCCACAAGGAGGAGTAATAATGACACTTACCATTGCTTCTGTTACAAGGAGGAGTAATAATGAAACTTACGATTCCTTTTGCCACAAGAAGGAGTTAATAATGACACTTATGATTGCTTCAGCCACAAGGAGGAGTAATAATGACACTTACGATTGCTTCAGCCTCAAGGAGGAGTAATAATGACACTTACGATTGCTTCAGCCTCAAGGAGGAGTAATAATGACACTTACCATTGCTTCTGTTACAAGGAGGAGTAATAATGAAACTTACGATTCCTTTTGCCACAAGAAGGAGTTAATAATGACACTTACGTTTGCTTCAGCCACAAGGAGGAGTAATAATGACACTTACAATTGCTTCAGCCACAAGGAGGAGTAATAATGACACTTACGATTGCTTCAGCCACAAGGAGGAGTAATAATGCCTCTTCATTAAGTTCACGTGGGATGAACAAACTGAAGAAAAATGTCCAACCAACATTTAAACTGAATTTAGTATTCAGTGAACCATGCTTAAAAAAAGTATTGTCAATGTGAAATGGTTCACAATTTTAACTCTTTTGCATTACATCAATTCTTTAAATCTAAAAAAAGTTTTTTTGAAGTATTCAGTAAGTAAAAGCAGATATATTCATATGGAATTATATTTCATTTCTTTCGGTGATTGCATTCATCAAGAAATTAAATACCTATGAAATATTTACCCAGATACATGTACTGTAATGTTATGGTTATTTGTAAAGCAATGAAAATAATTCCCCACAAAATTGATTTAAATGATAAATCTATGAAATTTTATGTCCATGAAAACTTCTGTTTCTACATTAAACACTTACTTTTCACCTGAGTATTTTCTAGGTAATGGATGTGTAATTTGACTAGAGCTGGAATGACTAACTTCTATAGGTATATAAGTCTTCTCACACATGCCTCGGATCAATACTTCAGCCAACTGCCTGGCCAGTGCCTGCATCAATTTGTAAAATATGGATAAATAATTACTGATATTTTATTTGTCATAATACATGTATGTACCCACTCTTTTTTCAGTTAAGTATAAATAAAGAAAATCATACCTGTCGAAGACTTTGAGTGAATCTAGATTCTACAACTCGCAGTAGCTCTCTAAATCGCCCTACTCCTTGTTTGATGTCACTGTAACAAGAAAATAAAATATGTATCTGATTGTTCAAACTTAAAAGTAATGCAGTCAGTATTTACGGGTTTGGTGTGGTTTCTGTTCTCTCTAGACTTTCCATACATACTCAGAACATATCTACATTTTACATAGTTAGACTGATATTAACTACTTTCATTGCTTTTATTGTATGTGCCAGGCATTGAGGATGCTCTGGTTCACTGTTCATATTGGCAGATGATAGAAAGAAGTTATCTAATCATTTTCAAAACTAGATCTTGCCTGAAATCAGTAGGAAAAATTAAATACTGTGAATAGATGGTACCCCCTAAAATCCGACATGTACATAGAAATATGATTTTTTTTTTTTAAAAACTACTAATTTCAGCAGTTTCCAGTTCTAATTTTAATCATTTTTTTCAGACAGAGAAAGATTAACAAACAAATACACTAAGTACTCCATCATAAAACAAAGCCCCTATGTGCTTACCCCCTTTTGATGTACACGAGCAGTGACTGTGTTATGGCCTATGTACTTACCCCCTTTTGATGTACATGAGCGGTGACTGTGTTATGGCCTATGTACTTACCCCCTTTTGATGTACATGAGCGGTGACTGTGTTATGGCTTATGTACTTACCCCCTTTTGATGTACATGAGCGGTGACTGTGTTATGACCTATGTACTTACCCTCTTTTGATGTACATGAGCGGTGACTGTTTTATGGCATTCTCCAGGATGATATCTACTTCCTCTTCCCCTGATGAATTACTCTGGGCCATTTTCTCTCTCTCCTGGACATACAGAAGGGCTAAGTCTCCTGCTGTCTCAAAGCACTGTAACACCAGCTTCTCTTGCTCGGCAGCCTTATATTTGCTGGTGGTGCTGGGACCTTTGGATTCCAAGCATGATCCTGGAGTTCATTTGAATACAAACACCTTGATACACATCTTATCTTTATACTGTATAGCTTTTACTCTCTTTCAGTCTTGATTTTTTTTTTGAATTTCAGAAAAGATATGGCATTAATGATGTAAAATTTCCAACAATGAATTTCTAACATATACATATTTTTTTTTTTCATTGGATCATGACATTACATTACCATGCAGTGTGAAATTTACCTTTGATGGAATAAGCTTCAGCCAGAAGTTGGAGAACACGTGGAGCCATGTTCTGATCCAGTACACTATCTAAGTTGATCTCATCATACAATCTTAATGTCTCATCATAGGAACCTTTACAGTAATACAGCTTAGCTAGTAAGAGTTTGGCTTCAAATGACAGCTGAAATGAAACTCACATCCTTGTATATTTTATACCATTCATAGGCCTTTACCCCATAAAATATTAAAATATCTTACTCAGGGCCAATTTTTACCTGCTTCAGGGGTAAAGGCCTAGTTATCAAATGAAAGAATGGAATGCTTGCAAAATTAATTATTGATTAAAAACACCAGTAATTTTTAACGTTTTACAATAAATTCATTGTAAAATTGTGACACAAGTTTCATGACCAACCTTATTGCCACTGCTGGCTATACTGGACAGAGTTTTCTCGACATCTGTCAGCTGATCACAAGCTTTATTGTGATTTTTTTCAAGAGGTATATTGTCTTTGACATAGTGTTCTAATGTGCTTTCTGCATGAGTAAAAGTCACATAAAAATCTGGAAAAAAAGTCAGTAAAATCAATTTTCACTGAAAAAAGGTGATATCTTATTGCAATTTCACAATCTACAGCTGAAATAAGCATTTACATAGATGTGGTAAATGTAATTACTTTATTCATGATTGTGCTTACTAGTCTATACCTAATCTTGACTGAGATTCGCCCTGGCTGGATATGGAATGATGCCTTCGCTGAATCTCGGGATAGTCCTTCATAATTCAAATATCCAGCCAAGTTGAATCTCATCCAAACAAAGTATATACCAACAGATGCCCAAATTTTGAAAATGCTATTAATAAGTATTAAAAGTATGAACCAAAATCTCCCTTAGTACTAAAAATTTTTCATCACATCAAGAAAGGGCATTATTTTGGTGCTTGATGGGTATCAGAATTATGTTAATATCAAGTGCAGTAAGCTCAATAGACTAACGTGTAAGAACAGAAAAATTTGATTCATTAAAATCTATAGACAGGTGTAGCATAATATTTTGATACCGCGATATATTGAACCCGGGTGCAATATATCGCATAATATTTTGAACCCGGGTTCATATTTTCGCTGCGATATAATGAATCCCCTTATAAAATATTGAACCCGGTGGGTTCAAGATATTATGACCATAAAATATTGAGTCCCCTACCCTTATAATTTAAGAGGGAGGGGGGTTCAAGATATTATGACCATAAAATATTGAGTCCCCTACCCTTTTAATTTAAGAGGGAGGGGGGGTCAAGATATTATGGCCATAAAATATTGAGTCCCCTACCCTTATAATTTAAGAGGGAGGGGGTTCAAGATATTATGACCATAAAATATTGAGTCCCCTACCCTTTTACTTTAAGAGGGAGGGGGGGTCAAGATATTATGGCCATAAAATATTGAGTCCCCCTACCCTTTTAATTTAAGAGGGAGGGGGTTCAAGATATTATGGCCATAAAATATTGAGTCCCCTACCCTTTTAATTTAAGAGGAGGGGGGGTCAAGATATTATGGCCATAAAATATTGAGTCCCCTACCCTTTTAATTTAAGAGGGAGGGGGGTTCAAGATATTATGACCATAAAATATTGAGTCCCCTACCCTTTTAATTTAAGAGGGAGGGGGGTTCAAGATATTATGGCCATAAAATATTGAGTCCCCCTACCCTTTTATTTTTAGAGGGAGGGGGGTTCAAGATATTATGGCCATAAAATATTGAGTCCCCCTACCCTTTTATTTTAAGAGGGAGGGGGTTCAAGATATTATGGCCATAAAATATTGAGTCCCCTGCCCTTTTAATTTAAGAGGGAGGGGGGTTCAAGATATGATGGCCATAAAATATTGAGTCCCCCTACCCTTTTATTTTAAGAGAGAGGGGGGTTCAAGATATTATGGCCATAAAATATTGAGTCCCCCTACCCTTTTATTTTAAGAGGGAGGGGGTTCAAGATATTATGGCCATAAAATATTGAGTTCCCTACCCTTATAATTTAAGAGGGAGGGGTTCAAGATATTATGGCCATAAAATATTGAGTCCCCTACCCTTTCATTCAATTTAAGAGGGTGGGGGGGTTCAAGATATTATTACCATAAAATATTGATTTCCCTTACCCTTTTACTTTTAAAGGGAGGGGGGTTCAAGATATTATGACCATAAAATATTGAGTTCCCCAACCTACCAAAAAAAAAATTAAATTAGGAGGTACAACACTTCAACGCCATAATCTCAGAAACCCCTATGCTTGAAACAGAGAATGTAATGGGGTTCAAAATATTATGGCCATAATGCTATAATATAATGAACCCGGGGTTCAAAATATTATGGCCACAAGGCCATAATATATTGAACCCGGGGTTCAAAATATTATGGCCCTAAGGCTATAATATATTCAACCCCGGGTTCAAAATATTATGGGCCTAAGACTATAATATATTGAACCCCGGGTTCAAAATATTATGGCCATAATATTTTGAACCCGGGGATCAATATTTTATAGGGGGTTCAATATTTCGCAGCGATATTTTGAACCCGGGTTCAAAATATCGCGGGGTTCAATATATTATATGACACTGGTATTCGTCAAGCAAATTTTTCTGCGAAACCTTCCCAGAATTCCTTCGCTATCAGGATTCCATGCAATAATGGTGAATAAACAGTCTCCAGTTATCATGTTATCATGTATTAAAGATTTACTTAGTAGTCTGTGCAGAGAGCTTAGATGAAACAAAAAATAATTGCATCTATTCTACAATGCCTTTCACTACAAAACTGCAAAAGGCCCATTTAGACTCGTTACAAAAATTTAACTTACATATGATGTCAAGTGACGTCACAGTCTAAGACTGTCTCTAGATAAAATGTTCAATTGTAAAAATCATCGTCAGATACCCACGGGTGATCTTGTCTTGCAAAATCGCCGAAAAATTGTCATATGTATTTAATATGCGTGGGTCATTTGATTGGCTGCTGAACTGAGTCGCAATGGCAAAAACTATTCCATAGTTAACATGCCCTAGTTAACACTGATTGCAGTTTGAAAAAGGCACTCCCATATAATTTCTGACTGGTATTTAATGTCAGTGGCCTGTACGAATTGACTTTAATCGTTTTAAAACAAACTTTGCTCATTTTAACAAGCGTCAAAATATTTACCATAAATAGCAAACTAATAAACATATTTTTAAAATTGAAGAATTCCAACTTTCTGATTGGTTGTCTATAATCAACAAATTAGCATATTTTACGGTGATATTTCAGCGAGTTTGCCCACGGGTGATGAGTAAAGACGAGATCACCCATGGGTATCCAAAGATGCATTAAAATGAGAAATGTCCTACAGACCCAGTTTAACAAAGAATGCGTTCCATGAATTGGGGATGTAGCAAAGCAAACATGGGCAATAACTAACTAAATGCATTTATTTTCAAAATCCAGTGAGTTCCGATTGTCAACATGGAATGTAAATTTGAAGTGAGTAAAAATTGCTGAGAAAAAGTGTTGAATTCTTCCATTATTTAATGGTTATTTTCAATGCAACTTCATTAATTTTCTACAAAATAGTTTCAGAGTGATTCTGCAATTTTTTGCTACATTGCAGTTATCTAACTGTGGTGATGGCCTGTCCTGATACACAGATAAATTATTCTAACTAGACCAGGTCCAGCACAATACCCTGATAAAGGTATATAGCTTGATAAAGCTATATTACTTTATCAAGGTATTACAACTACCTTGATCAAGTAAATTCACTCATGCATGTAAAGTACTCAAACACGAAGAAATCAGTATAAAAGCATGTCATGTGAGGAGACGTTCTTTCATGCTGTCTTTTTGATACCTGAATACTTTTCATGCGCGAGTTAACACATTGACCCCTACTCATAATTTGACTTTTCAATTTAATTTTTTAAGATTTTTTTTTTGTATTTTCATTACATAAAATACCTTGATCAAGGTATTTGTAATACCTTGATAAAGCTATATAACTTTATCAAGCTATATATACAAAAATTAGCGAAACTTAGTTTCACAGTTGATAAACTAGGTTTATCGACTGTAAACTATAGTTTACAAACCCTGAACTATAGTTAACGATTCGTTAACTATAGTTTTCATCTGTAAAACTATATTTAACGGTTGTTAACTATAGTTTACGAATGCTAATCTAAGTTTATCTGTCTGTAATTAAACGTTAACAATAGATTTTGTTGATAAACATAGATTCACATCTGTAAACTATAATTTACAATCGTGAACTATAGTTAAGAGTTGTTAATCATAGTTTCACAAATCGTGAAACTATATTTATCAGATAAACTATGTTTTACATTCGTTAACCATAGATTTCGGTTGTAAACTATAGTTAACTGTCATTTATACTCACAAACTATATTTAACAGACGTAAACTATACTTATCGATCGTAAACTATAGTTCTGAGAGCTAAACTACGATTCACATTTGCCAATCATAGTTTATCGTAATAAACTATAATTCACACTCGTAAACTATAGTTAAGAGTTGTTAAATATAGTTTATGAATCTAAACACCTGTTAACTGTTAACGATAGTTTTCAATTCGAAATTTCGCGGCACCAATCGCGAGAGGCAATAATGGGGTATTGGTTTTATCAGTGCGGAGAATATTAAGGACACGTGTTGGGCATTATCTAAAGCAAAGACCGAGTTATATATAATCAATATTACTTTCTCTATTTAAACAGGATTAATTGTATTTATTTTAAAATGCCGTGTATATATACTATTTCCTATGGGGAAATTTTTAGAAATATGATAAAATTTTAATTTTTTAAAAGACAGAATATTACAAGATTTTTGCTCAAGCAGGGGAGGGTGAAGCGCATTTTACAATGTGCCAAGCATTTTCCCGCCACATCTCATCACCAAAACAAAGAAACTGAAAGAGAGGAAATGCAGTGGTGGATATAGATAGGGTTGTGGGGGTTTCAACGTCCTCCTTTGAATTTAAGAGAGAGAGAATGAGAGAGAAGTCCCAAATATTTGTTGTGTTTGTTCCGTGAAAGGCCACTTTTATTTATGTATGAAGAAAATTCGGTTGTTGAAAAATAAATTCTGCACCTGCAATGTTACATGTACTGTGTTATGTCTTTATTTACAGATGAATATAAGATATACATGTATTTTATTAATGACAGATCACGCATTTCGGTCTCTATTTCTCTCTTTTAAATCAAAAAAATAAAATTTTAATCAATAATTTTCCAGTCATTTTTCTTTTTATTTCCAACTAGATTTGCTTTAAAATAATAGAACATTTACTTATAACGCCAACAAGAAATATACATGCATATATATTTAACAACAATTGTCGTTACATAGCAAAATCTTATAATGCTGTAACTAGGATTAGCCGATCTATAATTTACAAAAAAAAAAAACTATTGTTAACTATAGTTTTGATCGTAAACTATGGTTTAGAGTCGTGAAATCTAGTTTCACAGAAAATTGTGCATCTCCGATACAAAATAAGAGATTCTATTCCTAAACTGTGTTTCTCAAGTGTAAAACTATGTTTATCGCATTTTTGTGAATTTGGCGCTTTGTATGTCTGTAAAGTATATTTTACAAAGCCTAAACTATAATTTACATTTGTTAAGTATAGTTTAGAGTTGTAAATCATAGTTTACAAATCGTGAAACTATATTTATCAGATAAACTATATTTTGCAGTAGCAAATGATTGTTTTCCGTGTTTACACTTGTGAAACATAGATTATCGTGTAAACTATAGTTTACATATGTGAAATATAGATTATCATCGTTAACTATAGTTTACGGTCTGTAAACTATAGTTTACAATCAATAAACCTAGTTTATCAACTGTGAAACTATGATTAGCTCATTTTTGTGAATTGGGGGGGCCATATATATACCTTTATCGGGGTATTGTGCTGGAATCCGGGATGTTTCGCGCCGATTCTGTTTCGCACTGAGATGGTTCGCGCCCAGATGATTCGCGCCGATTTAGGTGCGAACCATCTCACGATTTATTTTAAATATTCCATGACATTTTTATCCATTTTAAAAAATTGTTTATCAATTATAAGATATACATATATAGATGTTGTATGTTCAAATGCATGACTTAATAATACATGTATGCACTGCCAAAGATTACGGATCGTGTTCATCAAATATTCCATGAGGATTTAATTGTAATTAGTTGTTGATCGAAAGGTGAGAATTTATTAATTGACGTGTTGGTAGTCAAACCAGCAATAATTACTTAATTAGATGGCGGTATTATAATTAGCATGGTGTTAAAATAATACATAATTATATGCTATGTATACTTTAAACACAGACATAAATAATTATGTCTCTGCTACAAATATAATCTTCTTGAATTAAAAAAAATGTTGCAAAAAATATCAAAATTTACACCATATAACAGGTTTAAAATTTTGTTAAACGAACTTTAGTAGGCTAGCACATATTTGTACAATGTGGGGCGAACCATCTCAGCGCGAAACGGAATTGGTGCGAAACATCGCAGCGCGAACCATGCTTAGGTGCGAAACATCCCGTTACCTTGTGCTGGACCTGTACACTGTCTCGTGCGGATTGAAGTTTTAAGAGGCGGATCAAAATTCAAATTGTAAGCTACATAAAGATTTCTTTTGGTATACAACTGCACTCGCTCCAACGGTGGCACCGTAAAACATAGTACGTGTGTGTGACATTGAACACAGGTACTGGATGGAGTATATTTCGCAATTTTCTATTTAAAATTTGCATAATTCTCATCAATAACAAACTAACCTAATTGTTGGTACTTATTTGCAAGTTGTTTTGCTGCTTCTAATGCCTTTAACCATGATCTTTCCGCCCTACACCTTTCGATTTCTGATTCTAGCCTATTAAACTTAGCTTTTGCAGCCATATTGTCACACTGCCATCTGTTGACAGGAAGTATTTTTATAGTCTCCATCCAAAAATATTACACATATAGCGAGTTAACTTTTTAATTCTTTTATGTAGATAAATCTGTATTTAAGGAATAAAACAGCATTTTTACTCATCATCCTATCGATGAATGATATTTGATATATAAAAAAATAATTTGAACACATTTATTTTTATTTGAGGCTATATTCGCGCACGTTTCTTCCTTTCCGTCGTACGCCATTTGATTGAGGGTACACATGGATTTCTTAACTCAAGTTTTAACAATAATTGTATATTGATACATACATAATGCATAAATTCAGTCTGTTAATATTTCATAAAAGTTTTTTTTGATGATGAAGTGCTTGATAATTTAGCCTGAAATTAACAAAACACCAAAATTAAACTTTTCAATCTTCAGTCAGTGTAAACTCGTTAAAATATTGGCATTGAATAATCCGAATATTGAGTAAGTATGTTGCCAATGCTTGTAGGGATAAAATAAAAAAAGGTTATAGAGAATTTTAAATGATATCTTGTGAAGTAAAATGCATTGAAATCTTGTTTCAAGTTAAATTAACCTTGTCTCGGAAAAGCTCAGTGAAAGAAATTTTGGACTTGTCTATGGCCGCCATGTCAATCCCCTGTCTGCTTTTCTGTGGCTTCTTCACACTGCTTTTCCCCAATGGGATTTTTCCCCAATTTTCCCAATAGCCCAATGGGCTATTTCATTCTCCTAGTTAGTTTCGCACACTGTAACTATACAGGGCCGGGTTTTCAAAATGATTCTAAACAAGTGGTACTTTTACAAAAATGGGAGGTGCATGGCAAAGGCAATTTAATTAAATTGTAAATGAATTTGTCTTCTGATCACTGAATATTTTTGTCCGGTATAATTCTGCAGATTTTGAAAGCCCTAACTATAGCAGACTTGTTGAAATTTTGAAATCATTCATGATTGTCAGACATTTGGTCTGACAAAGTCAAATGTTTTGTTGGAGCGAATGAAGTTTTGTCAGACTAGATACATTTACAGATGTGTTCCATAATTTAATGGCAAAAATCCAAGATGGCTTTGCTCAAATGTGAAGTGTAATGTAAACAATAAACATAAAATAAGTAAAAAAAAATAACTTACCAATATTTAATATTTTTTCATTTCACCTTTGACCCTCAAAACTTTCCTCATGCGTCTCGGCAGGGAATTATATATAGCCCCTGTATATTTTTCAAAGGATGTCTACGATAGCCCTGGAAAGTTCATCGGGGGTAGTGATATTTTCCATGCAATGTTGCAATCTCTGTTAAAGTTTTATTGGAAATGTCAATGTTGTAACAGATGATATTGATGAAATAACAGATAAAAGATGACATGAATTGATAAACAAAAGTATCAAAGACTACGATAAAACATTGTAACATTTGTAATTTTTTTCTTAAAAAGAAGATAATTTCAGAGTGAGATATAATTGCCAGGAAATACTCAGAATGCAGGATTTAGCACCATTTACTCCAGAGCACCCAGACCCTGGGCTATTTGGAGTCGTTTATAAATCTGTTTTTTCACTCGACTTCAGAATCATGTCTGAAAATAAGTCTCGGAAAAGTAAAAAATATATTGATGGAAGAGCAGTATGTTTTGTTGAGGAAAGCCTTCTCTTTTTTGTGGCGGAAAAGCAGTGTTGAATTGTGGAAAAGTGGAACAGTGTTTTCTATACTTTCAAACTAATTCAAATAAAATATTTAGGACTGTATTATTTTATTAACATTCTATCTGGTGCTGCATTATCAAGACATGAATATTGTTTTTCTCATTTTCCCTTATCCAAAGATAAAGGGAATAGTTTTAGAAAACATTTAAAGGGCCCACAGAAAGACATGAAAGATACAGTTGTAGACAAAACTTGAGTTGAATTCTAGTTCTTCACTTTTTTATAAGGAAACAATAACATGAACAACAAATTATGGCAATGATGAGTAATTAGGACACCTTATGAAGACACTGATTCAAATATGGTTATATGTCCTGAGCCATTTAATATTTTCTTTATGCATGATAAGGAATCCTAATTTTGAACCAATGCTAAATTGTTTTATCTTTATTTACAGCGTTGCATGAATTAAAAATGCAGATCTTTGTTAAGACCCTGACGGGTAAAACAATTACCCTAGAGGTAAGGAACGTTTGAAATTATAATTTATAGTTCACAATTTTCTGATCAAAGGATGTCAGGCTCCATCTGTTGTCCATCATATGTCGTACGTCTGTCATCTGTTGTCTGTGTTTCACATTTTTGACTTCTTCTCAAGAAATAACTGAAGTTAGCACAAAGCATCTTTGGGTGATAGGTATTCAAGTTTATTCAAATGAAGGACGATTCCCTGTTTCAAGGGGAGATATAAAGAATAAGTTAAAATTTAAGGGCATCTTTTAAAGATCTTCTCAAGAACCACTGGACCAAAAAATCTTTTAAAAATCTGATAATGAAGAACAGCAAAGCCATGAAAAGTCAAATTTATATGGAAGCATCTTCAGTTAGAATCGATTCAAATTTGTTCAAATCATGACCCCTGGGAATAGGGTGAGGCCACACTAGGCAATCAAAGTTTTACAGTAGAATATATAGGAACAAATCTTAGTAAGAACATCAAAGCCATGATTATTTATATTTTTATTAAGGATGTCAATGAATAGTTGACTATTTGACTATTAGTATTTTCCAAAACAGCAGGACCATATTGTATCAATATGTAGCATCCCAATGTTTTGTTGATATAACTAAGAATAAAGCATAACTCTAAGGTTTAAGATTTTGATCCATGACATGGATTCAAAATATTTATGAAATTAAAGAGGAAAATATAAAAAAAAAAATCTGCTGGACCGAAGTGTCTGAGTAGAGCATTGTGGCCCATGGACCTCTTGTTTGTTCATAGATCAATCTAATTAAAATTAGATGTTCCGAATCCGGTATCGCTTCTCAAACATCTAACAACATCCCATTCGGGGTCACGTCAGAGCGACCTTTCGATTACCCAATGAAATCGCCGTCGTCGAAATCTTGGCTTATAGTTCGGATGCGTTTCTTTTTTTTACTGCCAAACCTAAACGCCCGAGAGGTTTCGTAGTAAACAAAATATGCATGGTAAAGACCGTGCTATATATGAATGTGACTTGCGGGATATATAGTAGTTTGTGCATTTTCGTTTGCGTTATTCAGGTAAGAATGCCAGATTGGCGGACTAACGTTCAATTTATACCAAAATTACTTTAATTCAACGTAAAACAGTCTACTGAGCATCAATAATATAGAGATGTAGCCGTGGAACTAATTTTAGAATTGAATACAGAAGGTTGAATCTGATTGGCCAAAATTTTTATGTTTATTCATAATCGAAAGGTCGCTCTGACGTGACCCCGAATGGGATGTTGTTAGATGTTTGAGAAGCGATAGCGGATTCGGGACATCTAATTTTAATTAGATTGTTCATAGATCTATGTATATTTTTGATTAAAAAGTGACATCCTGCAATATTTCCTGAATAATGAAAATGAGAATTTTAGGATATGCATAGCAATATGAAAGACATTAAAATTATTTTGCTTTTGATTGACAGGTTGAGCCCAGTGATACAATCGAAAATGTTAAAGCTAAGATTCAAGACAAAGAAGGTATGATTACAGTGTACCAGAATTTATCAAATTTTACATTACAAGATAGAGAGTTTGCATGTGTTAAGCTTGACAGAGATGTATATACAGGTGACTCTCGATGGCTCGTACTCCGATCTCTCGAAGTTCTCGATCTCTTGAAGTGAACCTCCGGTCCCGTTTCTTTCCTCTATATAACTAAGCAAATTTACTCCCGATCTTGAGAAGTTCTCCATCTCTCGAACCAAGACTGGGTCCCGTTACACACATTTCATTGTCTTTTACTCTCTATCTCTCGAAGTTTTGATTGCGAATGTATACACGTCAATCAAGCTTAAAATTAATGCAGCTTGGACTTACCTGGATAACAGTGATCGCCTGGGGCTGGGATGGACGTGTTAAGTGGGTGTTTACCGTATTTGGGCGAATATAATACGCATTGGTGTAAAATACGCACCCCCCTCTTTGAGCCTGAAACTGGGGGAAAAAATGCAGTACGGCTGTATTATATGCAGCAGAAAATTTTACCAAGCGGTGTTCTGAACTTTTGAAAATCGCGGTAATTTGCTATGAAAATCGGCGCGGAGATAAAGTGCCAAAAATTTACAGAACACGATATTTTATTCAAATGCGTTTTTATTTCTTAATCTTGACTTTCCATATCGCGGCAATCTGGAGGAAATTATTTATTTTAACAAAGCACGAGATAATGTTGCAATAAAGTATTAACAGAGTTTATTATTAATTTTTTTAGCATACGGTGATATTAAAATTATACGTATTCTAACTATTCTTTGTGGAAATAATTTTATTTCAACAAAGCACAAGATATTGTTGCAAGTTTAACAGTTGTCATATTTATTTTTAGTTTAAGGTAATCATGTAGAAAATTATGTAAATTTAACAGGGCAAGCGATATTGCAACATCAAAGTATTCATAGACTACGATTTTCTTCTTTTGAACTTGGAATTAATTAATTAAATAAATAGCTGATGTTATAAAAATAAAATCAAAATTTAACAAGCGTGTAAAGTGTAGTTATCAAGACACCTCCAAAGCTGTGAAAAATGATGTACAAAGGTGGGATATATGTCTTCATACATCGAGGTAATTTTCTTGGATATCTTATTTTCTACAGAGCACGAGTAAATGATAACACTTAAGTTTCAACATACTTCGTATTTCCTTTTTTAACTCTCAATCATTTTAACACGAGGCCGATATAAGATAAGTAAAATTACATTTAACAACGTTTAACTGTTTAATGTGTTGTAATCAACACAGGCTTATACATACGAAAGATCATAAACCAACCCACGATTTTTAAGAAAGAAAATAATCAAAGCCATTAATAAGGGCAGTAAATAATCAGTGCTCTAACTGTAAAAACAATGCTTTGGAGTCGGAAAACAATTTAATTGCCTGGAGGGGTGTTGAGGGATAATTATCAAGTGACAAGCGCATGTGTTCACAACATTGGCTTCCATTCATTGGGATGTATAGAGGGGTGTTTATGTTGAAATGAATTTTCACTGAGTTATTTAAAACCTAAAATAAATTTTATTTTATTGTATTTCATTAAAAAATGACTTATTACTTTTTTGACTGCGTGTCTGACTGATTAGGTACATGTGTACTATGATAACAGAAGCACATGGCAAAGGAATGTGTGAACATCTATAAATAACATCGTTAATGGCGGCCTACAGGGAGACGATGAACATGCAGCTCAAAATTAATTTTAACTTGCTTTTAAATTTAATTTAACTATCAAAAGGTTATAAATATAACATTTTTAACAAGCCTACATTCCAACAATAACTTTCCGAAGTTTTAAATATGGCGATAAACAGCAAGAAATTGCATAAGTCTCTAGGTAATACTACGGTATGTGCATATGATAGTCGTGTTTCACATGAAAGAAAAACCTATCAAAATCCCATTGTGGTGTAAAATACGCACCCCTTTCTCACAGAAAATAATTTTGGGAAAAAAGTGCGTATTATATTCAGCCAAATACGGTACTTAGATGATACTACACCTATGAGTCGTCCAAGTGTTGATATAATTAACTGGTTAATTGGTAAATTATAAACAAATCGCTTCAGAACTTATTTTGACTGGACGAGACGATAATTTGAGAAAATAATTTAGGGACGTGTCAGTAATTTTCCATAATTTATGAAATTTAATTCATGTATTATTATAGAGTCTACACAATCCCAGTTTGGCAAACATTGCACAAGAAATCCTATCTCAAGACATGAATACTGATTACGAGCAATCTTGTGAAGGAACGATCAAGCCCGGCAGTAACTGAAACTTAAAATAATCATTTTATTTATTCAAAACATGACCAATGTTGTTGAATTCAATTGAATTACCCGTAAAATATGAATGAAAATGTGCAATGACATTATCAACATATACTTCCGGTATCTATAAAAGTAGAACAATGATGATCGGAACTGCAAATTCAGGATTTTATCCACTTTCTATCTCTCGAACTTTTCTTACGGTCCCTTGAACTTCGAGAGATCGAGAGTCACCTGTAATTTAAATCATTATGTACCAGGTTTTGGGGGAGTAATTTATCTTTGTTATTAGGCATTCCCCCAGACCAGCAGAGGTTGATTTTTGCCGGTAAACAGTTGGAGGATGGCCGCACTCTGTCTGACTATAACATCCAGAAGGAATCTACGCTCCACTTGGTGCTTCGTCTTCGAGGTGGTGCCAAGAAAAGGAAGAAGAAGAACTACACGACACCAAAAAAGAACAAACACAAGAAGAAGAAGGTCAAGTTGGCTGTTCTCAAATACTACAAGGTAGGTATAGGTAGGTTTTGTGGTTAATATCAATGTTTATCTTCAATCATGCCTGAACACTTAAACTTCCTGTGCTGAACTGTTCAAACTTGGCACAGAACATCTTATTAAATATATAGGCATTTAGGAAATCAAATTTATTTAAATGACAAGCAATGACTCTGCAAAAGAGAGATAATAAGTCCTTATTTGGTGTTGCATGAAATTTATTGATGTGATAATGATAGGCAGTGAACTAATAATGGAAACAGGATTTTTTGCATTGGATTTTTATCGCCCACTAAGATTTTTAGTTGCATTATGGTAATCTGTAATTCATCTTTTCATCTCTATTTTCCTGTTTTTTTTTTCCTTTGTAACTTTTTCCATAAGTATCTATGTTCAAACTTGGAAGGTGTTTTTTCAGCAAGTAGTAAGGCATACTTTGATACAAGACTGAGTCTGTATGACACCTGGATGGAAACTTTGGTGATGGGGTAGATTTATAATTTTGTAAGACATATTGGGCAAAAATAGTCAGCATTCACAGACATTAATAAAGTAAAAATTTTGTATTGAAAGAACTTAATAAAAAAAAAAAAAAAAATAAATCCGCCAAATTGCCCTAATTTAAAGCAAATTGGGGTGAGAATCTTAAGATTTAAATTTATGTGGCTTTATGATGGCCCTCGTTAACTGAATCAGTTTTCTGGTAAAATATTTGAATTTTTTCAATACCTTTCAAGACAAGAGTTTGTGAATCATATTGATATCAGTGATCAGATGTCTCGCTATGATGACAAAGTTAGGACACCTTATGAAGTAGATGATTCTAAACTTGTTACAAACTGAGCCAGAGTCTGATCTCTGACACAAACTGCTTTAAAACTTTGAAATTAAGCTATGACTTACATTTAATTTTGGCAACAACAAAAAATATGTGTCTTTTTTTTAATGATTCAATGAATGGTTTTAATAAAAATCCCATTTGTGAAATGCCTTGATTACAAAAAAAACATTGAGGACCATTTTTTACAGTAAGGCTTCTCTCCAGTCAAATAAAATGCACAGTCAAGAAATTGGGAGGCCTGTTTTCAAGAATGATTCACTATCAATCCTAGCCATAGAAATAGTATCCAAAAGTTCAGTTTTGATGTAAAATGCCTGGGTTTCATAGAATTAAGGGTGTGTTCAGTGGAGGATTTCCAGTAGCACTGGTTCACTTTCAGTCATATAGTGGAACAGGATTTTCCCTAGTAAATGAAATGTCAGTACAGTACATCATTGTGTGTGATTTCTGTTTTAGGTGGATGAGAATGGTAAGATCACCCGTCTGAGGAGAGAGTGCCCCAATGAGGAGTGCGGTGGTGGCGTCTTCATGGCTTCCCACTTTGACAGACAGTACTGTGGAAAATGCTGCCTGACTTATGTATTCAATAAACCAGAGGAGAAATAAACTCGCTTAGGGTCAACCTTTCTCTATCTTTGTGTTCATTTGTTCAAGTAGAGCGAAATATAACACATATATTGTATTTGTCATTCTGTACATGAAAAAGTTGTACAGGCATACCTAGCCTCACTTTTGAAGGCTGTTGAAGGCAATTTAAATAATTTCTGAGCAGGCGTTGGGGGGGGGGGGTAAATTTTCTGAGAAGATTCCATTGCTGTTAATTTTGTGTGGAAATTTTCATTCTGACACCCCCCTCCCCCCAACACACACACTGTGTGTTGCAGTGTAGTCAAGTCTTCCTTAATTGTGTGACTACATTTTGAATTGAGGCTATTTATATTGCAAAATATATATTGGACATTGTGAATAATGCATAGGATCATCAAATCTTGTCCGATGATGCATTTTTCTATTGCAGATCTGCCAACTCGCATGATTTACCCTTAATGTTTTAGGAATTACGATCTTAGATTTGATTGCCAAATCTCACGATTTTTACCATTTTCTGTTTTAAAATTATCTATGTAATGTTGGGGTAGTTGGATGCTTTTAATATTTCGACAAACGGATTACACATTTAAATTAAAATGATTGGATGACTAAATAGAGGCACAAAGACGTCAAGAATCGTTACAAAAACATTTTGGATTTGTACTTGTCTAAAAGTGTCATCATGTCAAGTTGATATAAACAGATGTAGATATATCTTGTGTTTAAAATGGTGACTATTTGATTAATGTGAATTGGGTCAATTTTTTCTTTTAAAGCCATGATAGAAAAAAGTCTGTTTTGGGGTAGTCAAGTCTGGTGTTGGAATGAAGAACCTTTAGAGTTCAGAAAGCTTTTCACTGTGAAGAGAGATATATAGGTCTCTATTGTGACGTACTCTATAGCTCACCTGAGCTGAAGGCTGAAGTGAGCTTTTCTGATCAAAATTTGTCCGTTGTCTGTCGTCGTTGTAAACTTTTCAGATATTCATCTTCTCCAGAACCACTGGACAAATTTCAACCAAAATTGCCACAAATCATCCTTGGGTGAAGGAGATTCAAGTTCAAATGAAGGGTCGCATCTTCTTCCAAGAGGAAATAATTAAAAATTAGTGGAAATTTAATGGCATCTTTCAAAAACAAAATGGTGGGCCAGAAAAGTTGAAACTAATGTGAAAGCTTCATTACATAGTGTAAATTCAGTTTGTTCAAATCATGACCCCTGAGATTAGGGTGAGGCTACAACAAAGTTTTACACGCAAACACATAGGAAGAATCTGCAAAAAAAAAATCATTCTTGAGGAAAGGAAAGCCATGATTAGTCATATTAATACAGAAGCATCTTTAGGAAGTGTGGATTCAAGTTCATATCATGAATGGGGAACCAGTTATATGTAGGAATATATAGGAAATATCTTTTGAAAACTCTTCTCAAGAACAGCAGAGTCATGATTATTCGTATTAAAAAAAGAAACGTCGTCAGATAGTATAGATTCAAAGGGGTTAAAATGGGGCAACAGTAGGGAGATCAAAGTTTTACATAAAAATATGTAGGGAAAAAATCTTTTAAAATCTTCTCAAGAACAGCAAAGCCATGATAAGTGATATTATATGTAAATCAGTTTATCAAATCATCCCCTCGACTATACTTACATATAACTGTACTTGTTTCTGCTGTTCTCTAAAACGTGCTCAGGTGAGCAATGTGGCCCCTGAGCGTCTTGTTAATTTTTCAACTTTCATGGTGACGCGCGTTGCCCTATTGGTTTAAAACATTCTAAATACATGTATGTAGGTTAGAGGGTTTTAAAATGATACGACAAAGTATTCAGAAAGTAAATCAATGTGACCTACTTTTGGAGGCTTATTCCCAGAACGGCTACTCACCAAGAAAGTTAACGGTACTTGTGTGATAGCATAAAGAATATGTGCGTATTTGTTATGAATTCGGCGGCAATATTCAAATTTCAACTAGGGCGAAAGGGGCGAAAATAAAACGGGGACGAAAATTTTCCTGTATACGGTAATACATTTATGGAATGTCAAGGGGATTACAAGAACGCGATTAATATTATCTGTATGGGATCATTTTTAACCCAAATATTGCATAATTAATATAAAGAAAAATATTCAATATGTTAAATGTACAATATCTCAATTTATTCTGCGAGTGTATTATCTTTAAAAAATATATAAACAAAGACCTCGGGAAAATCTGTGATAATGCCATTGTCTTTAAGAAAATCATCATTTCAATATACATGAGTATTTTTTAAATCAAATTTTGTAATTTGTTTTTCTATTTTCTTGTTAAGAGGCCCAATATACGCTACAAAAAAAAAAAAAATCCCTACAATCCGATTTATTTTCCTCAGAATAACAGGGGCCGTTTTAGTCACATTGATATTATTAAAGAATCCGTGTTGTTCTGTTTAGGCTTAAATAAGTCTTGGACCTTAAGAACTAGAGTGGGCACATTTAAGAGTCTTTATCACGAGATAAATATAGGGAGAAAAACCGTATTAAAATCTGATGAAATACAGCAGAGTCAAGGTACTAAGCCAAGCGTTCTAGTGGTTCTTGAACTTACCCCCCCCCCCCCCAAAAAAAAAAAAACAAACAAACAAACAAACAAAACCAACTAACTAAGAAACAAACAAAAAATAATAGTAAATGAAATGAATAATAGATAAATCAAGTTAGCCCACAAATTAAACGTATTGATAGATTTTAATGAAGGAAATTTAAGTTGTTTGTTTGTTAGTTAGTTTTTTGTTTTTTTTTTATTTATTTATTTATTTATTTATTTATTTATTTATTTTTGAGGAGAAAAAATACAATTCTTACTAATATATGTCCTGTTTTCAGTTGAAGACAATGATTTTATACGTGAATCAAATGGAGTAGCAGGGACGTACGTAGCATCGTTTTTGAAAGTGGAAGGGGGGGGGTGGAATTCAACTTACCTGAAAAAAACTTGACAAGCAAAAAAAAAAAAAAAAAAAGTAAATTTAATTGTCCGAAAATCCTATTTCGGGGGATGGGGGTGGGGGGAGGAGGGGTCCATTTTCTTTCTGGTACCAATACCAAATTTTATACATAGACTACTACATTACCCTGATATGACTACTGCAACAAAAATTGGGGGAGGGTGTCAATGCTTTCAATGAACATTTTCAATAGTAAAAAGTTATGTATGGAAAAAGTGAGGGGAGGCAGTCCCTACCCCCCCCCCCCCCCCCGATGCTACGTGCCTGAGTATAGTAAAGAAACTTCAGTTTATAAAGATCATCAATTAATATATCAAGCGAATCTTCTCTACCATAATATGTTGTTCTAAATTAAGTTGGATGTGGTTCATCTGTATTCTTTATAAGAAATAATTGTACATTTTTTTTTAACTGGACTTCAAAATGCAGCAGCGGAAATTAAGGGGTGAAACCCAGGACACCTACATTACATTGTCAGGTGCTCCAGCCATTGAGTAAAAGATTTTTTTTTTAATTTGATCTGAAGATGGAGTGACAAAACATAAGAAATAATTTTAAATACATTTAGAGTACATAGTACTTTAATATAGTTAACACAGAAAAAACATTTAAAAGAATAATTAATTTGTTCTGACAAGTAGAGATTTGAGGGAATTTGTGGAATATCAGGTCTAGCTTTATATACCTTCTGTTTTGCCACCCTGCAGGTGAGGTTAGACTTTATTTAGATCGATCTGTATAAATTTTAAAATGTCTTTTTTCCGTCCTTTTTCGATTTGTAGAGAAAAAAAAGATGGGAAGATCCCTCCCCCTCTTTTCTCCTTAGGAAAAGAATTCTCTCTGATTTGGTTTCTTTTAATTTAGTGGTGTTGTAATAAAAGCCTTGATGCGCAGATAACTCTGTTAAAGCAGACAAATCTAATTGTACGAGTTGTCTTTCCATAGCGTCATTAGTATCGCTCACTAGGTGGAGCAGTGTAAATGTAAACTAAATAGTTCTTCATAAATATGTGAATATCTTTATACTTTTGCAATTTAGAGATGACAAACCTATTAAAAATTCTACTTATTACATTTTCCAAGAAATATACTGCTTTAAATATTAGGAATAGTCTTTTTCTTGCTTCATAATGTGTATGAATAATTCGTTCACAAAGTTGAAAGGTCAAATTGGTATGGTTTCACAAAAACATTTTACCTGAGGTGAAATGTGGGAAAACATGGCATTGGTCAAAACGGGATAATTTAATTATTTGGATTTAATCACCTTGATGGATAGGATTTCATTTCCAGGGATATACTTTGAATAAGTGTCAAGGAATATGTAGTTGATATGTGCTTCAGTTAAAACTCCAAAGTTTTGAATTAAAAGTTCATTTAAAAAAGGAATGTCTTCTGCATTGTTTGATATTGAACAAATAATGCAAGACCAGGCAGGCTTATAAATAGAATGGCTGCCGGAGTTAATTTTATGGAGACACCCCTTGTGTTGTGGGTGAGGAATTTTTTAAATTTTATTTTCCCCACATTTTTGAAATTGTTAAATATTAATGTACCTAAAATTGCCAGTGTCATTATTTTGTTACTTGACATTACATGTATTACATTTACAGGTGGAGACATTCAGTAATGGTCGTACCTTGGAGTTCAAAGACCTGTGTGACGGGGTGTTTTTAAACGATGTCATGCTGCAAATGTAAGTTAAAAAGATCAAATTAAAATGCCTAAAATGTTGGTCTAAAAAGAATTATTTCTTGTGACTTAAATGACAGAAGAATCCCCATCCGTGATACACCACAACCAGCAATTGTGTATTCTAACATGGAAGTATTGCATTATAATAAATGAAGACATGTGTTTCAGTCCTACCTGTATTCAATCAGACTGATATACCAGATTAATTACAAAGGTCTTCATTGCTGTTTATTATGTGTACACATGATGTAGATCTATTTCAGTTTAATTTTTACAGTATTAAAATTACAAGCTTGAATTACATTCAGGTGCAATAGTAGTGTTGCACAGTACACATTGCCTGTTTGATGTGATAGGATGGTATAATTTTAGATGCATTTATAAAATTACCCCCAAATCAAAACTGTCAAACCCTGTAGGATTTAATAGAAATGGCATGTCCAGCTATTGATTTTTCTAGGGGAGAAATAGAAAATTAGCAACAATGGTCAAACTAGCCGAGCTTACAGAAACCTTTGACAATTATTCATCATTTTCTGGATCCATAAAAAGTAACAAATTCACCAGGAAAGGGGCCCACTTGCATCACAGCTGGGTGGTTCGGACATTGTTTACAAGTGTGTCAGTTAGTGCAATGAATTTTTATTTAGAATTGGCCTTTAGCCAAATCTGCTAAATTATTACTTATGAAATATTTCTACATACTAACGGTATTAAATCACTTAAATCCCCAATGGCCTGTACTTGAGATATATACCTGTAAAATTGAAATTAAAAATCAGGTAGGAAGTGAGTCAAAAGAAATGACGTACATATATTTTATTTACAAACATTTACTTTGACATTATGTGTTGTTTGATTTCATGCTTTGTATACTATGTGTTGTTCAGTTTTTACTTGAGTGGATTAGTGTATCACAAAAGACTGAATTATTTAAAGTGAACTCTCCCTATCATTCTATTGATCCTTGTTGATTAAAAAAGTTTTACTGATATCAGAAATATTTATTAGGAGTGCACTTGCATTGCTGAAAAAATTGTTTGATATTATATTAGAAGTTCATTATAAAGTTCTTTTGTATTATATTGTCATACATATACATTGAAGAAAGTTCTACATTATATGTTTAATTCTCTCAACAAACATACATGATACATGTATCTATAAATGATGCATTCATTTTATTACTGGGTACTTGTAAGATAAATAAACAGTTAACAGTTAAACTTTGATATCCCAAACATGACAGGACTGATATCCCAAACGTGACAGGACTGATATCCCAAACACGACAGAACTGATATCCCAAACATGACAGGACTGATATCCCAAACATGACAGGACTGATATCCCAAATACGACAGGACTGATATCGCAAACATGACAGGACTGTTATCCCAAACACGACAGGACTGATATCCCAAACATGACAGGACTGATATCCCAAACATAACAGGACTGATATCCCAAACACGACAGGACTGATATCCCAAACATGACAGGACTGAGTCCAAAAACAGAGAGGTATTCAAGGATTCCACATACTCATTTGAAACTACTGGTATGTCACAGATTACTTGATGTTTTAAACAGTATAGAACTTTTTATAATTATAAAGAAACATCAAGTACTTGTGCAGTAAAAATTATTAACACAACACAAAATATCCTAAGGATATCATTATTTGTGCCAATAAAACCATAGTAATATAATTGAAATTAAACCTGTTAAATTATCTTTGTATGCACTTTTGATCATATTAAAACTTCAGTTCCCAAGTGACATTAGGATTTTTTTCATTTTCATTAAGAAATTGAATTGTGCAATGAGAAAGAGATAAAATGAATGTTCTTAATTGCTTTTGTTTTAGTTGCTTGAATTTCTGTAGAAGTACTTTTTTCCGTGTGGGATTAATTCAAACTATGTACGCAGTCACAAATTTCACGCAGAAATTTGTCACAGCGTACTTAAAGTGCATACAAGACATAAAATTACGATACAAGTAACATAATTTTTTATCAGTGGATTGGAAAGAAATTGTAATTCTGTGCAATTACGACACTGCAGAAAAACATACATTTGCAGTATTCAGAAAAATGATGCCACAGGTACTAAGCCAGGTGGTATCTGTGTGTCATGGTGGTGATTGTGTATTGACTTTGTTTAAGGTAGGGTAATTTAACTGTGTGTACAAACAAACAATCACTTGTAGCTCAATATTTGATAAGACTGAGATTAGACTCTCTCTCAAGGAAAACTAGTCCCTCCTGTAAACACTGATTACATCACTCAGGAAAATCCCTCACCTAAAGTCCATATAGAGGAAGGCCAATGTATCATCCAAATGTTTATTGAAGTATTTCTGGACATTGAGTCACATATATACTAATATTTTCTTAGTGTAAAGGCCTGTATAGAGGTGATACATAGGTTCTTAGAATAACAGTTGATTTAAAGACTTCTCGAGTCTGCTGTTCAATGGACAGCAGTCTTTATTCATGCCGTGTACAGGGTTTAGGGGTAGGGATCTTGATAAGAGAGCCTGTTCTTTTATCTCAACAATATTTGTCTACCCACGTCTGACAGAACCTGTGTATGTAAAACTATTTGCTTTTTGTGATTAGATATTGACACTTGCCAAAGAATGGTCTTCACTATAGACTGTACTTTGTGATCTTCTAAGAACAATAATGTGACATGACATGATGGTAGATATTGATCTTTATCTTAATTGTTATTGTACAAAATCATACATCTACATATCTACATATATACATGTATACATAACATGTAAGCAATAATATTCTTCATGTTCTTGTTAAGTATTTAATGTCTAGTTACAAACAATACTTAAGATAAAATTAGGAAATCATTGTGCTGTACTAATTAGTAAACTAATTAACTTGAAGCATCACACAGATTCTGAAAAGTGCAATATTAACATCATTTCAATCTTTCCTGGATGTGTAGACAGGCAGACCTAAAGTGCAGCTATGGTAGCAAGCTACACAGTTAAAAAGACAAAGAGAAAAGTTTAATGGGAAATTCAAACCCTTCCCAACCCCAATCATCCTTCCATACCCAATGAAAAAAGAGGATTAACTAAAAATAAATATTTAAACACAAAAACTGCATCACCTCAAGCCACATTCCAGGGTCCACATAGCTTTCTCCTGCTTTAGTACCAGAACGGGAGAGGATTTGGCCGTAGTTTGTGACAATGACAAAACTGTAACTCACTCTATATTGGTTATAGAAATTAAGTTCTTGCTGAATCTTCTATATATATAATTTTACTTCATATGTTCATTATATCAAATTATAGAATACAATATCCATGTTGTATTTTACAGTGACCCCCGCCCTATTAACTACCAGAATGTCAACAGAGCAGTAGAAGATGTCAACATCCAGCTTCACAACTGGGAGATTCTCATCAGAAATGTCAGGGCCTACTATGTGGTACGTATCTATTGTATACATACAGCTTTTTAACTGGGAAATTCTCATCAGAAATGTAAGGCCTACTATGTGGTACGTATCACAGACTATGTTCTGTATACATCCAGCTTCACAACTGGGAAATTCTCAACAGAAATGTCAGGGCCTACTATGTGGTACATATCTACTCTATACATAACAGCTTTATAACTGGGAAATTCTCATCAGAAATGTCAGGGCCTACTATGTGGTACGTATCACAGACTACCAGTATGTTCTGTATACATCCAGCTTTATAACTGGGAAATTCTCATCAGAAATGTCAGGGCCTACTATGTGGTACATGTCTACTATGTGGTACATGTCTACTGTATACATACAGATTTTCTTCTGTTTCCTATAGCAGAGGGAAAAGTTATAAGGAATGTGACAACTATAAGGATAAAATTTGATAGTCCAAGGTATCACGGCCAATGTCTCCTGTTGTAACCTCTGTATCATGATACACGTATCATGGTACACATTGTATCACAAGTTACATATATATATGATCAGCCTAGCCTTATTTTAATCCTATAAAAAATTAAAAAAAAAACTTCCCAGTGGAATGAATAATTAGAGGGTAAATGGAGTCATAAAAATAGTTCCATATATATTTCTAGAAATGGAAATGAAAAATATTCTTAGATGTTAAATAGATGGCAAGTAATTGAAATCACTTAAATACAGGTGTATTTAAATCAATACTGCAGGTATTCTAGATGACTGTCTAAAGCCTGGTGTCTTATAAGTGATGTGTTCTGGTTGATCAAGTAATGGATGTCCACATTTAATAACATTATAAAAGGCTTGCAAGAAATGGCAGCTCTGGGATACACTATCTCTGAATATACATTCAATTCTCCACCACTATTCTTACACTGTTATCAGAGTGATTCTAAGGAATGCTTCAAGTTACAGCTTGTTTTTCCTACCTCACCCTCTTACAGATTTAATAATGTTTATTGACAAACATTATTTGAAAAAGATAATTCTATTCATTACAATCTTGGCATTATTGCCAGAAACTAGTTCTTTAACTCTCTACGTTCTGAGAATGGCATGTATAAGTTATTATGTCTCACTCTGAAAGACCCATGTTTTAATTTCAAAATTCCTCAAGAATTTTAACTTTAAAATTTAAATGACTGATTTATCATGTTCTTTATTGTATCCCTTGAAATTCTTCATAATATTTTGTGAAACCTTTAGGTGGTATGTATGTTTGAACTACCTGAGCAATTCGGTAAAATACCTTTATCTTGCTTTACAATCACAATTTCATTATCTGCTCAATTTCATTAATTTAAAAGTTAAGGAGAATTTACTGAGTTTGTACAAGGAATATTTGTCAGTGAGAAGGTTAACATGAAACACATTTTCATCCAGCATTCTAAATGTTTGATACATGCTTACAACCATTGAATTTTCACTTGTAAATAAATCACTTCACATGCCATGAGCAAATTTTTCAACTTGAGAATATGAGATGAAGTTAAAACCAGGTAATTTTGCTTGAAAAATGTCTTTCTCAAATTTTTAATAATGTGTACGGGTAGTCATAGTGAAAGTTGAAACATTCTAGTTGGTATATGGCAAGACATTTACATTACAAACTAGGCAATCTTTGTGGAATGGTACAATCATCTATGGATACCTGCCTACAAGCACAAGTTTTAATAATTGATGCATATTTCCTGTCATGTTTTGATTTAAATTCAGGCCTTGTATTATTTTTATGGTATGTGTAAAGATAGGGTGTTTATCTTATCAGCAGGTTAAGGGGGTGTCAAGATCCTCATACCAATCCAGTCCTATAGTGTCCCCCTTCTGAAGGTTTTACTGTTTTATAGCACTGCATAAGTGGCACTAGCAGAGGAAGATCTCTTGGATACTCTAAATTTATAACCAACTATATGGGTAGTATTTGTAGCTCCAGACCTGCCAATATTGGCTTATTGTCTGAATAAACACTCAGAGTGTTGCTGAAAATTCTCATAGAGATATTATTACAGTCCTTCAGCAGACATGAGATATGTGTTCTAAGATTCTATCATGTGTATGTAATAAAGTGTTGTGGTTTTGAGTGAAGGCATTAGGTTAATAAGATAAAATTTGTATCCCAAAGTTAAGGTCCATTGTTTGGATGTGTAAATCTCTTTGTAGAGGACAGTTTAGATAAGATTTCTGAGGACCAGTTTTTCACTGTTCTCTGACCTTATCTGGAGAATTCATTAGGAATCGATGGAGCTGACTAACAAAACCTCCAGGAAGACTGTGCTGTCTTGTGGCCTTAATTACTGGGCTAAAATCTCATTACGGTATTCTTTGCTTAGTGCTTCAAAGAGAAGTTATAGTTCTAATATAGAAAGATATTGAATTGATGGAAAATAATGATAATCTTTTCAAAGAATTTGCTTTTCATTTCATTTTAATTTTCATTCCCATTACAAGAGACACTTACTTGGGAAGAGAGCACATAAATTTCCAGAATTCAGTACAGTTCAGCCTAGTTAATCTGCATGGTTTCTTGTGCTCCCAACCAAATGAAGTGTCCAGATTACACTGAAACATACTTGTCATTATATATATGACTATAAATTGTTCCCATCTTTTGTCCGAAAGGTGAGACATCCAATGGATTATTGGTTTCCAGATTAAAGAGGCTCTACTGTATATCTATACTAAGCATTCAGTCTATATACTTATAGAGTATATACACCTTAATCAACTTGCAATTGTATGAAACAGTACTGTATAAGCAATTTCAGTCCACCTATAGGAATTCAAGCATTAACTTGAAGGTTAGGAAGTTTTACAATGAGTTCTGAACATTGGTATTAGTTTTTTTTCTTGTAACATTTTGTACCTTTAGCTTGCTGTACTAGGGAAAATCCGATTGTGTTTGTTATTGTGTAGCTTGTATGTAGGTGTTCAATGCTAAATAGATCTAGATTGTAAAAGATTAGAAATCTAACAATGGTAAAATGAACCTAATCATAAGGCAGACTACACACACTACATAAATGTTATCAAACAGACCGACCAATTGGCACACACTACAATCGGTGAGGAATAGGTGGGTATTGGGTGTTTTATGAACAAGAAAGAATGTCCATTTAAAGCTCAGAAATATTTAGGGTCATGTGAAACACTGCCAAAATTATGATTGACAGTTGTAATTAAAAATCCCAAAGAATGAATGGTCTTTGACAGACATTCCTGTGTAATCTTTTGCTTCTGTTCTGTGAAGAGAAAAATATAAAGCTGGGTGTAATGTCCAACAGCTATGAAACAGAGGCTGTATAATCAATTAAAGATTATGTAAGGCCATGTCACAGAGAGTTAGAAGAGCCTACAACTTATTTATCTTCAATTAAATAATCAATAAAGCCAACAGGTTCCAGAAATCAGTCAGGCTTGTGATCAGCTCGTTGTGTAATCTTGATTATCCTGTTAGTCATGCTGGATAATCCTGGGTGGTCACTGTCTGTTGTATAACAGTTAAAGTGTGGCTTCTTTTTCCTGGTTAAACCTTTTGTCATACAAAAGTAATATTTGATTCTCTTCAGGTGTTCTTGATTAAATGTATACTAGTTGTAGTTAATGTATATGAGCTGTAGTTATGGACTTGTATTCCTTTAGCTTTAATATTATATGTTGTATACATAGAGAATATTGCTGCCAGGTTGATAAAGAAAAAAAATCCCACTAATTTTCAAGTACAGTATTGTTTGATGATCTAGATTTGGGCAGTTTTCATTTTCATGACAAATAATGGATTAGTCCTATATTGGACATATCCCAGCTCTGTATAAGTTCCACACTATCACATGAAGTCATGCTATTGAACAACTTAATAGAGTTTTCTTTGATGCTTCATTGGTTTCCCAGCTAATTTCAGTGCTCAGGAATGAATTGATTGTGAGAAAATTAAAAACTGCTTGGAAATGAGTTGATTGTGAGGTGGGTTGAACTTTGCTTTGTTTGCTGGCGGTGCAATCAGTTTAGATAACCTGTAATTGTAAGACAGGTCAGAGTGCGGTGATAGTGCGTTCTGTATCAATCCTGTCAACACCTCAACAATCGAGATCTACACACACCTGAGGCCTGTATATACAGATCATTATCACCATCTCTCTATCAGTCAATCTACTTAACCCCCCTCAGCTGAGGTACCATTAGTTCTCCAGATTGTATTACTGCAATGAAACTATAAGCTTGTTTGTAAAAGCTTGCTAATTCTGTTTTTTCTTACAATCATTATGGTTCTTCTTAGTTGTTTAAATTTGTTTGTAAATTTGCAACCTTTGCAAAGTGAATATCATTAAATAAACAAACTAGCATTGGAACTTATATGCTCAGCTTCCAGTAGTCCAAGAACCCAAATACATGTATTTTGATCTGTTTTCTATGGCACGCCAATTTCACAAAAATTAGCGAAACTTAGTTTCGCAGTTGATAAACTAGGTTTATCGACTGTAAACTATAGTTTACAAACCGTGAACTATAGTTAAAGATTCGTTAAATACAGTTTTCATCTGTAAAACTATATTTAACGGTTGTTAAATATAGTTTACGAATACTTATCTAAGTTTATCTGTCTATAATTAAACGTTAACAATAGATTTTGTTGATAAACATAGATTCACATCTGTAAACTATAATTTACAATCATGAACTATAGTTAAGAGTTGTTAATCATAGTTTCACAAATCGTGAAACTATATTTATCAGATAAACTATGTTTTACGTTCGTTAATTATAGTTTTCTGTCGTAAACTATAGTTTAGAGTTGTGAAATATAGTTTCACAGAAAATTATGCATCTCCGATACAAAATACGAGATTCTGTTTGTAAACTGTGTTTCTCAAATGTAAAACTATATTTATCACAATTTTGTGAATTCGGCACCTTAAATATCCGTTAACTATAGTTTACAATCGTAAACTATAATTAACATTCGTTAACTAAAGTTAAGAGTTGTAAACCATAGTTTACAAATTGTGAAACCGTATTTATTAGATAAACTATGTTTTGCAATTGCTAATGATTGTTTTCGGTGCTAGTTATAGTTTACGCTTCTGAAACATAGATTATCGTGTTAACTATGGTTTACAGATGTGAAATATAGATTAACGTCGTTAACTATAATTTACAATCCATGAACTATAGTTTACAGTCGATAAACCTAGTTTATCGACTGTGAAACTAGGTTTAGCTCATTTTTGTGAATTTGGCGTGCCATAGTTTTCAATTGAAAAGATAAAATTGCATTGGACAAGGAAAATCTTGCATTTGAAGTTGAAAAATTGTACAATGTCAATAAATGAAGTGTTTTTTCTGCCCCTTACAATGCTTCTTTTGTGTCCTATGAAGGATCTGGGTTCCTGATCAGCTTTAATATTGGTTTGGCATGGTAAAAATTAGAAGAACATGTAAGGAACAGTTTACAAGCAGCATTTAGATAATTACTGGAGGGCACCTGCCCTCATCTAAAGAACTTTTCTCTAAATATAAAGCAGTTGGTGTATATGTTAAAGACATGATTGGAATGCAGACCAGTGTCAGAAAAAGTAATTAAATCGTCTTGATATTCATTTGTGTAGCACAAGTGGCCATAGGCCTTCCATCTGACAGCTCTAAGATCCATAGAATCTCATCGTTAGAACATTTGATCCATGGAATATTGATATTTTGGTTTTCTTAAAGATGTCTGATTCACTTAGCACGAATTCTGAGCCACCAAGCCGCTTAGAGCACATTATGACCATGTCAATAATTAATATTCTGGCAGAACATCCTTAGCCACTGAGAGTTTGTTTGTAAATCATTCATTTTAACTTTAAAATAACTTTACACTACAGCCAAAAATTATGTCTTTTCCTGGCCTTATAATGGATTCCACATAAATTACTGACATTGAGTGAAAACATCAATATGTCAGGTAGCAGGAACTTGTAGAAGCAAGTCTGCATTTCTTTAAATAATTAAAACAGAGGCACAATAGCCATGTGTTCATTTGGTGAATGATAAATAAATATACCTTTTAGTGAGGCAGAAAAACAGCATAAGAGGATTGAGAGAACTAATTCCCTCTGTATATGGTCGGGTTTGGAATCTTTTTAGTTTTTGGTAACCTGCCTTTCCATGGTTTAGTGCTCATCCAATTTTGTACTCCAGTACACCCGCTTTTGTAACCCCTCTGCCTGGAACCAGGATTAAGAAGCTATATTTTCTATTAGCGGCTCAGTGGTAATTATAATGGGTAATAGCACCTGATATGAAAGCCGGAATATGAAATATACGACACAATGTACATTCCATTCTCACTTAAACAGAGAGATTAACATACACGATCAACAATGCTCCAACTTAACTCATGGTGAAGGTAATTCTTTGTATGAAACCAAGCCATTCTTACAAGGCATATTTAAGCAAACATAAATAATAAAATATGAAGGTGTATTTAAATTTTAATTATGACTGACAATCTAAAAAAAAATTAGGATAAATTTAGAAATAAAATTTCTAGATTTAAAATTTAATCTAGATAAGATAGATTTAATTTGCTATATATACATGTACATAATTAATAAAGTTTTTTCTTAAATAATGGAGGGTGGTTTACACATGAGAATTAATTCAATTTTAGAAATTTATCTTTCTTAACTAGAAAAATTGATCCAGTCTGAGAGTCACAAACATTAGCTGTATTAAGCAGGCAATGGTATTCAGTGAGCGTTTGACAAATGATGTATGTGTCTGCACATAATGTGCTGCAGTTGTAGATCAGTTGGCCCTGTAATTACTACTGTTTTCTGTTTAGATCAGTTTGCCAGGTATGATTACTACTGTTTTCTGTTTTATAGGACGTCCTTCAACAGCTGCTCATTCTGAAGCTTCCTAACTACCAGACAATATGTAGGGAACCAGATAAAGGTAAATTACCTGTCGGTACAGCACCAGATTCTGATTACTGTAGCCAGACTCGGTAATTAAGGGACAGGTTGTACAATATGTGGGGAACCAGATAAAGGTAAATTACCTGTCGGTACAGCACCAGATTCTGATTACTGTAGCCAGACACGGTAATTAAGGGACAGGTTGTACAATATGTGGGGAACCAGATAAAGGTAAATTACCTGTCAGACAGCACCAGATTCTGATTACTGTAGCCAGACTCCGTAATTAAGGGACAGGTTGTACAATATGTAGGGAACCAGATAAAGGTAAATCACCTGTTGGTACAGCACCAGATTCTGATTACTGTAGCCAGACACGGTAATTAAGGGACAGGTTATACAATATGTAGGGAACCAGATAAAGGTAAATCACCTGTCGTTACAGCACCAGATTCTGATTACAGTAGCCAGACTCGGTAATTAAGGGACAGGTTATACAATATGTAGGGAACCAGATAAAGGTAATCACCTGTCGGTACAGCACCAGATTCTGATTACAGTAGCCAGACTCGGTAATTAAGGGACAGGTTATACAATATGTAGGGAATCTGATAAAGCTTTATCACCCTCAGTACAGCTATTGTAGCCAGAATCGGTATAATTAAGAGACAGGTAGCAGCCATACTATATACACTTATAGAGAATCACTTGCATGGCTCAATCAGCAACTTCTCATCTGATCAACGCTGAAATTCCAGATCTAGTCATTGAGAAGTTCCCTAACTTAATGTTATGTAAATCAACATCAAAAGATGGCAATTTTCTGAATGGCTGATCTCTCCTGATGGGATTTTGTTCCTCAGGCTGTTTTGTAGTGTATTGAATTGGAAAACTCTTTAGATCTGGCTAATTTGTGATGGTTTTATTTGTTGTGTGTATTATTTCTCTCTAAATTTTAGGAATCTTATTATAACCTTCTTTGTGTTTTTGTAATGATACTCTTCAAATTAATGGAAACACATCTTCAAATTCTAACAGTTGCACTTTATGCTTCAAAATCTAGAAACCAGCAATTCATCAAGTTGTAAAAAATTAACATGATTGAATCTCTTTTGTTAATTTGATGCATTGTTTCAAAAGTTTGCTACAACCCAGCATATTTTTTCTTTACTGTAATAATTTCTTGATTCAGAATATGAAATATAACAATCACAGATTTTAATAAGTTCCCACTACAGTTGTGATATTGATTTCAGATCTCTTGTTTTCAGACATTAACCTAAGTAAAATTAGGAAGACCCTCCTCTTGACCCTGGGGTGTGCTGTTATTACTGTGTATACAGGGAATTTTTCACCCCGTTTTACTTTTGCCCCTTCCACCCTACTCACAGATGGGTGAAATTAAAACGGGGCAAATTATAAAAAAAACAGTATAATTTCTTAAACAGAATTGTGACTGGGCGAATTTTAAACAGGGCAAAATTGTTTGCAAGTGTGAAAGGATGAAAATAACATGGGGCAAAAATAACCCTGTATACAATATGTTTATATGTATACATGTATATTATGTTGTAGACATTAGCCTTAGTGAGATGAGGAAGACCCTCCTCTTAATTCTGGGGTGTGCTGTTATTTATAGATATTATATTGTAGACATTAGCCTGAGTGAGATGAGGAAGACCCTCCTCTTGATTCTGGGGTGTGCTGTTATTATATATATTATATTGTAGACATTAGCCTAAGTGAGATGAGGAAGACCCTCCTCTTGATTCTGGAGTGTGCTGTTATTATATATATTATATTGTAGACATTAGCCTGAGTGAGATGAGGAAGACCCTCCTCTTGATTCTGGGGTGTGCTGTTATTATATATATTATATTGTAGACATTAGCCTGAGTGAGATGAGGAAGACCCTCCTCTTGATTCTGGGGTGTGCTGTTATTATATATATTATATTGTAGACATTAGCCTGAGTGAGATGAGGAAGACCCTGCTCCTGATCCTGGGGTGTGCTGTCCAGTGTGAGAGGAAGGAGTACTTCATTGACAAAATTAAACAACTGGACGTGGATGTTCAGACCGCCATTGTGGAGCACATAAAAGAGGTCTGTATACTGACATTGCAGCAAAGAAATAGCCATGATGTATAAAGTCTAGGAAAGATTTTGTTCAGAGTATACAGTCAGAATCATTATTTCGAACTCCATGGGACCAAGGAAAAACTTTGAGATGTCTGAGAATTCAAGATATCAAGAGTAAAATACTGAAGGAATATGTGGCTGGGACTTCCTAATCACTTCGATATATCCATGGTATTTGAGATATCGGTGTTTGAAAGTCCTAAGTGCAATTGTATATAATTATAAGATTTACTGGTATATAATATTGAGGAGACTGTGGAAAGGATAACATATTTACTGTAAAATCACATTTTCATGTGGTCAAATTTTCGAGTTTTGAGGAAAAAACTAAGGGTTTTGATTTCGTGGATGAAGGATTGTTGAGTAGTTAAATATGTAAAATTTTACATTTCATGGTGGACATGAATTCATGGGTCTCCTCATACCTCGAAAACAACAAAAATGAAACCCCCACCAAAATTAGTGATTTCACGGTACCTGGGATAATACCGTGCAATCTTTATGGATTTGACAAGCTTTTACAGTAAAACTTGTTTAGTACAAACACAGATAAAGCGAATTCACAGATATAGTGAAGTTTTTTGGAATTCGCTGCGAAGTTCTTAACAAATCCTAGAAAAAATATTACGGTTATAAAAAACTCTGATATAACAAATTTATGCAAATAGTGAACTGATTTTCTGTCCCATAGAAGTTAAAATTAATGAAAAATTGCATCTTTTATAAAGAATTTTCAATATCTTAAACTTCAAAATACCTGTATTAAACTGATATAATTTTTTATAAGTATTTAAATTTGAAATTCCACTCTCAGAAATATTTAGTATCCCAAGTAACATTTTGTATTTTACCTTCCACAGCATATTTGGTAGTCATACTTGAAGGAAAAGATGCATATTGCGAATTTGTTGTATATACTTTAACAAATTTGTTATACGGATATAACAAATTACGGATATAGAGAAGTAAATTCACAGGTCCCCAGGACTGTGCTATAACTAAGTTTTACTGTATTTTTTTTGGGAATTTACAGCTCATATATCACAATTTATGAAAAACACATGTTCATATTCATTACTAAAGGGAAAAAAAGTGATTATTGCAGTAAGAAGATGGACACCAAATAATTGGCTATGAAGCACCCACATATCTGTTTTTCTTAGTTGTCTCACAGTTTCAGATCCCACGCTGTACTCACTAGTGATACATGTATATTCAATAATTCTATACACAAAGGGTTTAATGGAAGCCCAGGCTTCATTCACCCCACTATGAAGTCCATGCAGGGTTGTAAGGGATTAACTCAAAGTCAATCTGAAGTTCCCTTTAATCCACTACTACTTACTCTTTATTATGTTAAGTCCATTGTAGACATTTGGAGGTGTTTAGTTCTTTTTTAAACAAAGAAATTTCATAAATTTTCATCTTGGATTTGCTCTAAAGTTGGTAGATAGGACAGTATGTGTTAGTTATAACTCTCTCTACCATAGCAGACCTCTCATCAGAGTAACTCAAAAGAAAAAAATGATTGTATATTGGTAGAGGTCTAATTAATTGTCCAAAGATAAATTTGTTTGGAGAGCTGGTCAACAAGTTTAAATGGAGAATAAAAGTTTTGAATTTTGATATTTGCTAGATAAAGTTTGTATTGCAATTTATTTCTCCATTGTGTATACTTTAGAGTATTCACAGGTGTATAGTTGACCTTCAAGTGTAAATCTGTCCAGGAACCTTTGTGTCTAAGGCTTGTTAAATTACTGGCCCATTAGTCTGACGAACATCCTGTATATTTTGTAGTTTTAGTCCATAAGAACAGTCATATAACATTGTTTGTACAGGTATATAAAGTGAATTTACCCATAATGACATAGCAACAGTTTGCAACACAATGAATGTGTATTGTATGTTGGAATTCTTGTAAGAGTTTGTCACTGAGTTTTTCATGTCATTGAGAATATTTAAAGAAAGTGTGCATTTGACAACTAATGCTGAAATGTATGAATAATATTTAGATTTGTAATTAATAAATAAATGCTATGGGCTAAATTAGTCAAATTAGTCTGATAACCATAGTCCAGGACTATGGTTATCATGGATACCATGGTAAACAATTGCAGAATTTTCTCATTTACAGATTTAACAATGTCAGGTGATGGCCATTTTCCCTGGGTATTGGGATGATAATACCTGGTTTTAGATCTATATAAATAAAGAGAATGACTCCCTTTTGTGGTATTCAGTATTATCACATCAATATTCATAGCTTCTTATCAAGTGATAAATTAACCCATCCATCGTACAGTCGGAGGTGATAGCCATTCCTCATTAGAGAATGGAATGTATGGCGGGTAGAACTGTTATCGATCGGGTAGTTTTATCTTGGCGCATAGACCACAATTTATTACTAAAACCCTTAAAAAATGTCTCTGCGCAATTATCAATATTTAAACAGGGCAGAAAAAAGTCAAGTTCCTACATTGTTTACCAGCAATTTAAATACGCAGATGTTTTTTCACTGGGAATGGAACATATACATTTACTGAAATACTGATTGGGGAATTCAATAAATCAGCCTTCGATTAATTACAGTAGACACTGGATACATTCTCGTTGAGGAATTTAGACTGTTGTTTAGTGTATGTCAAGTTAGGATGCAGTCAGAGCATTGAATGCATTAATCATTAAATAAAGCCATTCATTAGAGGTATTGGATATCACAGGGGCAGAATGTGTATTATGATACCCGGTATACCCTATTGCTCCAGAAAAAAATATGGTATTAATAGTTACTTAAAGGTATATCCTCATATGAATCTGGCCCATATGTTCTATATCTGTAAAGTTATGTAAGTAGTGGATATGAAGGGTATAATATTACCACTTAGCCAGTAGCAATTAACTTAATAAAAAATCAAATTATGTCATTAGCGTAAGGTTTTAGTTTCTGATTTGCTTTAATACCCTTGATATTTTTTTTCCTTGGCATTGAAAATAATGAAATGGAGAAAAAAAATTGGGCATTGAAGCTGAAAGACGCATTTATGTGTAAAATATTCTTTGCTGAATTCTGTAACAATCTTACTTTTAAGGAAATTAGCTGTCTGTCTACTTGTTAAACATTAGGTCATACATGGTGCAGACTGTGTCTAGCAGATTTAACGTTTTAGCTGATTCATGTACCAGATTTAAATTGCTGCATGGCTACTTGTTTATTTTGTACATAGATCGATCCGTACTACACAAAACAAGTTTTGTTAAGCAGCATTTTAATGTTCATTATAGTGCTACATAATGAACAAATAAAAACCACAGATTAAACACAAAATTTGAACATTGCAGGACTTTCAAGATAACTTACAATTTTGTGCTTGAATTAAATGGTACATATCATATAATTGGAACTTAAATTCATGATTCATAGATTATACTAAATGATGCTAAAACAACAGGGATATTTAAACAAAATAAAAATTGATTAATTTAGAACCATATTATGTACATATTATGAAACTTGATATGCTTCTTTTATGAAATAATTCAAAAAGGTAGATTTCCAATATACTGAGTAAGTGTATAGTCAGTGACTAAGTGTATGTATTTTTTAAATGTCTGCAGATCACAGATGACTCGGAATCCATTCTCCCGATTGAACCAATGGAACAGCTGGAGACATACGCAGAGAAAATGTTCAAACATCTTACAAGGGTTATCAAAGAAAGAGATGACTTTTCAGAGGTTTGTCTTCTGTGATCTTTGTCTCCTCTCTGTCAAGAAAACTGTCCCACTTTACGCTATTTATATAAGTGGTGGGTCATGTTCAGAATTCTAGTAGGATTTTCAAGTTAATCTTAAAAGTAGGATTTTATAATGAATGTTCTGTTTGTGCAGCATTGCATATATTTCATTAACCTATAATCTGTATAATTAGTTTTAGAAATTATTAATCAATACTTACTTCACATTGGATGGGCTAACACATGTACAGTAGATATAAGCAATTTGAATTGTACCAAAATAATGCTTTAGTGTCATTATGTGTCATTTTTGAAGGACACTTTGATGATGTTGTAGGTATCTGTGGAGCTGGCCCAAGAGCGAGATTTCTTCCAGACCCAGCTACAGTGCAGTATCCAGGGTACTACGGTCCCCGTCACTCCCCCCGCGAGCCCCGAGAAACATCACCTGGTGGTAGAACTGGCAGACAGTAAAGCGAAGGTCCGCAGACTTAGACAGGACCTGTAAGTTGCGAACTACTGAATTCTAACAAAGATTCACAATAGAAATGTATTACACTATGCAGTGAGATTATTGATTTGATGATGAGATATATCAGATTAAAGTTTAAATGATATTGCTGCCCGTCAGAAAAACTGATGAATTAAAGAATTATTTTTTAAAAACAAAAACCTGACAGGGTAAAAGACTAATATTTTTCTTATTAAAAGTTTTCTTCAAACAATTTTTTCAGCACTTCTGCATCATAATTTGACTCAGATATACCATCTTTTTTTTACAGTGAGGATAAACAGGAGATTTTGTCAGACATGAGGGACGAGCTGGAGGAGAACAAATCACTGGTGGCCAGACTCAGAAATGAGGTCAGATCCTATATATAGATAAACTCAGAAATGAGGTCAGCATCAACATATATATATATATATATATATACACACAGATCCTCTATATATAGATAAACTCAGAAATGAGGTCAACATCAACACCTATATGCAGATCCTCTATATATAGATAAACTTGGAAACGAGGTCAGCATCAACATATATATACAGATACTATATATAGATTAACTCAGAAATGAGGTCAGCATCAACACATATATTCAGATCCTATATATATAGATAAACTCAGAAACTAGGTCAGCATCAGATCCTATATATATAGATAAACTCAGAAACGAGGTCAGCATCAACACAGTTATATACAGATCCTCTATAAATAGATAAACTCAAAAATGAGGTCAGCATCAACACATATATACAGATCCTATATGTATAGATAAACTCAGAAATGAGGTCAGCATCAACACATTTATTTACAGATCCTATATATATATAGATAAACTCAGAAACGAGGTCAGCATCAATACATTTATATACAGATCCTCTATATATAGATAAACTCAGAAACTAGGTCAGCATTGACACATATATATTTATATATATATACAGAGCCTTGTACAAGTTTCATGTAAAACTGAGAAATCAAATCAACATCAGCAAAGCATTTAGTGTGTATCATATATAAATAAACCTAGATAACAAGGTCAACATCAAAATATAGACTTTGCCATGTACCTACTTTATCATTTAGGTAAGTAAATTGGTTTTGAGAAGGGAGCATACAAAAATGTACATTTACATTCAACAATGGTAGAAATATCAAAATACATGTATAAGTTTTGAATAATTTATTTTTCTATCTTCCCTTGCCATGAGTTGCATACAAGTAGGTATGCATACAAATTTCCATAAATGTGCTTGCCTTATCTATTATTTAATTTGCATGCACACCTGAGTGATTTATGGCAATATGAAACAGAACTTAATCATTTAGACAAATAATGAATTTCTGAAATATTGAACATATTGGGTAGTTTATAAAGTGTGTATTAAGGAAGACAAACAGTGTTATATTTCAATTTTGAATTAAAAAATGAAATAAAGCACATTTTTTTTAAATCTTAACATACACATACCCCAATAAATTTGTTGTTTGAAACAAACAGATCCAGAAACCTGTTATCTATGATTTGACTATTTATTTACATTGTCTGTAGAGTCTTTTTTTCTGTTATAATTGAAAAACCTTGTAGTACTTTTTTCTTTCTTCTTAGAATTCAGAATTGATTCAGGATGCTAGAGCAGCACGGTCACTGAGGGATGAGTTGGACGTTTTACGAGAAAAAGTATGAATAAATCATCAACCAATTTGTCTAGGTTTTAAGGAGATAATTTCTGGAGAGAAAATAATACATTTTGCTCATTAAATATTTATGAATGCCGTAAAATTGATAAATTTTTCTAATTGATTTTTTTTAATTAGCAATTAATCGAATTGATTTCATTGCCTCAAGCTTAAAGAAATGATACATGGAGAATGCCTGAATGTGTGTGATGAACATAGAATGTCTTTATTTTTTACAGTTAGGAAAAGCAGATAGCTTCCAAAATGAAATTCTAAAGTACAAAGAGAAGCTGAATGAATTAGAATTCTACAAAACCAGGGTGGATGTAAGTAAATATGAAACCCAGGTGGATGTAAGTAAATATAAAGCCAGGGTGGATGTAAGTAAATACAAAACCAGTGTGGTTGTAAGTAAATATAAAACCAGGGTGGATGTAAGTAAATATAATACCAGGGTGGATGTATGTAGATACAAAACCAGGGTGGATGTGTGTAGATACAAAACCAGGGTGGATGTAAGTAAATACAAAACCAGGGTGGATGTAAGTAAATACAAAACCAGGGTGGGTGTATGTAGATACAATTTGTTGCTCATCTTTGATAAGGGGAATAACTTTTAGAACATTTTAATCTTTTAAATACTGAACTCAATGACCACATAGAAATTACTGATTTGAATACATTCATTTCACTGATTGAGACTAAGAACCTGTATATAGGTCTAAATGTTTGTGATTTTTGTAGGAGTTAAGAGAAGATAACACGATTCTGATCGAGACTTAAGAACCTCTTTATGGTTTTAAATGTTTGTGATCTTTATAGGAGTTGCGAGAAGATAACACGATTCTGATTGAGACTAAGAACCTGTTTATAGTTCTAAATGTTTGTGATCTTTGTAGGAGTTGAGAGAAGATAACACGATTCTGATTGAGACTAAGAACCTGCTGGAGGAACAGTTGTCTAACTGTCACAAGAGAGTGGAGACGGTGGTGGAGCTAGAGAATGAACTCAGGAAAAAACGACAGATGGTTGAGGAAATGGCACTGGTATACAATTAACACAGAGTTGTAGAAACTCATTAGATAAAATGTAATGTTAATTCAAATATTTGTGACAACACTGTTTTACAGAAGAGAAGTCAGAAGTTTACATTCAACTTCTGAATTTCAGTGCAATGCAGATTTCTACCTAGTCAGTACATTGACATCACTTGATACAATTCTGATATGTATATTACATATGTAATGTATACATAATATATGTATATTATTGTGATCAGATGTTTTGGCCACTAACAAGTGTTGCTGTGCATTAAAGTTTATTTATTGAAATTTTAAGTGGCTTGTAAAGTTATTGTGTAGGTTCTCTTTTAAAATGCTGTTAGTTGAGCTGGAGTGTAATATAAACTTCTTGTCAAACACTTCTTACATTTCTTGTTTATTCTGTAGGAGAGAGATTCAGACAGAGAGAAGCTAAGAATTCTGACAGAGGAGAATGCACAACTCCAGTACGAGAAGAAGTCCAGTCTTAATGAGAGTACCAACCTTGAGAAAGAGCTCGACTCAGCCAGGCTTAGAATCATGGGTAAGGGGAGAGAAATGGAACTGAATTTTTGAAAATATAAAATCTACATCTCAATATGAGTAAATTATTAAGTGTTAGAAATAGATATTGATGTGATTCTCTTGCATATACAGTAAAACTTGTCTAATCCGGTGACCAGTGATTCCAAAATTTTTGGCCAGATTAGACAACATCCGGATTGGAGAAAATTGAACCGTTATAGCAAGTTAAAAATTACATAGATATAAACAAAGAGTGGTAAATAAATACTTGATCAAATATGTCACTTTTTAAGTTTCACTTGAAAAAATCGTCTATTTCCATTTGTTTTGAACTCTGTTTGTTCTTCAGAATTTTAATTTCTGTCACGTTTTTTTATTCAGTATCAAAATATAATATCTCTAGGTCATTTATCAAATTTGAAAATTGTTAAGTGTTTAAAATACAATCAAAAACCTTATCGTAGCTGTGAATATTATTTTGTTAGGGACAGATTCCTAAGTAATTTCTTTCTTTTAAAATTAATATGTTTGAATATTTAGATACTGTATTTGTTAATTTCAAATGTTCTACATGTAATGAATATTGAACCAAAATCTTCTGTCGCTTTGGTCGTTGTAAACTAGCGACACAAAGGGAAGTAATTCGAATTGCACGTCGTGCACGCAAAACAAAAGTAGAAAGGAGGTCATGAATAAGTCTCCAAGTTTTTCTACAGACATGCTACACGCAACTTTCCTCGCCTTACTTGAGCCATAAATGATTTTTTTATCACGTTTGTTAAAATCTAAACTGTCGATACAGGATAGATCATTAACGGGACAATAATTACCCCTTTGCGAGACTTCTCTAATGACCAGCTGGCACAGGTAAAAATAAGTGGCCAGATTAGAGGAGATAATTTTTATTAATTATGACCAGTTAGTTCTTTAAATAGCGACCGGTTTACAGAATAGGCAAGATCCGGATTGCACAACATTTATTGAACATAAATTATAAAGAAAATTCAAGGGACTAAAATATTACGCCGGACTGAACAACATGCCGGAATGCACCAAGTTTTACTGTATATATATATATATATATATATATATATATATATATATATATATATATATATATCCGTATGTCTGTTTACTAGATTATGCATCTACATGTTATTGTTGTGAATTTGAACCAGAAAATTCATGCATGTAAATTATGTTGTTTTTTTTACTTGGAGCAAGTATCTTGATTATTTTAATAGAGATCATCAGAGTGGGGGGGGGGGGGGGGGGTGGATGATAGTAGCAAGTTTTTCTCTTCAAAACCCATATATCTTTGATATTATATAAAGTATCTTAATTAATTAATCTTCTTTTTTAATTATATTCAGGAGCAGGAGGGAGTTTATCCGACCAACTGACTGAAACCACAAATGCCAAAATCCTCAGGTTAGAATTGGAAAACCAGCGACTGAACCAGAAACTAGAGGAGGCCAGAGAAAAGATGTTGATAGAAAATGCCGAGAGGAACCTGGAGCTGGAGAAAGAGAACCAGAGGCTGGCCAAAAAAGTGGAAAAATTGTTAGAGAGTGGTCAAGAGACCTCACAAAACTGTCTAGAACTGGAGCAGGAGATGGAACAGCTTCAGATTGAGAAGGAAAACCTGCTACAGACATTAGAGACTGTGAAGGAAAACTCCGAGAGACAGGTGAAGGAGTTAGAGAGAGAGAAAGAACAACTGTCACACACTGTGGAGGTGGTACGAGCCCGCAGTGAGCAGACCAACGACGCCAGGCTCAAAGATCTAGAGAGAGAAAACAAACGAATGTCACATTCCGTGTCTCAGAAAGATCAACAACTGTCAAAGTTAGAGTTCGAGAACAGACAGTTACAGAAATCGTATAATTCTTTAAAGCATAATTGTGATAGGATTTCAGGGTTGGAGAATGAAAATGCCAACCTAGAAAAGGAAAATAATGAAATGCATAAAATGATATCAACTTTGAAATTAACTTGTGATAAATATGAGACTTTGGAACAGGAGAATTCTGACTTAGATGTAGAGAACAGGAAACTACAAAAATCAGTGAAAAGTTTAAATGATCAGTTACAGAAAAAGGAAATTCTAGAACAGGATGTGATTAATTTAAGAGTAGAAAATCAGAAACTTCAAAGGTCTCTAGATGCATTAAAAAACTCTTCACAGAGAATTGCAGAAGTAGAGAATGAAAAAGATTCACTTAATAGGGAGCTTCAGCACTTAAAGAAGACGCTAGAAGTTCAGAAAAATCTCCGCACCAAGCAAGAACAAATGGAGCTAGATTTATTGGACTTGGACAATGAGAATCAGAGAGTTCAGAAATCACTGGAAATAACAACCAAACGAGTACAACAGCTGGAAAAAGACAACTCGGATCTAGAAATGGAGAATGAAAAACTTCAAAAAACAATAGAGAAGATGAAAATTTCTAACAAAAGGTTACATGAGACTGAAAAACAAGTGTCGGAATTAGAGGAGGAAGTGAGGAAAATAAACAAAGAGAAATCAGCGCTGGAGAAGGAGAATAAACGTGTGAAACAAACCCTAGATCTAAAGGAATCTGCATTCGATGATATTAGTGCTAAACACAGTGCTTTAAATAGAGAACTTAAAAGTCTAAAGAAATCCGTAGAATCTCAAAAAGACACAACAACACATGTCCGTGAGCTGGAGAAAGAAAACAGGGAAGTCAAGCAACAGTGTGCTATGCATCAGAGAACAGTAGCCACACTGAGGGAGGTAAGTCTTGTAGATTTAATTATCTATTGATATCATCATTCAAATATTACTTATAGAGAATTTGATTATTAAATACTTGTTGCGCCATGCTATTTACAACACATTGATTGTAATTTGAAACTTCCTTGTGTCCAGGTTATTTGACATCAAATAAAACAACTGCAATGTACAAGGCCAGAAAAGCTTTAAAAGAAAGGATCATCTGAAATCATTATAGATGGGGAAACAATTTAAAGGAAGAAAAACAACTTTTTAGTGTATATACAGCTATACATGTGAATCAGCATCCTTTTTTTAGTGTTGAGGCACAAGTAATTTAATTTTATCAATAGGTTCTCCAGAAGCCACTAGCAGTGTTCATCAAATATAGCACAGCTTCCCATTTCCAATTTTAGTCTTCATAATGGCTAACATCCAAAAATTATTTCCAGAGCTATTGCATGGTTCGCCATATGACCCAAGGGTTGGTGAATTTCCCCACCTGTTATAATGTAATACCCCAGTTAATCTGGTATTCCCCTTCAATCCCCTTTTATGGGAGGAACCCAAAACCCCCTTCTACTTTTTTAATGTCCCCTGCTATTTCAATTCTTAGGGACAACCCTGTATTGGCATTTGTCTTACAAGTATATGACACTATACTTCATAGTCCAAGAACTCCATCTTAGTGCTTATTCAGTAATATCAACAATAAATGATGTTTTCTCAAATGGTTAAAATTCATATTTTAAAATTATATCAAATCAAAAAGATAAAAAAAAAAGCATTTTCATAAATAAGATTTTTTCATAAATAAGATTTGCACTAAATTAATATGTGTATGAATTGTTTTGTTCCTTTAGTAGTGCATGGGGGGTGGAGTTATCATTTGTGTGATGAATAATATCCTCATTACATCCATATCAAACTTACTACAGTCTGATATATCATGTATATTTAGAAAGAAGTTTTATGCACACATTGAGTGTAAGTTTACTGCAAACTCTCTGGTATAACATACCCACGATGCACAGAAACAAACAATGGAAATGGATTATTTTTTTTCAGGACTTGGTAAACGAGAAGATTAAGAGTCAGAACCTGACTAATGACTTTGACAAACTAACGCAGGAACTGGAGAAGGTGGGCATTAACAAGGAGAAATTAGTGATGACAGATCATAGACAAGACGAAAAGTAAGTCACAAGTTCTCTCCCTTGTATGTAGCAAAGTAAGACACAAGTACTCTCCCTTTGTCTGCAGCAAAGTCTCCCTTTGTCTGTAGCAAAGTAAGACACAAGTACTCTCCCTTTGTCTGCAGCAAAGTCTCCCTTTGTCTGTAGCAAAGTAAGACACAAGTAATATCCCTTTGTCTGCAGCAAAGTCTCCCTTTGTCTGTAGCAAAGTAAGACACAAATAATCTCCCTTTGTCTGCAGCAAAGTAAGACACAAATAATCTCCCTTTGTCTGTAGCAAAGTAAGACACAAATAATCTCCCTTTGTCTGTAGCAAAGTAAGACACAAATAATCTCCCTTTGTCTGCAGCAAAGTAAGACACAAATAATCTCCCTTTGTCTGCAGCAAAGTAAGACACAAATAATCTCCCTTTGTCTGCAGCAAAGTAAGACACAAATAATCTCCCTTTGTCTGTAGCAAAGTAAGACACAAGTATTCTCCCTTTGTCTGAAGCAAAGTAAGACACAAGTATTCGCCCTTTGTCTGCAGCAAAGTAAGACACAAATAATCTCCCTTTGTCTGCAGCAAAGTAAGACACAAATAATCTCCCTTTGTCTCTAGCAAAGTAATACACAAGTATTCTCCCTTTGTTTGTAGCAAAGTAAGGCACAATGTTCTCTCCCTTTATCTGTGGAAAAGTATGACAAATTTTCTCTCTTTGTCTGTAGCAAAGTATGACACAAGTTCTCTCCCTTTGTAGAAAACTAAGACACAAGTTCTCTCCTTTTTTTTTTAGAAAACTAAAACACAAGTTCTTTCCCTTGTCTACACTCGTTAGATTTAATGTAGTTATAAGATTGAAATAATATTGATTCAAACATATGCTTTTAGAATTGAGAAATACTTGTGAATGTCATGGTTTAAAGTAATAAAATCAACTTAAATAAATTCTACTCTCATGTTTCAATATTTTATTACACTTTATATGAAATTAGCAACTTTGTAGCCTAATTCTTTTGATTTCATACATTCCATTCACTGCAAACACATTGACCATGGTTTATATAAAACTAACAATGTTATAGATACAAAGTTTATTATTTACAAGAACACATATTGAATCATGGGGACTGATAATGACAAGAACAGTGTAGATATTCAATAAACAAAGGTTATGGACATTATTTAAGTTATGGACTGGATATTTTCAAGCATTGCTATTTGAATCAATAAGGAATTTTTTGAAAGCTGTATGCTTCAAAGTTAAGCAAAACATCTTGAAAAGAGTTATGTGAATAGGCAGATTATTGCACAAATGAAGATATATCAGTAAATAATGAAGGTACCTAATTTTGCTCCTGTCATCTTGAGAAATCTGAAGTTATGGATTGCTGTTTCCCCCCCCCCCAAGTGAGATACTGAACAAAATATTTCTTTAAACTGACACTTTAAAGGAGGAATGCTACACCCAAATTTTATTTGATGGATCTTTAAGACATCTCTTTTGCAATATGGTTTCAACATGGAAAGATTGATATTAGCTCTTAAAAATAAATATTTTATATGATTTTTTTTTCGGGGGGGGGGGGGGGGGGGTATTTTTTTTCTGAGAAAATGTAAAAATTAATTTACAGTTGTATTTGCAAATAAGATTCATTCTAAATTTTGCTGAAACCATATTTCAAAAGAGATGTATTAAAGATCAATTAAACCAGGGCACTGCAAATTGAAGCATCCCCTCGCAAAATTTCCATGTGAGACATGGCAATATATGGAGGCATTGTATTTGGGGGGGGGGGGGCTGGGAGGGGAGTATTTTAATTACATAAGGTTTGGCAGGTTAACATAGGGTATATAATTTCCTGCCCTGTCTGTAAATATTCTGTCACTGACAAGGAACAGTGACGTAGAATTGATTTCAATGTTCATTTAATGAATTTTTTCTTTATTTTATTTATACTCTTACTGTAAACCTAGTGCCATAATCAATAGGGGACAAAACTACAGAAAATAATCATAATGATAAGGGTTGTTTGATCATCAGGGGAGAGCACGAAGACCCTTATAAGATACTCCAGGATAAATTGGCCATTCTAATGTCTGTTCTTTCCTTATGAATATATATTTCACTGTGATTAAAGTATTAATTACACACAAGCAGGTTAGTAATGCCTTATCTGGAATAACCTGGCAATTTAACATTAGACCAATTTGTAAAAATGAAGAAGAAAATGCATTGAAAATCTTCCTTGATAATACTGCTGTTGTTAAAAACAGACAGTTGAAATTTATGAAGAAATCTCAGCTGAAAGTTATCCTTTGTTTAATTTTTTTGGAATTTTGCATAAATTGATGTTTTCCTCCCACTTAAAAATTAAAAAATTAAAAATTACAAAAAAAAGATAAGTATATAAACATAATAAAGACTAATTGGGGGAATTAAAGAAGAAAATGCATTAAAAATCTTCCTTGTTAAATTAATTTTTAAAAAAAATCTAGACAGGTGAAATTTTACATTAAAATCTAAGGTAAAACTAATATCCTTTATTCAAATCTCAGGAATTTTGCATAAATTTCAATTCTTATTTTCTTCCACATAAAAAATTAAAAAAAAAAAACAAACCCCATACAGGATGGGGGCTGCATGAGGGAAGTAAAACTAATGATGAAATATTGATTTCTGATTTCATTTTGTAAAAGGTGAAGTTAGTCCCAGCATGTAATTCTGTTAACACAGCGCAATCTGTCTCCATTCTTATTAAGCTCTCTAAAAAAAATCAGGCTTCGGTTTATTAGTTTGCATATTGTATTCAAACTCCCAATTTAGGCATTCAGTGGATTATTTTTGGCTTTGATAATCAATTACTGATGTGGGAAGCATATGTTCTAGTATACATTTAAATGTTCTGTGTTTTGGGTTGGCCTGCCTGATCTACCCCAGTGTAACACTGGCCTTGTTATAGACAGGAAATCAATTCTTAAGTCTCCACTCTCAGAATTGTCTATCAGACTTCACTGTTTATCTTGTAAGGTTGAAGAGGTTTAACTTTTTAAAAAACTCTGTCAATTGGGATTTCCACTTCCGCTGGGAACTCAGGTAGAACTCTGTGTTAGAGTTAGCTGTATCTCTTGAGTAAACTTGACCTTAATCAGGAAACAGTTACTTGGAATGAAGGAAGACTTTGGGTATCAGCTCTCACCTGCATTGGGACTTTTATGATATTCTGTGATAGGAAAGTTTATATGGATAGTTTAGCATAATTCTGCATTTTGAAATTTGCATGGAAAAGGGATTGATGTTTTAGTGATGGAAATAATATATGAGAAAAGTTTTGCCGAGGCTTTTGAGTGTGAGGTGGCAGGAGTGACGTCTTGTGAGAGTTACGAGGGTCAGGAGGAGTACCAGTCTAGTCTGGACTCAGGGACTGGGAACCAGAGCATTAGAGAAATGAATTCTGTAGATAATTCAGATATTTCTGATACAGACATTGTGGTTGATGAGACTCTAGATAAAGAGTCAGATAAACAGTACAATTTTGATGTTTATAATTATTCTGATGAGGATGACGGGTTGGAGAACTTTAAGGAAAAAGTTATTGTGTAAGTACATAGACACTATAAATTCAATCAAAAATGAAAAATTTTTGCTTAGCCATGTGCAACAAATATTTTGAATTTGATTGTATGTCCTTGTCAAGATAGCAAAGAAAAAAACATTTTCTTTGGTCTGAATTGATCACCACTTCATCATGAAAATTATTTTGCTAATCGGCCTGATATATTTACTGTAAGAAAACTCAAATCTTTATGAAAATATTTTAATGAACATATTAGTATTACCTTGTAGATGTTTTTTTTTTCACCAATTGTATCATACAGTTCATTTACAAAACCTTACGCAAATCTTTTTGTTATGAAAGAACAGGAAGCAGTAATTCGCTTTTGTGTAATTGTTGAAATGATAAAATGACAAATGGAGATTAATTGAGTTTATATACAGAGGTATGCTTCTGGAAATTCAAACAGAGTTAACTTTCTGCTTTTGTTCAGTGTCAGGAACTCTTGGGCAGTATCAGTTCCACTGAAAAACAAAAGACAGGATTAGAGGAATTTACAAGATGCTTTTATTAACTTTATTGTGACCAACGGCAGAGTGTATGAAAGACCTGGTATAGAGACCTTTACTAGACTGTTACTGTAGGTTACTACTGGGAAAATCTCCACAAATTTATCAGTTACTTTGACTCTATGATCTAGTGGTAAATCTGTTTCTGAGATCTATAGACTTAGTAGGTCTGTGAGGATTATAACTCTAGAAGTTTTTGGTGACACTTTGTGTGAAGATACTACTCCATATACAATGTGTGCAAGTTTTTTTTAAAAGTTTTTTTCTCTCTGACGTGAATCCATTATGTATATAAGTTCGTTGGAGGTGTTTTTTCAATACATCATTTATTTCATGTTCTGAAATCAAAGTTAGATTTATTTGCTTATTAGGCAAAATAGTTGTCATTCCAGTTGGTATAATACTTTGTTAAAATCTGTGAATGAATTAACATTTCACAGATTTAATTATAGGTCTTTCTTTAGAATCAGAAAGCTTTTGTCAAAAGTCAAGAGGGACCGTATTCTCAACACTTTTTAAAGTTTAAATATACATTTACATTGTTGTTTTGAACACCATAGGTTTTAATTAATATGATTTGAGGTGTACCTGGAATGTTGCAGACTAAATACGTATATTTTTCTGCCATGTGGGAATCATTGTTGTATAATAAAAACTGTCCTGTCACAATCAATAGATAAATATTGACAGCTGATCAGACGGAATCAAGAAGTCTCTGTCATTTTCTGCACGCCCATCATTGATGTTGATTCATTAAGTCTATGTACTAGAACTCGGAGTTTGTTGATCTTACAATGTCAACACAAGGATGAAAGTCATTATGTTCTCACACAATGGAGTTTTGATCTTTATAAAACCCTTTTCTTTGAAACATTTATTGTTCAAATGCATTGAAAATGGCATCCAATAATTGAGTTTGATGTATGTGTAATTCATTGCTTTGATGTGGTTAAAACTATAGGTAAATTGAAGGGTATATTTAAAGGGGGCTAAAGAATTACTAGAATTGGGGATTACATTTGGAAACAAACTAACATTTGCTAAGTTCTGAATTTGTTGCCATTATTGGCTACTGAATGTGTAGTCATAATTAGGTAAATTTTGAAACCTTACTTAGGGCGCATTGTTCAAAGAAATTTAATTGGTCAATAATACAGTAGTTTCTTTCAGTTGTATGAAATGTACTCTTGTAATTGCAAAATTATAATGGAGATCTTTATAAAAAGATTTGTAAATTATGAAGAATACTCCGGTCTGGTACCCCCAGATCCTGAGTTGTTATTTTAGTGTGAGACTGTTAAAATGTCACCACGTGTATAATTGGTAACTCGAGACATTCCATAAATCTTAAAAAAGAGGAGGTAGTTTGTAATCAATATTCTGATAAGTTCCTAATGATTTTATCTAATTATATCAAATCTCACCAATAGAATGTATTGAACACTGATAAAAATAGCAAGGAAATCTGAGGTTACAGTGTAGCTAGGAAATCTGAGCCATCTATGTACCAGTATGAATAGACAGTATTGAGGCATATTTTTCATGATCTGATCTATTAGGGAATATTGGGGTATATTTTTCATGACTGACGTGTTCTAGTCTGTTTACATGAAGGATAAATAAAATGTCTAGTGAACCAGATTGTATAATATTCAATAAATAAAGGTGAAAGTTTTCCTATTGATGAGCAATACATCAGTGTTGACAAGATGTTTGTCTTCTCCTCGACTCTATCAGCACACTTAGAGACTTGGTATATAATGAATCATTTCTTATTTTCAGTCGCTACAAAGCCCTGGAGAGCATGATGGAGGAGGCTCTTAAGAAGAGCATGGAAATCAAAGAAGAAAAGATACATGCTTTAGAAAGCAGGTAATGTCACCATTTACTTCCCTTGAAAGGATCAACAGTCTAGCCTTAGATAAAAGCTAAGGTTACCATCTGGTGAATTTAATCAGTTCTAGAAACCACCTGCAGACTTTACAAATCAATTTCTTTGTTTCTAATTTTGATTTGGTTTGAAGCAATAAATTTCAATTGTCACAAATATGAATACTGCATCACTAAAGCCTTCTGATTATGTAAAATAAAACAAGATGACGGATATGTGTAATCATACCCCCCCCCCCCCAAATTTTTTTTTTAAAAACAAAAGTTCAATACAGAAGTAAACATAGAAATCAGTTGTTACCCTCACCTTTTTTGCTATAAAATGAAGTATGAAAACCTCAATTTTTTTTAATTAGACTTGAGGAGTCTAAAAATCGTAACCTGAAGCTTCAAGAGGAGTTGAGGATCCTAAAGCGTGAGTGTGAGTCTCTGAAGCAGAGGTATGAGGAGGAATCTCATGGCAGGGATACAGAAAGGTGAGACGCCAGATTCAGATAACTTAGCCTCGCTTATTGTTAAACAAAATCAGAAAAAAATTATCGTCGAGGATCCAGAAAAAAGCTTGATTTGATCATATTGAGATTTTGCTTGTGCTTTACCTAGGAGAGAGACAGCAGGGTTATTGAGGGGGCCACCAACCTACGTCCGCTCCAACAGTCAGAGCACCACCAAAGAAATCCTAGAACTCAAGGACCACCTTGTTCAAGTAGAGAGAACAGTAAGTAAAAATGGAGGTTGAATTTATTTTCTGTTTAAAATAGCTGAAGTAGAGAAATTAAAAACATAGTCATATCAAACATTAGACAGATAACAAACCAAATGTTAAAACTTACTTTTTTTCAGAATGCAACAATGATGGCAGAGAACAAGAACATGAAATCTCAGACAAATGCTTTGAATGAACAAATTAAGAAACTAGAGAATCAGAATGTTAGACTCCAGTCTGAGAATTCATCCCTACAGCACCAGGGTCATTCCATGCAGTCAGACAATGCCAAACTTCAGGTGGAGAACTCCACTCTCAAGTCCCACTGTTCATCCTTACAGAACCAGATCTCCTCTCTACAGAGTCACATGAACCAGCTAGAGACTGAACACCAGCACCTGATCCAGACTCACGAGGAGCTACAGTCCTCACATGAGGAGCTGGTTCAGGATCACGAGGAGTTACAGAGAATTCATGAACAATTGACCTCAGAATATGAGGGTTTAATTTCTGAGCATGGTTCACTGAAATCGGTTCATAAGGCCATAAAAAATGAAAATAAAGAACTTCATGAACAGCTGAGTCGCAGTGTTCAGGGCAAAGATCAGTTGAACCAGATGCAGCTGGAGCTGAAGTCGATGAGAAAGTTACAGGAGGAGAACGCATTACTGAGGGATGAACACGAGAGAATGGCTGGTCAGTACGAGAAGTTACGGACAGACTACAGAGATCTACTGGCCGATCACAAGAAAGTAAAGAATGAGTTAAATCAGGCCCAGCTGAGAAACACAGACCTCCAGGGGCAGTGTGGGGAGATGAAGGATCAACTTCATACCATGGAACTGGAGATCAGTGGACTCGGACACAAATATGATGTAAGGGATTTACAAGTTGTACTCTGGTTTTCAGGACTAACTTAAACTTGTGATAATAAAGTAATTATTAATTACTCAAAGAAGATTGAGTAAGAAGCTAAGCTTTCTTAAAAGGTTCAATGGCAAGAGTTTATTGTAGACCCTGTACCAAGTAAACCAAAAGATGGAAGAAGACAACAAAAACTTGTTGATGCAGATTCAGACCCTGCTGAATTCAAACCAGGATCTTTTGTCCCAGATACTCGACAGCAAAGAACATTTCAATGAAGAGGAAAAATCCTATTTGTAAATATAACCATTTAGTGATAACATTGTGAACTTTATCCATACAAGGCCTTGTGTGTTAGATATTGGTTGTGCATAAAGTTAGTGTAAGGCTTTGTGTATTAGGTATTGGTAATGTGTAAAGTTATTGTAAGGCTTTGTGTTTTAGGTAATGGTTATTAGTAAAATTCCATATTTGAAAAACAAAGTGAAATTAAAGCAAGAAAAACAAAAAAGAACTGAAAAAGAATTTTACAAACTCCTTTTAGGTTTATGATTTATTTTTCATTATTTATCTTGCTGAATTATTGGTTACTTGCTATTTTTCTGCTAGAGAGAAGATGAATGATTTAAAGAGACAGAAGGAGAGATTGGAGGAAAAGATTATGGAGCATTACAAGAGACAAGACAACCAGAAAAAGTAGGCTCAGTAATCAGTAAAGATTAAGATTGTGAAGAGAAAGCTCAGTTGTAATTTCACTCAGATGAGTGGTATTGGGCTTTTTTTAACATGACTGTCTTACAGGGGAGGTGGGGGTGTTAAACATTGTGGAGTAATCTGTAATACACATTTTATCTTTTATCACCAATTAGTTTTCAGTCAAAGGCTGGAAGGTGAGTTGATTAAGAAGTAGAATGGGAAACAGAAGGATGTGTAAAAAGTTTTTAAAAAATGTAGATCTGGATTGCAGCAAAATTTTGATTGTTCTTTCTTCTTTATTTAACCTTAGATTTTTTGTTGGTTATTATATCAAGTTTAATTATAGAAGGATGAAGCTTGTACATTTAGCTTCTTTTTTTTTAGATATGAAAATAGACTAATTAAGTATCAAAGCAGAAAGTTTTCTTTAAAAAAATTTAAATGTGGTGTAGACCCAGCATTGAATGATCTAAATAATTTTAACTGTTGTTAAAGTGTATTGTTAATTTGAATTCTTTCAGGAACAGGGGTTTAGGAGCCCGAATAGCAAGAAAGGCAGCTAGAATTTTTGCCACCAAAGTAAGGGCTTTGAATGTAAAGATATTTATACAGGATAATGAATTTCTGATGTTTTAATAGAAGAATGAAAGAAGCACATGCTTTGATAGAAAATGAAATAACTGATTTGATTTGGTATCTACATGTATATTACATTTTTTAGCACCCCAGAAGTAAAAGCAGAACTAACTTAGCAGAGACAACTGGAGATAACTCACTGCTAGGGGATACAACTGATGGTAGATCAGGTGAGTGATGTCCCTTTGATTGGTGTTTGCTAGACAGCCTCTCCTTATCTTCCCTTATAAGCAGATCTAGTGAATCAGTCAAAATAATTACTTGAACTGATAAGAAGGAAAAAGTATAATTTTAAACAATTTACTGGGAAACTTAAAATATAATTTAACTTCAAATGTTTAAGTGGAGTGTGGGATATATTTTTTTAAATGCATGAAATATTCAAAGCATGCACAAGAAATAAATCGCAAAAACTCATGATTAACTAGTTGTAGCGGTGCTCCTACTGACTTTGCATGTTCAGTGAATACTTATATTAATCAGCATTTACAGAAATAGAGTTCACCAGATCGCACATTTCTTCCTCCATTTCATGAAGATTGAATAAATTTTGAATCTCTTGGATCATATCAAACATTTATAGTAGATATTGTATATCCTGTTCATGTTCCATTATTTAAAAACAAGCTATATCAGCTTAATATGGCTAGTCTATTTGAGCATGAGATAATAATGTCCTAAATGGTGTCCTTTCCTATATCAGAGCTGCGATCAAGTCGCCCAGTTAGTATGTGGAACATAACTGATGAGCCATCACTAGCAAAACAAAACACCAGTCTGGCCAAATCAGCTGGTACCCTCAATCAGTCTGATAAAATCACAGAGTCCTACTCCTCCAGAGGTAATCCTTTGTAGGATTTCTACTTTTACTGACTGTTTCTCTTTGTGTTCTTAGTTTATATTGAAGACTTAATAACCCAGAATGAAGTTCTTTTTGTTTTCTGCTGCTAAGATTTAGTGAATTTTAATTTTAGTTTGGAGTTCTTATTAGATTGGGTTTTGGATGAGCATTGTTTTACATTCATTTCTGTTTTCATTTCCATTATCTTAATATCATTTACCTTCATCTCTAAGATTCTTCTGTGGTATATAAATTTAAAGCATATAATTATCACTGAATTACTCTTCATGTAAAACTCGAATAATTTCAGTTATCTCCCTTGACTTTTTCTGTATTTGCTTGTAGAGAGCTTTTGTCTAGAATTAAATGACAGCTTTCATACGTGTAGACTAGTCGGTTGTGTTGTCTGTGTTCCTAATGTGTATTTATTCTTCCCACAATTCCTAGGAGCCAAATCGGCCGAGGACCTATTAGCAGACTCCACGCGAAGTAACCATGACAAAGAGTCATTTTCCTCTAGTAATTCTACCAATTTGTTGCCAGGTAACAGCCGGAGATGGACAAGCTTGGCTTATTGCATGTGTTCAGTGTATATTATTTCCCTCATTTAGAGCTTTATAATGGTGATGGAGGTTTGAACTGTACTGCATGTTAATATTGTGTTATTTTATTTTATGTGTCAAACACAATTTGTAAATAATGTAATATTGTTTTCAGCATTGCTACCTGAAAGATAATCTTGGTTTCTTCTTCACCATAAATCTTCATAGCACATTTTAACCATTCCATTTATATTAACCATGCACTTATGCAGTAAATTCATTTGATTTATTAGCTGCATATATTCAGTTAAATGTAGTTTTTGTTCGGCATGAAGTACATTTACTGCTTGTATTGGGTAGTTAATTTCTGACTGGAATAGAAACTCCCTGAGCTTTCCAAATTCACTTTAGTTTCTGACCAAAATACCAATCACAATTAGATCATATTTCTTGCTTGCTCTTCACTCCTATTAAGTTTTAAAGTACAACTGACTTCAATTTTTTTTTATGGTATGCCAGATGTTAAACATTTCTGAATCTTGTTTTTCTTGTGTAGGAAATAATGTTTTGGAGCCCAGTTTACTAGTTATGTTGCTTTCTTCTAATTCACACATTACAAATTTTTGTATTAAATTGCTTTTATTGAAAGACTAAATTAATTTAGTATGATTTTTTTCTGAAAACTGTAGCCATTTTAACAATAATTATGTGCTAAGTTCTTAGATGACTTCACTAGCTTAATCCTTTTTTTTATGCATATCGAGCATGTGAATTGGTAAAAATCTGACATGTGAGGTGCTGCTATTTTAATATATATATATTAAATAAATGATTTAGCTTACTTGATACTAAGGTGCTCAAGTTTTCAGTTAGTACTAGATTTCATATCTCTTGCAGAAAATTGCATGAAATCTCAGCACACACAGGTGCTATGTGTTTCTCAGATTCATTTGTTAATTTTGGCTGTCCTACAAGTATTTTTAAAAGACCTCGACTCGTGTCCACATTGTGTATTTCAGTCATTGACTTGTATATAAGGAAAGTATTGAAGACAATGACTCCAAATGTACTATTCCATATGTGTTCCGTGTTTATTTCAGGCCTGCTGTTTTTTTGCACTGATCACATATATACATGTATGTTCTGTGTATTATGTAATGTAGGCTGACCAGACATGTTCTGTGTATTTCAGGCCTGGGACATCCAGCGGTACTGGGAGATGATGATGATGATGATGGTGGCTTTGGGTCTGTGGTACAACCAAATGAAATGATGACTCTGGAAGAATTCCTCAATGAGGCCAACAAAGGGTCACCCAAGACAGGAGTATGTAGTTAATTTGTCCTAAGCTATTTTACAACTCTGGAATTATTTGCCCATTGTTTTAAAAATACCATCTCTAAATGAAGTCAAAAAGGGCACAACAAAATATGACAAGGAATATTTTTTGTTAAATAATACAGCAGAGGGACATGTATGTTATTTTACTGTGGATTCTTTTTTTCCCAGAAATCAGCAGAATCCAGAAGCCAGGAAGACACAGAATCTAAGAGCAGTGAGAATTCCGACAACAGTGGAAAGAGGAACTTCAGGAAGCGGCAGGCCCCCGCTCCACCACTGCAGTTATCCACTCCTCCACAAAGTGGATCTAACCCTCGCATATTTTCATCCATACCTGACGTGGCAGCAGTGTCATCTCACCTTGACCTCTCCAGAATGTCAAGGATATCCGGTGGCAGCAGTGGAAGTGGTCATGACAGTCGTCCAGACGAACATTCCACACCCCCTCACAGCATCAGGGGTCACCCTGAAACCTCCACCCCTGCTGTTTCATCTGCAAGTAACAGACTAAATAATGGATCATTTGAGGATCTGAATCAGTGCTCTCCTCTAACGGGAGATCCCCGTCGCTTCACTGCCAGCTCTACTCCTTCATCTGCTTCCCGTACTCTTCAGTATTCATTTGGAAATTCACCCCAGGCACAGAGTCATTCTGTCCAATCCCCCCAGTCTAGAGAATTACCTCCTACCCCTGCTAACACATCAGACAGAATAACAGCATCAGATAGACTTGATAGACTTGTGTCTAGCAACCTTCAATCATCTAGTCCTCAAAATAACTATGACCCATCTGTAAGGTCAGGGAGTGGACAAGATAGAAGTGGTCAGAATTTATCTGACAAACCCCCTCTAGCAAGAGGGTTCACACCCCAAGGCCCTCATAACCGGCCTCAAAACTTTCACAATTCAGGTAAACTTGGGCCATCCCCTAACACCCAGTACCGCCCCCAGCAAAATTCATACTCCTCATACCCAGGACCAACACAAAATGGACCTTACCAATCCTCACCAGGGTACAGTGAAACTGTGAAAAATCCATCAAACAGTGAAAGCAATAGAAGACTGAGCATGCACGAAGCAAGTTCTCAGCAGAATATTTATTCTAGCATTGACGATACGAGGTCTAGAGGATACAGTTCTTCTCAGACCAACCTCAATAACAGTGGAAACCTCAACAACCATAACAGTGCAAACATAACAAATGGACCATTTAGGAACCCTTCAAGTGAAGAGAGCCATTATGCCAGAATTCAAAGAATTGAGAGACCAAAATCTGTCCCACCAGGTGTTGTGAACCAGCAATCACCCACAAAGAATACTTCTGACAATATGTATTCTCAGCCCAATAAAACACCTCCCGTCCCCCCACCGAGACGGCTCAAGGACAGTACTACAGCCACTAGGTTACTACGGGAACCATCGCAAGGTCACATGTCATCACAAGGTCGTCACATCATCGCCAGCAGGAACTCCACTCCTCCTAGTGGTAACTCGAGGCAGCTACCACAAGGAGGAATAACTCGCTCTCATACTTCAATGGGTGTCAGAATTGGACCCCCTGCTAAACAGGTCAACACCCCACCACCCCCCAAGGTCATGAACAACGAACCCAAAGATCCAAAGGAGAAGAATTCAGTATGGTACGAGTATGGGTGTGTTTGATATCCACTATATTGTTTGACAAAACATAGTATATCTAGCGTGTGTGTTTTAGTGGGAAGTTGTGTATCAGAGTATTGTATTAGGATAAATGGCACATTTTTATAAGGGGTTCATATTGTTTTCACTCAATTCTTTATGGTAGGTGGTGTTACCAAGGTTATGGGGAATTCACTAACTTTATGTAACCTACAAATTGTATATTTTACAATAGGTAGCATGCTTTATATTACTTTTATATAAAATTGAATATTACAAAAAAAAGTACTTTAAATTGGAAAGTTAATTTTTTTTTTTTTTTTTTCAATTTTCTTATTTAACTAACCAGCCAAAGATATTCTTATAGTTTTAATTTTTTTTTTTTTTTTAAAATTTCTTTTTGTTTTGGATGACTTTTTAGCTGAATGTGGATTTTTCTTTTTCCAGCAGGGGAACAAGGTGTTAATGCATGTGTCATCACAGGAACTGGTATAGATTGTCTCCCTTTGAAGGAGTGGCATTAAGTTCGAATCACACATCATTTATTTATTGTTTGCATGCTTCACAGTAGTTATCATGTCTCTAGCTTGCACTGCTTCAGTATTATCTTTGACATTTATCTACAAAACAAAAAAAAAATTAAAAAATCAGAGTTGACTATTCTTTCAGCACCTGAAAAGTTTGATAGACAATTCACTCTCAATATTTTATTTTTCTGTCTTTTTTCCTTTTTCTGTTTTTAACCCAGTATAAATTAAAATGCTCAGGTGCTAGATGTTAATTGTTTTGACCTTGTTAATCCTCACTTGTAGAATTCTGACCATAATCTTGGTGACATTAATGTAGCCACACTGCAGTATTATACAGACAACTGCTTTGGTAACTAATTTACATTTCAAGGGAAGTTTGAGTAATTAGTGAAGTGTGTAGTATGGCTGCTAATATTCTTGCATGAAGCATGGTAACAGTTTCTTGTTTACCATTTTAAGTTTACAAATTTACATATAACTTACTATATGAATGATTTTCATTGTACACAGTGTATTTTACCTTCCTGTTATTTCCAGTGTTCTCCAATGTTGTACAAGCTTTAATTATTGCTGGTACATTTATGTGCATAGGTATTTAAGAAAAGAATAATTGATTTGGATACAGATTATTATATCAATGGCTTTACTATGATTATTAATGTGATAGTATCAAATGTACTTAATCTTATATTCTTAACTTGCTGTACAATGAAATTTTCAGTGGATATTAGTACTTATAAAATGGCTCCGTATTCTCCGTCTTGTTTCTAAGTCAAACCTCACCATTTCCTCTTGAGCTCAATGCACTATATACAAAATACACATATTCTGATTACCGGTAGTACTTATAAATAGCCTTGCTCCCTGTCCTGTTTATAAGTCATAGCGCACCATTTCCTCTTGAGCTCAATGCACTATACAAAAAAAAAAAAACCCACCCATATTCTCCTATGCTCTGCAACATAGAACTCAATATTGCACAAAAGTACTTACAAGCTTATATACACTGTACACCTACACTTGTACCCAAGTCTCAGGCAATTTTAATCCTGATTGTGTATTGAATTTGTTAGACTATAATATTGTTGCCTGTGTACTCTATCAGAGTTATGTTTCTTTCTTTTAGGAAATTTTACATTCCAACTTTGATATGTGATAACCGTACAGGGTTGTGATAAAACTTCATATACACAAGCATTGCTAACAAAAAGTTGTATCTGAAAAGGCATAGGGTGATCTTGTGTATATTTCTACAAAACCTCAATACTTATTCTGATCCGTATTTCCAGGGTATTAACATTTATGTATTTTCATTGTTCCATCCAACAAAAGGCATGCCATTTTCCTCTTTTTTATGTACATTTTATACCCTCTCCCTACAACTGCTTTTCACACAAATCCGTCCAGCTTGATTCTATTATACATCTAGTCCCATGGTGCTTGTTAGATGCATTTTGGAGTGTTTTGCTCATGAATTTAAACTGCATTTAGCAATAAAAACGTGTAATATCTGGACTTTCTTATATGGACTAGGTTTCCAAGTTTGCACACCATCACAGGGACATATAGACCGTTTTACTTTTTATAATGATTATATTAATGAGTGTCTCATGAATGATGTAGAATTATCCAATATTGCTTTCAATTATTTTTTTAAAATGAAAATCTCTTTACAACTGGAAATATATTTTTCATGTTAATTATTGGCAATACATGTACTTTTGAAATGTACTAAAAAATCATGCTCATAAATTGTATAGTTGATTTTGTACATATTTATTGTTTATTTGTACAAAATGTTAATTTATGTCTCCTTTGAGTACAATTAAATATGGTACCAAGAGATCTGTCAGATTTGTTTTTGCTTTGCTACACCCCATGGTTTTCCAACCAGCAATCTGTAAGCCTTGGTTCCCAATACTGAAAGAAGAAACTGAACCCAGACTGTACACTGTAGGTAGGTGTCCAGGGCAGGTATATTCAGGGGTCCTCTTTATTATGGATATGCCTGTGCAGCAATTTTTTGTATACATGTACATGTATATAAAAATACAGCATTAATTCATACAGCACTGATTCTCAGTATAAATCTGTACTCGGTACTTCCCATTTATTTTTATTACCAAGGGATACATAACACTCCATCCTATGTCACTATTTTTGAAAATCTCCAAGTATTTGAATGTCATGTACCAAAACTGCTACTTTACCATACTATTATAACAAGAAGCCCATGGGCCACATCGCTCACCTGAGCAACTTCGGCCATGCATTGAACCAGATTTCCCCCATGTAATACCTATTGTGGCCCCGCCCTATCACCGGGGGTCATGATTTGAACAATTTAGAATCTACACTACCCCAGGATGCTTCCACATAAGTTTCAGCTTTTCCAGTCCAGTGGTTCTTGAGAAGATTTTCAAAGATTTTTCTTATATATTTCAATGTAAAACTTGGATTCCCTATTGTGGCCCCGCCCTACCACCGGGGGTCATGATTTAAATAATTTGGAATCTACACTACTTGAGGATGCTCCCACTTAAGTTTCAGCTTTTCTGGCCCAGTGGTTCTTGAGGAGAAGATTTTTAAAGATTTTTCTCATATACTTTAATGTAAAACTTGGATTCCCTATTGTGGCCCCGCCCTACCCCCGGGGGTTCTGATTTGAACAATTAAGAATCTACACAACCCCAGGATGCTTCCATATAAGTTTCAACATTTTTGGCCCAGGGGTTCTTGAAAAGAAGATTTTTAAAGATATTTCTTATATATTTTCAATGTAAAACTTGGATTCCCTATTGTGGCCCCGCCCTACCCCTGGGGGTCATGATTTTAATAATTTAGAATCTACACTACTTGAGGATGCTGCCACTTAAGTTTCAGCTTTTGTGGCCCAGTGGTTCTTGAGATGATTTTTAAAGATTTTTCTTATATATTTCAATGTAAAACGTGGATTCCCTATTGTGGCCCCGCCCTATCCCCGGCAGTCATGATTTCAACAATTTAGAATCTACACTACCCCAGAATGCTTCCATATAAGTTTCAGCTTTTCTAGCCCAGTGGTTCTTGAGAAGAAGATTTTTAAAGATTTTTCCTATATATTTCAATGTAAAACTTGGATTCCCTACTGTGGCCCCGCCCTACCCCCGGGGGTCATGATTTTAACAATTTAGAATTTACACTATCCCAGGATGCTTCCATATAAGTTTCAACATTTTTGGCCCAGTGGTTCTTGAGAAGAAGATTTTTTAATGACCCCCCCTTATTTTTGTCTTTTCTTGATTATCTCCCCTTGTAAGGGGACTTGGCCCTTTATCTTAACAATTTAAACTCCCCTTCACCCAAGGATACTTTGTACCAAGTTTGGTTAAAATTGGCCTAGTGGTTCTTGAGAAGAAGTTGAAAATGTGAAAAGTTTACAGACGGACGGACAGACAGACGGACGGACAACAGGTGATCAGTAAAGCTCACTTGAGCTTTCAGCTCAGGTGAGCTAAAAATAGGACTTTATTCTTAACTATTTATTGGTAAGTTAACATGACAAATATACTGGAAAACAACTGATCCACAGAAGAGGCTTGTCTAACAGAAAAACCATCTGACTCTTAGACAAATTCAGGCATAAAATTTCATCTAACAAACTTCATTTACACTACTGACATTATTTGAATTTTGAAATGAAAATCTGCATTGGGATTCAAAAATGAAAATGGTTACGTCTCTCCATAAAAAACTAACACAGGTATGAATCACTCTTGAGAGATGATTATGATGTTGGGCACTCGATGTAAGGTGACTGAAGTGAACAACCAATCAGGTCACATTTTATCACATTCTCCACCAATCGGACAACTTCTCTCACCACTTTCCACGTTTGCTCCAGTCCTTGGGTTGCCAGTGTAAACACTTGGGGTCGATTCGTACCTTGCGTTTTTCCATGGCTTTCATCTGAGTGTCAATCTGTTCATGAGACAGCGTGATGATGTACTGCCCCTTGTAATAGTTAATCAGATTTAGATGTTGTAATGTGGAAATCACATCCTCTTTCTTGATGCTTGTCATTTCTGAGATTTCACTGAAAAATATAAGTACTGTACATGTACTTAATTTAACATACACATTTTATTAAAAACATCTGCACAGTACAGTGTTTTTAAAAATACATATACATGTACATTAAAGTACAGCATATCTAAATTGTACTTTATCTTCATATATTTTAGCAGGATTCATATTTTATCTACTGGTACGTATAATATGTACCTTGCTAATCCTGATCACTGTCAAAATATTAATACACGTACATGACAAATACATGTATAACTTGCAATTATGCTAAATTTGAATTTTTGAGTTGTCAGTAACTGAAAAAGAAATTCCTTACTTGATGGTGACCACAGGTCTATCGTTTCCCTCTGAGGGTGTCATGTTGATGAGAATTTCTAGTAGAGTTTGTGACCAATAGCTTCTGTAGGAGAGTAGACCAAGATCCGACAGTGGCTTCTCTGGAGAACCGGTCTTCCCTTCACACTTGGACAACTCGTAACCTGGAAGAACAAAGAAAACATTGTTCTGATCTTTTGTATTTTCCAGTACAACTGAGGCAGTTCCATTGTCTGTACAAGTACTAACACAAATTTTAAATACAGAAACTCAATTACGGAGTCTTATTGGGGAGTCTGTATAAAACTTAAATGTTTCTGCTGTTAAATACAACAAGATGTCATCTGAACTGATAGGGTATAATGTTCTATAGAATATTTTAACTTACTAAATTCTATCAGAACTGATAGGGTACAATGTTCTATAGAATACTGGAACTTACTAAATTCTATCAGAACTGATAGGGTACAATGTTCTACAGAATACTGGAACTTACTAAATTCTATCAGAACTGATAGGGTATAATGTTCTATAGAATATTTTAACTTACTAAATTCTATCAGAACTGATAGGGTATAATGTTCTATAGAATATTTTAACTTACTAAATTCTATCAGAACTGATTGGGTATAATGTTCTATAAAATATTGGAACTTACTGAATTCTATGAGGAGTTTTCCAAATCCTTTCTTTTGATAGGGAGGTAGTGTCAGAATACAGGCCACATTGTAGTCTTCTGTAGATTCCTTCTCCTAATACATAAATCATAATTATCATTTACATATGCATCATTTCACCTTGAAAAGTGAAAGTACAGTGTAGTTTTCATACATTAGCAAAGTTAATCTGGCATATTTTCTTTTTTATCATTAAACCAAGTCTCAAGGTTACATTGCCCAGTTTTCATAATGCTTTAGCTTCAATTAAAGTGGAAAAGTCTCATAGAAAAAAATCTCACTTTGGAGAAATAGCCCACAATATGGTAACCTTTGACATCTTGTTCACACATCACATAGAAGAGGAAAGGATCCGTGTCATAATACAAAGTCTTGTGATCTAAAAATAGCTTGGCCAGGAGACAGAGATTCTGAGCATATGCCTGAAAGTTAAAAATAAATCACTGAAATTACAATAATAACTTAGGAATTCCTTAATGAGAAGAATTACAGTTATTTCATATCAAAAGAAAATACCTTATTTTTCCTCCCATCAATTTCAAAAAATGATATGTTTCCTTTTCTGTAGATTTCATTTCCTGGAGGATATCGTAATAGGCACTTTTGCTGAAGGAAAAATTATACAAGTTGTCTAACATACTGTACGTGCAAAGGAGTTAAGAAATTTTAATATCGTAATTTTAATATCGTAATATCGTAATAGGCACTTTTGCTGAAGGAAAAATTATACAAGTTGTCTAACATACTGTACGTGCAAAGGAGTTAAGAAATTTTAATCAAAATTGGAGAGAATTAGGAAATAAATGCACTGTTGACAAATATTTACACTGTGACTTACGATATGTCGCTCTAGGCACTTTTTACTTTTCACATATTTTAGACAAAATTCACAAATGTACAATATGGGCAATGAGGTTAATTCCTACAATAAAAAGATAGAGATATATATACATGTATATAAAGAAGGAGAGATTTTCTAAATATATGTGTATCATTTTTTCTGGCAAATAAACAGTAACTTAATTCATGTACAAGAAGACCAATACAAAAACATTTTTCTCAACCACATATAATTTACAACATTGGTCTATCTGGGAATTGGTTCCGACTCTTCAATTTATACCCGAAGCTTCAAAAATAATCATTTTAATCTTAAAAGGAATTAAAGACTAAGACCTAATCAAGTGCCTCAGTTACTTCCTGCATGTGTATACTGACTTCAGACAGCATTTAACAATACAGCTTACTCTCCATGATAACCTGGGCTACATCCGTAAGACTATTGATAACCTGGGTACATCTGTAAGACTATTGATAACCTGGCTACATCCGTAAGACTATTGATAACCTGGCTACATCCGTAAGACTACTGATAACCTGGCTACATCCGTAAGACTATTGATAACCTGGCTACATCCGTAAGACTATTGATAACCTGGGTACATCCATAAGACTATTGATAACCTGGGTACATCTGTAAGACTATTGATAACCTGGGTACATCCGTAAGACTATTGATAACCTGGGTACATCTGTAAGACTATTGATAACCTGGGTACATCTGTAAGACTATTGATAACCTGGCTACATCCATAAGACTATTGATAACCTGGGTACATCTGTAAGACTATTGATAACCTGGGTACATCTGTAAGACTATTGATAACCTGGGTACATCCGTAAGACTATTGATAATCTGGTTACATCCGTAAGACTATTGATAACCTGGCTACATCCGTAAGACTATTGATAACCTGGCTACAACCATAAGACTATTGATAACCTGGGTACATCTGTAAGACTATTGATAACCTGGCTACATCCGTAAGACTATTCATACTGTCACACAATGTAGACACATTTACCTGAGGATAGGGAGAGAAATACCAGGGACGTATTCTGTATTTTCCTAATTCAATCATTTCTATATTTTTCATCCTGGTCACTATATCGTCATGGTGAGCTACCATACTTCCAGTTTGTCTGGGTTTTTTAGATCCATCTTCATTCTGGAATTATTGTCAACATGTAAACAAAGCATTATCTAACAACATCCCCAAAATAAAGTGACTTCATAAACTAAACACAACAGATTAAACTCAAGAAAGGGTTTCAAATAAACTACATCACGTTAATCAATCATTCTTTTATCCCAGAAAATTAATATCAATACATGTACTCTTACTTAATTAAGACTTACAAATGACATAAGTACTAAATTGTCCTTAAACTAAAACTAATAGATTGAAATTTAATGCCACTAGCATAAAAACTGAGTACTTACAGAGACCAAAATAAAAATACAGACTGTTCTTACACCAGGAATTACAAAAAATAACTCACCACAGTCACACTATTTTGTTGCTGGAGGCCTAATGTAGGAGTATTATTTCTGCTGCTGGTGGGAGTCGCAAAGGGGTCAGCCTACAAGAAATTAAGATGACTTTACTTGACAATACTTTACAAAACATCAAACACACGTTTCAGCCGTCCTTTGTCAACAACACCCTATTACTGTTACAGAGTTAAATCCTTATTTCCCCGTGTTGTCTTACCACAGTCAGCTGATTTGAGGTATTATTTCTACTCGGTGTTGCTGGTTCAGAAATCTGGAATAATTAACTCCTCACAATCACAATATTAAACCCCAGCACATGTTTATAAAAATATATAAAGAATGACTTTCTCAACAATTCATGATCATACCCTACTATCTGGGGACAGTTTTTCACACTGTTACGAATATTGTCAGGAATTTTTTTTAAATATATCACATACATGTATATACATCACAGAAATTTTGAGTACAGTTCAATCTGAATCCATCTCAGCCTACCTCTGTGTCATCTGCCCCCTTCCTCTTCCTGTTACCACTAAATTTCTTGTTTCCGGATGAGCCATTCTGCTGCTAAAAAGAAATGGAAGCATAAATCTATCAATTTAGAGACAAAACTACTTTGAGACAAAAAGTTTATGATTGTGGTAAATTTCTAATAGACCTTTGACCTCTGAGCACGATCTTAAACTAAAAAGAGGCCTTGAGCTTCATCTTTACTTTCATTATAATGTAAAGTCCTTTTTTCATATACATTATATTTGTTTGGCAAAAGTTGAAGTTGTAAACAGGAACGAAATAATTTTGCCCTAATTAATTCTTTATTTTCAAACTTGAGAAGGATGTGTCAGTGTTATAAAAAATTCTTTTCATATACATGTATTTGGTTTAAATAATTTCAGCACATTAGGAAAACTTAGAGGTAAAGTGAGCACTGAGCTCACAAAATGATACCCCCCTTCCTCCCATATGAGTATAATGACGAAGTCCATATTTTGCCACTGGAAAGCCCAAATATCTGTCTGATCAAAAGATATAATAGGGAGAGAAGTGCGCATGCCCAACATGTAGACGGACAAGATTTTCTGAAAGGAAGGTTTTTACCTAAAAACTTGAAATTATTGAAATCAGAAAGCCTAAAGTGCAGTGACTTTAATTATGATAACCTTAGAAGTATTATGTGACAACTTTTGAAAGAATATATAACGCCAAACATCGGGAAAATGTTCTGTGTATTTTCGGTAAGTCAGTTTACTTGGTGAGTGATACTCATTCTGTTTATGTCTGTACATGTAAACTGTCTTTGTCTTAACAATGACGGATATCTCCAAAAAACGAGGACTAGATAAAATGGACATTGCAGACGAGTGTATGGAACAAGGCGATCAAAGTAATCAGAAAATGGAAGATTTTCAGTTAAGGGATATTATGCAGGGCATTACAAGTATTCAGACTACTTTGGCGAATTTTATGTTACGGCTCGATGGACAAGGTTGACACATAGATGAAATCACAAAAGAAATCAGAGCAAAAAATGGTATACAAGAAAGACTAGAAACTGTTCAAGAGCAGGCCAACGACACAATATACCTTGTGACAGAACTGCAGGATAACCAGAAAAAAATGGAACGTGAAATGAACAGACTCAAAGATTATGTAGTTCGTCTTGAATACCGTGTAAATTCACAAAGTAGCCAAATAGTTGATCTCAAGTCAAGATCAATGGAAAATAACATTATTGTTAGTGGACTAGAGGAAAAAAACCCAGAGAGGAAGTCGCCAGAAAACTTAGCAAAAACTCTGAGAAATGTATTCATATCGGAGATGGAAATGGAGGAGACAGTGGTAGATGAATTACAAATACAGAAACTCTTCCGAATGGGAGAATATGATGCTCAACGAAAGTTTCCTAGACCGATTTGTGTGCAATTTGCTGATAAGGCTCAAAAGGATCTTGTAATGAAGCACATAAAAGTTTTAAAAGAAAAGAAGTCGGACATTAGAATTGCCCAACAACAACCAGAGGAGATACGGGAAAGAAGAAAACAGTTATATGAAGTTCAAAGAAAATATGCAGAGCGAAATATCGAGACGAAAATGAAGGGGGACAAACTTATTTTCACTCAGAGTAATTCAATCTACAGAGAGAAAATAGGATCTCTCCCCACGGCAGACGAGGTGATTACCAGCGACGCAGTCAAGATTACCGTTAACCCAGGAAAGTCAATTGAGGACAATGGAAACCGGTTTATGGCACATTCCACCCAAGTCGATTCCTATAAACAGATCAAACGATCACTGGTGGAAATCATGCGTATCGAAACCGTACCAAGTGCGAGCCATAACGTTTATGCTTACCGTTTCACAAGCAGGGATGGGATAATCCATGAAGGTTCAAATGATGACGGGGAACATGGGGCGGGACGGCTATTACTAAAACTGCTAGCTGAAAATGAAGTTAACAACGTACTGGTGGTTGTGTCTCGATGGCATGGAAACAACATTGGACCCCGTCGGTTCTCCCATATTAAAGAAGCAGGCCTCAGTGCGGTAAAAAATTTACCAACTTCAGTTTGACACCATGAAAAATAAACCCAGTGTTATGTACGATTTTAGAACTGCTTAATATCGAGTTCTTGTCTTTATCTAATTTTATCTTACAGGTTAACTATATTTAATAGGTAAAATATGTGTTTACTGATTTTCTAGTATTCCGGAATTCTTTTTTCCAACCTATAATATTCCGGTAATTTTTGAAACATAATATTTCCTGTTCTTGCTGCTCGCTTTTCCCGATAATATATTGGCTCAAACTGTACGCTGTATGTAAGTTGTTTTTTCCTCAACATGTCACATAACACGGAGGGATCTGTATGCATTGTCTCATTTGTTTCATATAGATACATAACCTAATTATTAAAAAAAGATAAACAAGTTGTGATTACAATACACCACTAATGGTTTCCCTTGAAAGAGAATAAAAAAAAAATTAACAAATTTTTAATTCACAACTTGTTGGGTGAATTCACATATTTTTCTACAAATAGAAAAGACTCTGTATACTGTATTCCCTACACCTGTAAACTCACTTTCATTCTTTTTAAAGGTGTTTAGTGTTAACTCTTTAGTAATATCAATTATATGTTTTTGGTATAAACTTTCTACTCTCAAAAACAAGCATTTTTCTCAGACAATCCACATACTTTTGTATATACACTTTTGTTATCTTTTATTTATCTTTTTGGTTCTGTCTTGTATGGGGTCAGCAATATTTTCATCCATACTTTTAAAATATTTATGGATCATAATAAGAACAACAACCTAAAAATACTTACAGTAAACTGTCAAGGCCTTGGTAACATTCATAAAAGAAGAGATGTGCTTAAGAATTTAAAAGCTAAGAATTATAATGTTTATTTTTTACAAGATACCCATTTTGTGGGAAAAGATGAAAACTTTATAAGAACACAGTGGGGATATAAAGCATTTTTTAGTTCATTCAAATCCAATTCAAGGGGAGTTGCTATCCTTTTTAATAACAACTGTGAATTAAAAATCATCAATGAATATAGGGATACTGGTGGTAATTTTCTAATTTTGGATGTCTTTATTGAGGATATCTCTTTTTTACTAATAAATATTTATGGTCCAAACTCTGACACACCTAATTTCTACTTAAGTTTAGTTCATAAAATAGAGGAGATTTACTCTTCCCAAAATATTGTTATAGGGGGTGATTTTAATTTAGTTTTTGATAAGGATTTGGATTCAATGAATTACAAAAATTTAAACAACCCAAAATCAAGACTTGAAGTAATGAAGCTTATGGATGCTTTAAATCTTAAGGATGTATTTCGTGAAGATAATCCAAATTTAAAAAGGTTTACCTGGAGACGAAAAAATCCACTCAAACAAGCTAGACTTGACTTTTTCCTGATATCTGAGTCTATGCTAACTATGATGCCTTGTGTAAAGTTTGAAAGTAGTTACTGTTCTGATCATTCTCCAGTTCTACTACACTGTAAATTAAATGAATTTAAAAAAGGAAAGGGTTTCTGGAAATTCAATAATTCTCTGCTACGTGAAAAAGAATATGTTGAACAAATAAAATGTAAGATTGAGGAGGTTAAAATCCAATATTCCTGCCCAGTATACAATACGGAAAAAATCCGTTGCCTTGAGAATGATGCTATTCAATTTACCATTAGTGATCAACTCTTTCTTGATATCTTGTTAATGGAAATAAGAGGGAAGTCAATTTCATTTTCAACATATAAAAAAAAGAAAATTATTGAAAGAGAGCAACTATTGGAAAGAGAAATATTAGAATTAGAACAGAATTTAACAGATCAGTCAATTAATGAACTCGAAGAAAAACAAAGAGAAGTAGAAGAAATAAAGAATATAAGATTAAAAGGTCAATGCATAAGGTCAAAGGTCAAATGGATTGAGGAAGGAGAAAAACCCTCTAAATATTTTGTAAGTTTAGAATCAAGAAACTATGTGAGTAAGCAAATACCTAAAATAGAAAAGGACAATGGATCAATTGTCTCTTCTCAAATTGAGATTTTAAATGAAACAAAAGTTTTTTACGAAAACTTATACAAGAAAAGGGAAAATGTAGAGTCAGAAAATATTCATGAAAGACTTAAACAATATGATATTCCTAAATTAAGTAGAGAGGAATCAAACAGTCTGGAAGGACCAGTAACAAGTCTTGAAGTTTTTAATTTCTTAAAACAAATGAAAAATGAAAAAAGTCCAGGACCTGATGGATTTACGTGTGAATTTTTCAAATTTTTCTGGAAAGATATTGGCTCCTTTATTACAAGAGCAATAAATAATTCAAATGAATTACTTCAATTCTCAGATTCAAATAAATTGGGAATCATTACGTGTATTCCGAAAGCAGGAAAGGAAAAACAATTTCTGAAAAATTGGCGACCCATTAGTCTTTTAAATGTGGTTTATAAAATAGCATCAGGATGCATCGCTGAACGAATGAAAACTAAATTGGACAAATTGATAAACAGAGATCAAACTGGATTTATTAAAGGTAGATTTATCGGGGAGAATATTAGACTGATATATGATATAATGCATTATACAGAATACAATCAAATACCTGGCCTATTGATGTTAATTGACTTTGAAAAAGCATTTGATACAATCTCTTGGAATTTTATATATCAAACCCTTGAATTTTTTAATTTTGGGCCTTCTTTTATAAATTGGATTAGAACCTTTTATAATGGTATTAAATCATGTGTTATACAAAATGGATTCACTTCAGATTATCTTTTCCCCCAAAGAGGCTGTAGACAAGGTGATCCAATCTCACCATATCTCTTTTTGCTGTGTGCTGAAATTCTTGGAATCTTAATTCGAAATAATCAAGATATTAAAGGTATAACAATTGAAGGTGAAGAGTACAAACTTTCGCAATATGCTGACGATACCTCTCTTATCTCGGATGGTTCACCAAGATCCATGGATGGTATTCTCCGAGAATTAGATTATTTTGCCAATATATCAGGTTTAAAAATAAATTTCTTAAAAACTAAAATGATATGGATTGGAAGTAAAAAATTCTCAAGGGAAGTATTCCATCACTCGAGGTGGAAGCTGGATTGGGATAATACAAATTTTGATCTTTTAAGAATAAAATTTTCAGTAAACTTGGATGAAATGCCTGACTTAAATTATTCCATAAAACTAAATGAAATCAAAATATTGTTAAATAAGTGGAGATTGAGGAAACTTACCCCAATTGGAAGGTTAACAGTAATTAAAACTTTAATATTACCTAAACTAAACCATTTAATTCTTACTTTACCAAACCCTAAGTCAGAATTTTTGAAGATGTTTGAGACAGATATGTATTATTTTTTATGGGGTAGCAAAATTCATAAGGTAAAGAAAAATGTTATAATCCAGGACTATAAATATGGAGGTTTTAAAATGATTGATTATACAGAATTCATTTCTGCTCTCAAATCAAGTTGGATCAGAAGACTTATTCACTCAAATGCAAACTGGGTAAAACTATTTGAAGCTGAAATAAAACTAGACATAAAAAATCTTTGGATAAGGGGTTCTGATTACATTCTGAATCTTTCAATAAGATTAAATAATGTTTTTTGGAAAGAAGTCCTGTCAAGCTGGGCAAGACTAATTAGGATAAATCAAGAAAACGACAGACATGTGCTCTTTGAACATATATGGAATAATCCAAAGATTAAAATTAACAATAAATCTTTCTTTCGGAAAAACTATTTTAATGAAGGCATTGTTTTTCTTATTGACCTTTTTAACAATGAAGGTAGTTTCATAAGTTTTGACTCCTTAATAAACTTGAAAGTGAAAACAAATTTTATTGAATATAATGGTCTTAGGACTGCAGTGTTAGATAGACTGAAAAATAAAAACAATAATGAAACTAAAAATATAAAGTCAATTGGACCGCATATTCCAAATTCCATTTATGTGTATTATAAACATGATAAAGGTTGTAAGGACATGTACAATATATTTATAAGTAAAAAGAAAGAGCCAGTCAACTCGCTCAAAAAATGGAAAGAAAACAGTATTTCCCTTTGTGAAGCAGACTGGAATAAAATATTTGAACTTCCTTTTAAAATGTCAAAGGAATCTAAATTTCAATGGCTACAATTTCAACTATTACATAGAATCATTCCAACTAATTATTATCTATTTAGACTTAAATTGATTGATTCTCCAGCATGTACTTTCTGCAGAAGTGATATAGAAACAATTGACCATTTATTTGTAGAATGTTTTTATGTAAAAGAACTCTGGTGTACCATTGAAGAATGGATTTTCAACAAGTTTAACATCCATTGTAGTTTTGATAGACAAGCAATACTATTTGGTAAATTTGAAAATATGAATGTTTATAAATTTCAGAATCTTTTAATACTTATTGTAAAACAATTTATCTTTGCTAGTAAATATAAGAAGGTCCCAAAAATAAATGTTGATGCTGTACTAAAGGGGATCACAGATAGAATTTTTATTGAAAAAGTTTTGTTGTTTAAAAGTTGTAGATATGAGGAATATGAAAGGCATTGGCAAAATATTTGTGATGCACTGTAATTAATACAGATATATATATTTCCTATTACCTATTTGATTCAGAAGAAAAAATTAGATTGATTATGTATCATTTTGTATTATTTGTAATATAGAATAATTGTTTTCTTTGCTGACCCCCCCCCCCTTTTTTTGTTTCTGTTTGTTTTTTCTCTCTCTCTAAACAACTTTCATAGTGTATAAAAGTAGATCTGTGTAAATATGATTAAGACAAGACAAAATATGTGTAATCGGATGTTAACTTGTACCAAATGATGAAATTTATGTTGTATATATATACCTATGAAAGTGTTATAACAATAAAAAAAAAAAAAAAAAAAAAAAAAAATTTCTCTAGAGAATCTCATGAAATGCTATCAGTGCAAAAATGTTAACAATATGTTGTTTTTATATGAAAAAAAAAAAAAAAAAAAAAAAAAAAAAAAAAAGAAGATATAATAGGACGTGCGCAATGGCACTATGTAATCAAGATTCAAGGAAAGTCTCATTAAATTTTATTCAGTAGCAAAGGAGGAGTTGCAGATAAGAAATGGGTACCCCCAAGTGTAACATGCGGACAGACGGAGTCGGGACAGACAACCCCATTACTATATATATACCCCTACTTTTCAAATTGGGAAGGGGGGGGGGTATAAAAATACAGCTTTGCACAGGCCTGAAATAGATACATGAACTGTACTTACTACTACTACTTCTCTCTCAGGAGTGCCTGGCCTTGACCCTGTCCCCGTTTTTACCCCTTCCTTTTTTGGTGTCTTTGCCTCTTTCGATGGCTGCACAAGCTTGGAAATATCCATCCGCTCTTCTGTCACCCATTCATCCAACCTTTTGTTGACTTTTAAATAGGGAAAATTTCAAAATAGGTTATTTTCATTCAGAGTTCTGGATGGAGATTTTCCAAACTGAATGGACTTTTGAAAATTTTCTTTGAAATTTTCTACATATTATTGAGCAGAAATATGGTATGCATTTTACAATTTAAAAGAACCACAAAAAATTTAAAATATTGTTAATGACTGAACACTCTAAAAATTATTTATTTGTTTTATCACTCACAATCATCATAGTGTATGTAATAGAGATTATTTATTTGTTTTATCACTCACAATCATCATAGTGTATGTAGTAGAGGTTCTTTCCATTTGTTTCTTTCTTCCCCAAAATCTCTGCCATATCTACCAAGAAAAAATAAAAACTGTGTGTCAAAAGTAAAGACCCATCTTTTCCCAAAGAATTTCTAGCTTTCCATTTCTTTCACATTGATTAATGTAATGGTGCACTTTTTGTTTAGCAGATAGGCATTAATTATTTCACCTTCTTACAAAGCAACAGTAAGTAAAATTTTTAATTTCAATCATATCATTTTAATTAAAAAAAAATGATTGTCAATATTTTGTAACATTTTCAGTACAATTTTGATATGCACATTACATGTAAAGAAAGTTTGAAAATCACTGAAAAATCACAAACATACGCCATCCGTCTCCATTTCTTAGCAGCACAGGTAATCTGCATCCTTCAACTATTTCAGCCTGAAAATAAATCCACAGAAGTACATGTATGATTTACAAAAAATTAATAAACATAATTTGGAAGAAAAATCATTTTTCCATTACCTTAAATATGTTTAAAATATATTTGAAATTCATATAAATAAAATTCAGATTCTGTAGTGAAATACTCTAAATTCTGTCATACTGATATATCAAGTTAAGATTTCTCTGTTTTTTACATTCTTATAACGTTTAAAATGAGAATATGAACAGCTACCGGGTAGTTGTATACATCTTTATATGTTACTATTTTAAAAACAAAACAGTCCAACCAGGACAGATAAAGCATTGTGTTGGTTTAATAGGAATAAGTCACTGCATGATTGTCAAATTCCCTGATACGTTTTCTCAACTATCATTGCCTTTGACATTGTTCTGCACTCAAAATGTTTAATTCATTTCACTTTATCAATAATTACCTTATTAATATACTACAATGAAAGTAAAACTAAACATAAACTTATACATACATACATAATAGTATAAAAGTCAAATCCCAACTCTAAACTACTGCTATAATAAATATCTGCAAGCTAAATCATTGCTTATTGCAAAGTCAATGCACTTGCAACAAGAAGGGAGAAGGTATGCCAACTGAGAGCTATCTGACCACTGTGAAATTATTAATAAAATATCTGCCTGTCGAGAACATTCCAGCAGCACACTCAAATGTCTTTGACTTTAAAGACACCATCCCTGTCTAACCCCTGGAAAGTTTTCAATATTAGGATGGAAGGGCACAAATGTAAGAAGAAAGGAGAAAATATAATAGATTTGACCATGATTCAAATTCAAAAGTACTTCACTGTTGTTTGAGCTAATGCTAACAAATCTGTCTACCACTTACTGACATTGTCAGCCTAGATATGACCAGGAACCTATATACCATTTATAGTATGCAGGTACACTGTATGAACAGCTTGTAAAACCATAACTGTGTGGAAGCAGAGACATAGAAACTTATTAAAAAGTTATTTCATCTCTGGTGGAAGGAGGGTATGAAAGTAAAAAGAACTTTTGGTTCTAAATAAATAACATTTTGAAATATATAACAGTATGATTCATAATTAACTAAAGGAAAATATTTAATACCAAACTCTGAACATTCAAATCAAATATTAGACTTTGTTGCTTCATATATATATATATATATATATCAAATATATAAAAGACAAATTTTAAACAGATGGAGTCTTTCGGGAATTAAACCTATATCAATGAGCTAGTCTGATAATCTTGCCAGACACAAAAACTGGGGAGATAATAAAAATTATATGGAATACACATATATTTGATTTTAACATACTGCAGTTCTATTTCACAATCAAACCGAATTATTTCTAGAACAATCTACCAAAACATCTGGAAAAAATCACGGATTCAAATAATAAACCTGAGAATCTGTTCCTTTCATATTCAGATGATGTTTCTTATCTTCTTCTTCTTTCTTTAAACACACACAGCCTTTAAATTCTTTTTTATCCAAATTAACCAGGAGTTTGTGTCGTTTCCCTCTTGTTTTCGTTTGTGCCTGTTCTTCTTGAAAAGCAAAATAGGGAGCCCGATCCCGAGAAATAATTTTCTTAAACAACCTGAGCCTGAATTGAACATAAGCATCGTTGAGTCAATAAGTTTTGTATGTATTGGGACCTTTTCTTTTTTATTTCCCTCATTTTAATGTTACCCTTAATGTTAAACCAAGTCCCGTTTATAAACAACCTATTTTGAAAGTGAAAGTAGCATGCGTCCATGACGAAAGTTGCTTGTAACTCCCTAACTCCTTCTTCTTATGGCGACAGCAACAGTGAAAGAGGAACCCCTCGAAGAGGTGGACTATGAAACAAGGTTGTAGTTCCATATTTATTGGTTGGAGAGAACACATTTATTTCTTACAGAATTCACAGAATTTGGGATTATAGACTACACAATATTGCACTAAGCATATTGTGTTGTACAGGTTGGGCATAGAGCATCAGACAGTAGTTTAACTCCCGTTTGGTTGTCAATTATCCGTATTGGAGTCTATATTATAAGCCAAATGGGAGAGGAAAATCATTTTGTTCAATTTTTAGCATCCCTGATTCTGTGGAATGACACAGGATTCAATCTAAATGTGGAATAAAATATATAACGTTAGACATTACTTGGTTCTATATAGTGAAAGAAGAAAATAGGAAATTTAAAAAGGAATTTTTTTGCACCAACTTGTTCAAATATTGACAAAATCATCGTTCATGTAAACAAGTGCAGCATGTCTGTCCTTATGTTATCTAAGATATTTTTCTCGTTTCTGAACATTGTTGCACCCATCAATCGTGTTTTCACAACTTATCTGTGCCTTTGATAGGTTTATAATGCTATGCCAGGCCTCCCCAGAGGGAGTTTCAGACAATGTGATCCAGAAGGAATTGTCTCAGTGTGACACACAGCAGAGAATGACCATTGTCAACAGGCTTCTCTCCATGGTGAGTCATAAAAACACACAGACAAACTCACGCTTGTAAACACACAACAGAGAAATCACCATTGTCAACAGGCTTCTCTCCATGGTGAGTCAAAACACACTCAGACACACACACATGCAACAGAGAATTAAATTACCATTGTCAACAGTTCAGGGGGCCTGGATTTGTCTGTATCCAGCTCAGCTGGTAGAGTATCCTTGTTGAGTTCAGGGCGCCTGGATTTGTCTGTATCCAGCTCAGCTGGTAGAGTATCCTTGTAGAGTTCAGGGTGCCTGGATTTGTCTGTATCCAGATAGCTCAGCTGGTAGAGTATCCTTGTAGAGATCAGGGCACCTGGATTTGAATCCTGGTCTGGTCCACTGCATTCTCTCTCTTATTGTTAAAGACACACAACAGAGAATGACCATTACAGGCTTTGATGTATGCAGAGTCAAAACACAACCTGAATCACTAGCTATCTTAGTGTATATAGGCATGCTGAATTTAACAAATGTGACCTACATGTACATTTATGTACATTGTCTAGTGGGTAAAATGAGTATACAGGGTGAGTCTACATCAATATTGTACATAGGAAATCTAAATCAATTGAGGAACGGTAATATGTACATTACACATTTGCAGCAAGTAGATGAGATGAACAAAGAGCTACATTCAAACTTTTGATATGTCACATTGATTGTTCCCAGCTTCTATTAAGTACATGTATAAACAACTTGTGGAATTTGATTACATATGTAGAGTTACATGTGTAGAGTTACATGTGTAGAGTTTCATGACATGGTCACCCTCCTATTCAGAACTAAACATTTGAAGAATTTAAAATACATGCATGTATCATAAGTAGTTATTAGTATGATAACATAGATTCTATTAGCAATGTCATATATTTCAGGGTAAAATAGATCTCTTAAAAAGTGGGAATAAACTGGTGTATAGATTAAAGGATCCAGACACGGCGAGGTAAGAACCAGACCAAACTTATATGAATGTGAATTAAAAAAAAAAATGCAGAAAATGAACAAGTTTTAGAATTTACTGGTTAGTGACCAGTCAAGGTGAGCTTATGTGATGGTAAAGTGTCTACCTCCTGTCTAGCTGTTTGTTTTTCTGTATGTCTATTAACAATTTCTCAAAATGCTACTTCTCCTACAGTTTTGTTCCGATTTCAATAAAACTTAGTGGTATACAAGTAGACTACACCAAGACAAAGAATTGTGTGCATTGATTTTAGTTCTTCATGGAAAGGTGTTGTCATGGTTATTAAAAATAAAAATCACTGTGACAAACAGTACACTTCTCCTCTTATGGTTTGGAACTGGTGTCCCAAAAAAAAAAATTGGTACAAAGGTATACAACACCAAGATACAAAATTTTGTTTCTAATGGTTTTTGATTTGGAGTACAGGTGTTGCCATGGGTACTAAATAAGAATAATCTGTCAAATCATCTCAAAATGCTACTCCTCCTACAGTTTTCATTCCAATATAAATAAAACTTGGTACACAAGTAGACTACATTAAGATACATGAATTAAATATATTTGTTTTTTTTGGGGTTTTTTGTTGACATGTTGCTTTGCTTAATAAATAGAAAAATATGTGGAATATTTCATAAAGCTACAAGTAGATTAAACCAACTGAAGGCTGATAAATCTCTGAATGATGTTACAAAACTAAAATAAGAATAATCTGCAAATAAAAATTCTACTTCTTTTACAGTTCTGGTTTAATTTCTTTAAAACTTGATACAAGTTTAGCTGTAAACCAACTATTGTTTGCGTCAACTTTTATTGCAATTCATCAGTTTGAATTCAATCTGCGATGATTAATTTTTGCAACTGAGGAAACATTCTCTACAAAAACAAAGCAAAATAAATGGTTGGCGGCGATTAATATTCGAGAGTTAAGGTAGGTCGCAAAACTCACGAATATTTCTCGCATGTGAATAAAAGTTGGTTTACAGTATTATTCAGTATTATTATAAGTACAGTAGAGTTACAGTCTCATTAAAGACTTCTTGTTAAGTTGCCTGAAAACACTTTAACTGAGATTTTTTGGCAGCTATCGGTAGGTAGAAATGAAACGGAGACAAAATTGAAGGTGAATGCAAATTTTTTTTCAGCCAAGTGAAGGGAGGAGACAACCAGGAGAAACTTGTGTATCAGATAATTAAAGACGCCGGCAACAAAGGTAAAGATGCCGGCAACAAAGATTGTTTTTTTTAGATCATTAAAGATGCCAGCAACCAAGGTAAAGATGCTGGCAACAAAGATAAGGATGCCGGCAACAAAGATTGTTTTATCAGATAATTAAAGACGCCGGCAACAAAGGTAAAGATGTCGACAACAAAGGTAAAGATGCCGGCAACAAAGGTAAAGATGCCGACAACAAAGGTAAGGATGCCGGCAACAAAGATTGTTTTATCAGATAATTAAAGACGCCGGCAACAAAGGTAAAGATGCCAGCAACAAACGCTGGCAACTAGGTTTGTTTTATCAGATAATTAAAGGTGCCAGCAACAAAGATAAAGATGCCGGCAACAAAGGTTTGTTTTGTTAGACTGGCAACAAAGGTAAAGATGCTGGCAACAAAGGTTTTTATCAGATCATTAAAGATGCTGGCAACAAAGGTTTGTTTTGTTAGATCATTAAGGATGCCAACAATAAAGGTTTGATTTATCAGATAATTAAGGACACTGGCAACAAAGGTAAAGATTTGTTTTTAAAATTATCAGATCATTAAGGATGCTGGCAACAAAGGTTTGTTTTGTTAAATCATTAAAGATGCCAACAACAAAGTTAAAGATGCTGGCAGTAAAGGTTTGTTTGATTAGACTCAGATTCTAGCAACAAAATGTTTGTCTGAATATTAAGTAATACATGTTTTATATTGTTCATGGAACAATTTGATGTGCACTTTTATTTCTTGGCAGGAATTTGGATAAGGGATATAAGGTTCAAATGTAATCTATTGCTTACACAAGTCAACAAGATCCTAAAGAACTTGGAAACCAAGAAACTGATCAAAGCTGTTAAATCTGTGGCAGTAAGTGAAATATTCAATTTGAAACTACTTTATTGATGATGTAGGAGCTGAATCAAAACCTGGGGGTATTGACTTAATGTTCAATAAAAAATATTTTAATATACTAATAACACCATTTTTACAAAATTAAGAGACTCTAAGATCTGAACCTGCAATTATTTACTCTCTTGATTTAAACTGCAACTTCAAAGTAGTTTCTTCCATTATGATTGAAGATAAAAATGTACATTTTTTACTGTCAGGCTTCCAAGAAAAAGGTCTACATGTTGTTTAACCTTGAACCAGATCGATCAGTGACTGGTGGGGCCTGGTACAGTGACCAAGACTTTGAATCAGAGTTTGTAGAAGTCCTGAACCAACAGTGCTTTAAATATCTGGAGCAAAGGGTAATCTTAATCTTAATCTCCCTCCATCCTGGGTTTACTAATGGTCTATTTATTTTTAATTCAATACACAGCATTGAAGCTTACTACAATTATGTTCCCCCGACATATGTGGGGACATTACTTATATTATATAAAAATTATACAAAAATTGTTATAACCCCGCTCCAAAGGAGAGGGGGTATACTGTTTTACCCTTGTGTGTCTGTCTGTCTGTCTGTGTGTGTCTTTCTGTCCGTAAAAAATTTTCATAGCAGTTTTCTCAGCAACTACTCAAGGCAGATGCTTGAAATTTTAGCACACATTTTGCTTAGGCATGCCATATGGTGGGATACATTTTTGTATGAATTCGATGTCAACTTCCTGTTTAACCCTGCGTCTGTCCATACCAAATTTCTGTTGCACTTTTCTCAGCAACTACTCAAGGCAGATGCTTGAAATTTTAGCACACGCTTTGTTTCGGCATGCCATTTGGTGGGATTTATTTTTTACGAATCAGATGTCAACTTCCTGTTTATCCATGCATCTGTCCATACCAAATTCCTGTTGCAACTGAACTTGTGTATATTCATATGAGAGCGTATATTTTCATCAGAGCGGGGATATCACTAGTGAGCATTGGCTCACAGACCTCTTGTTTCTCCATGAAATTTCACATAAGTACTAGTCTGAAATATGTGACATTCTGCAGGCCTTTTCATGAATTGGATATGCCAAATATCCAACTCATAAAAAAACCCCTGGAGAATGTCAAAGATTTTGGACTAATAAACTACTCAGTTGTTTGAAAAGAAATATTTTTGAAGTACTTGTAAGTATTTAGTACATATACTAGTATTATCTTTAAGATATGGAAAAATGTTGATTGTTTTTTACAAATACGGTTTTACATGGCAAGTTTTTTATTTTTAGGCTGCCACTGCCAGAGAATCTAAATCAGACCCTATTGCTCAGAGGAATGCTTCATTCACACCACTAGAAGATGTCTGGAAATATATATCTGAGCTTGGTATCAGCAAGGTATGTAGGACAGAGATCATCCTCAGGATGAATAACTCTGACAAGTCCTCTGACATAAGTCTACAAAGAGTTGTCTCTCATAGTGCAGAAGATACAAAATTCTAGCATCTACACTGTAATGAAAATAAATGTTCTATTGATAACAAGGCTATTGATATAGTGGTCCTGCATCAGTGGATTCTTTCTTTACTTTTAATTCATCTGCAGACAGTGATAGATAAATGTCAATGGGGGATTTTGCTTGTAACTTAGATACACAATGATACATGCATTACCACCTATTACCACAGGTGCAGTTATCTAAAGAGGATATAGAAACTATACTGAACACCTTGATATTTGATGGTAAAGTAGAACGTTCCCTTGTCGCTGGTCAATCTACAGCCAGTGATGATGGCTACGTTAAGCTGTACCGGTCCGTTAAACCACTCATTCCCACCACTGGACTCATGAGGATGCCCTGTGGAGCCTGCCCTGTAAGTTGTGAACACATAAGGTTTCTCTTAATTGTTACTGTGTACAAAAGTGTAGCAATTGTTGTTTTATATTTTTTTCGTGTTTTCAGGTATTCAGCGAGTGTTACGAAGGTGGAGCTGTTTCTCCCACTACCTGTGTTTACATGAAAGAATGGTTAGAGATTTAGCAACTCTTATTGTTTGTATTTTATAATAAACTTCATTGATACCAGAGGACTTGTGATATTTTTACTATGATGATTGATCATTGTAATTAGCTTTATGTCAGGGTAAATTTTAATCAGATACTGGTATTTAGGAAACATAGCTATAGATGAAGTGCTCAGGCCCTGTTTTACAAAAGAACTTATGACAAAGACCAAAACTCCAGCTGATAGTAAAATCTTGCAAAATCAATGATTCTGTTAAAAATTGCTTGCATAAAAATATCTCTCTAAATTATTTCGAAGACAAAAATTCAAATAATATTTTATTGAATGTAAAAAAGAATTTTATTTGCAAAATTAAATTCAGGTCTTAGTTGTAATTAGTTCTTTTGTAAACCAGACCCTGATCTACAGCAAGTGAAAATGATGGCATTTGAGGGAAAAACTGTATGTGCACTGAGAGTAGAATCAAATAATGAATATTCTAAACTAAAAAAAAATATACATCTTCTAAATTGATAAAAACATAACTGTGGTAAATATAGTTGGGAAATTCATTATCTCTTTTCACCTCAGTATGTGGTGTTTCAGTGAATACTAGATAGGATACAAGTGTCATATTGGGTTCAAGTAAATGTGGAGTTGGGCCTCATTTCATAGGGCCTTGCTTTTATTGAATGAAACAGTGATTTTCAAAGCTTCAATTCATAGTTGTTTTAACTTTTTAAATTTTTTTTTAATTTTTTTTTATTTGGGGAAATTTTGGACAATTGATAATTTAGGAACAGTTTTAATTAGGTCAAATTTTTTAAGTGTGAAATAGACTTGACAAGTACTTTACAGAATAATTTACTAGTAACTCGAATTGCTTTTAAACTCGCTGCTCACACTCTGGTATCAAGAAACCTATTATTAAAGAAGCACATGCTTCCATTTTTCCAAACTTACAGCCCAAAATTCAGATTTATCCCAGTTACCTTGACTTGGCTGAAAATTAAAACACATAATTCTCCCCTTCAAAGCTTTGTATCAAGTATGAGCTTTCACCTAATTTTGAGGTCATATTCAAAAGTTAAAACGATCGAATAAAACAAGTCAAGAAATGAAAAATCATTAGAATTTATTGCTTTCTTTATAATTGCACTCTTGAGTAACATTCTATAACAAAGATAATAGATTATACATGTACATGTATTACTAGTACCTTGTGAGCAATCAATAACATACATGAATATCTTTGGTTTCAAATCAGCACAAAAATTGCAAAAAATGGTCCTATAGATATTTAAGGAATGGTTATTTTAGCTTCATGAGTGTTGTTCGTGTATAAATCACAGACTTGTCATAATGCACGCTAGTGCTTCATGAAAAATATGCCTATGTGTAAGTCTGTGGTGGTTTACACACCAATAACTTTCACCATCTGAAAAACATTCTTTACATTTTAAACCAAACCAACAAAAATACACTCAACATGTGATGTTTTTGCTGCCCTATATCGCTGCATTTTTTTTTTTTTTTTTTTTTTTTTACATTTTCATTGTGTCATGATGTGAATTGTCACAATATTGCATATTTCTTATATTTCTACACATGACTGTACACCAAAATGGCATTTAAAGCAATTTCACAGTTGGCTTAGTAAAAAAAATACAGCAAGTGTAAAATTTACACTTGCTGTATTTTTTTTTTACTAATATATATTTTTTATTAATATATGAGTTTACTGACTAACACCGTTTGTCCCATTTCAAACATCAATATAAAATAGAGACTTACTACTTTGATTTTCCAGCTATTCTGGCAACAAAGTTTCATCCAGGTATTTGAAAACAGGCTTTGTAAAGTTGCATTGTTCTTGGACTTTGCAGAAATGTATATTTTGAGTACATTTAGCAAAGAATTAATTAAAATACGAGTACACCCCTCAACCCAAAAAGAGCACATTTTATAATTTTCAGAAACAGTTCAACATTATATAATTGTAATTGAACATTTTGGATTAGGGGTTGTGCTCTATACAAAATCTTGAAAAACTGTGAGCTTTAACTTTTGAACATTTTTGAAGAAATTTCAGGATATAGGAATATAGCAATTCATGACATGATAATGCATTGACTAGCAAGAAACTAAGAGTCATTTTCGGTAGACATTCAGTCAAACGGACAAGACGGAGAAAAATTATTGGTACTTGTTGAATTAATTAATCTTTAGAACTATACACTTACCTGGTAGTAATCAATGGCTGAAATTATCTTATTGCTTAAAGATATCAGGTAAGAGTTAAGGATGTCTTCTCATTTCATCCCTCAAAATAAACATATTATTTTCTGCCCACTAACCCCCTACTTTCTATTCATATTTGAATTATTTGTAATTTGATGGTTTTCTCACAAAGCTAAAAAAAAAATTTAAATCTAGGTCATATGTTTCTCGAGAATTAAATTTTTTTTTGCATCTATAAAAAATCCCAAGAAGACTTATTTCCCAACATAGTACATGTATCACTAACACTTACATATTTTAAAAGATTTTGTTTCAAATAATGATTACCGGTACATCAAATTTAAATGTCATAAATGAAAACTTTAATTTATTTGAGCAGAATATATCCTTAAATATAAAGAAATCAGGTAATGATAAGCTGCCTGCTGGTAGGAGCTACCAATTTTTCTCCATTACAAAGTTATGGGCTGCCCTGACAAGAAAGGGACACTTATACGACAAGTCATTTGATTCCTATAAACACCTTGTTAAACTTCGTTTATGGGGTCATAAATATAGATTAAAAATGCCATTCAGTACATCCCTTTATATGTAATGGATGATAAATGAAAATATTATATAGCGGTAATATTGGGTATACACAAATTTAAGTAAAAAATATATACATTTTTTAAAAATCTAAAACTATTTCAACACATTCCTACTTGGTAAATTAGCTGTACATAAATTCCATCAAATGTGCCTGCAAATGATAATCATTGCTGATGTTTTTTCTCCCCAAATAATTTCATAAGTTCTATGTGTGTCATTAGAGTCATTCCATTAACCGGGAATGCCCTTAAACTGGTCATTGAGAGTCCTCGGAAAAATATCTTTATTCCATTGGACTTGTAACTCTTGACAACACAATCTAGGAAGCCAGAGTATAACTTCCTGTCACTGTCCGCCTGAATACGACTCTTCATGACATCAAATGGCATAATCAAAGCCCAACTCACGACACCTGCTACTCCACCGTAGACAAAACTCTGTAGCGTAGAGGAGATGGCGGGGAATGACTTGACTCCATGGTAAATTAGGAATTCATACACAAGGAAGTATGTGACAGAGGCAGGAATATCTCGTAACGCCTGGGTTGGAAGCCCACGGTACATTCCTAAGAATCCCCTGCTGCGGAGGATGTCTCGTGTTCCCTCTATTGGGCCTTGATAGTACTTTCCCGGAGAACCTACAGAAAAATAAAACAGTACACTGACTAATTTAATATACCGGTAGATATCAGTGATGTATCTAATTTACCTCGGTAACAACAGTAACGCTGAGTTATTAAAATGCCTTATATTAGTTGGAGTTCAAACAAAAGTTCCAATGATTTATCTCTAAATGTAGGTTGATAATTTTATTTATTTAATAAATATTAACTTTTTTATTAAAATTTAGTTTTAAATATTTACATCAATAAAGTCAGTACATGTATAATGCTTTTGTAGCAAGCAGTATAATTTATGTATTTGTGATCAACGAAATTCATGACATACATGTAATTGTGTCATGTCACATTATATATACAGGCAAGAATTAAAATGTCTAAATAGTCTCTAAGTGAAGTGTGAAGCTTCACCCCCTAGTTTTTATTGATACATGTATATGTTGGTGGGAGATGGACCAACATAACCTTGATCCTCCTCATGAAATAAGAGAGTTAACATCTCTGTTACAAGCTCCACCTACCAGAGGTTCCGTGAGGTATCTGGGACTGTAGGACAACCTTGATCACGTCTATGGGGACTGCAGGAATCAGCTGACAGAGGCCCCCCAGACTCCCTGCCAGGCAGATTTTAGCGTAATCTGGGGGAGTCTTTCCTGATATGTCTGCATTCAGTAGCTTCATTGTACTCCCATACACACCAAAGAACACAGAGTTGATGATTCCATAGGACAGCATTGGCCATGACAATCCTCGGAAAAATCCCTTGGCCTGTAAACAGCAGGAGTCACATGTTCAGGAATATATTTCATACTTAGAAAACAAAATCATGATATTAAGGAGGTTCGATCCTGAGCTTTTGAGCAGATTTTGGTCAGGACCTTTATTTTTAAATTTCTGCATCATTTTTATGTTCTAACATTGAATCTGGATTCTACAAAACAAATTAAACTATATCCAATGAAAAAAACGCAAATTCCATTAAATAGGATTAAGCTAGGAACTATATTTTGTGGCGGAAGGTTTTTTTAGAAGAAAATGATCAATTTTTCCCTTTTGAAATATATACAGTACTGTTAAGTTTAGATTACTATTTTTCCATGCTGGTTGCACATAGAGCTGTTTTTTGCAGTGAAATGTTTTATGCTGGCTCTGAAATATCTAATAAATTATTTCTTATGAATTCTTTCATTATATTGTGACAAATATAGTAAATATATTCTGAAAGTCCAGGAAAAAATTGAGCCAATTTTAACATAAAATGAACACTTTTTTAGTAATATCTAAAAATTTAGATCATAGACCCCCACTTTTGTTTTTCTTTTCTGAATATATAAGATAACTTTGATCAATCTGCTTAAATTCAGCAAAAGTTTAAGACTTTAAAATAATTTTCTTGCTTTTTAAATTTTTAATGCCAGAAAAATCACATTTTGTGAGTGCAGAAAGGTCAAATAATTCATTATGCGAAGCAATTTGAAACTTTTTCTTCGTCACAATTTTAATGCGTCTTTTTTAAAATAGACTAATAGTTCATTTTGTCCCATGATTTATTTGGATAAAAACTTTGGAGGGAAAACGTCGAAGATGTGATTTTTGATTAAGACACAAATATCAGTTCAAAAAGGTCAAATTAAATGTATTGTAGCGCCGAAAGAAGCATATTGACCCCCATTTTTTGTTTTGATTTTTAATTAAGCTATGTGTGTAGAAACTAAAAATATACTTGACAAAAAAAGTTTAAGACTTTAAATATCAGGATCCAACCTCGTTAAATTACTAAACAGAGGAATAATAAGAACACTGATTTAAGAATCATATTTTACAGTAGGAGGGCAAAAGGTGATTTGTTGGACCTAAGGCCAAATTTTTTGAAGAAACAGAAAATTGTGAAGAAAAAATGAACTAAATTTTCTTTGAAAAATGTGAATATATTAAATAGAGGCACAATCAAATCTGTATAAAGTTAGTACTTAGTGGATTTCTGTGAGATCCTTACCAAATTTTGGCTCTTTACTGCACTGTAACATTCTCTTAAGGATACTGTCTCCAAGCTTGCTTGTCGTATTTGGAGTTGAACCTGCAAAAACAAAGAAATTTAGCCACTCCAAATTTTATAAAACAAGAGGCCCATGGGCCACATCGCTCACCTGAGCACATTGGCTAGACACAAATCAGTTCAGTATTGAAAAGATTACCTGGGATTGGGGGGGGGGGGGGTGAATTTTAAACTACCTGATGATGCTTCCATGTCAATATAACAAATGGCTTTGTTGTACTTGAGAAGATTTTAAAAATTTTTTCCCATATATTCCTTTGTAAAATTTTGATCCCCCATTGTGGCTCCTCCCTATCCCAGAGGTCATCATTTGAACAAACTTGAATCTACACTACCGGAGGATGCTTCCATATCAATATGACTAAACATAGCTTTTCTGTTCTTGAGAAGAAATATTTTTTCTATGTGTTCTTATGTAAAACTTTCGATCCCCATTGGGCCCCACCCTACCCCCGGGGGTTATCATTTGAAAAAAAAAAATTGAATTTACACTACCTGAGGATGCTTCAATATCAAAATGACTAAAGATGATTTTCATTTCTTGAGAAGAAGATATTTTCCAATATGTTCCTATGTAAAAAATTTTTGATCCCACATTGTGGCCCATCCCTATCCCCGGGGTCATCATTTTAACAAACTTGAATCTACACTACCTGAGGATGCTTCCATATCAAAATGACAAATCATGGCTTTGCAGTTCTTCATCAGAAGATACCTTCCTATATATTTCTATTTCAGGCATTGATCCTCCATTGTGGCCCCGCCCTACCCCAGGGGATCATGATTTGAACAAATTTAAATCTACACTACCTGAAGATACTTCCACATAAATATAATCAATCAGGGCTTTGCTGTTCCTGAGAAGAAGATTTTTAAAGATTTTTCCTATATATTTCTATGTAAAACTTTGATCCTCCATTGTGACCCCGCCCTACCCCCAGGGGTCATGATTTAAACAAACTTGAATCTACACTACCTGAGGATGCTTCCATATAAATATGACCATTTAGGGCTTTGCTGTTCTTGAGAAGAAGATTTTTAAAGATTTTTCCTATATATTTCTATGTAAAACTTTGATCCTCCATTGTGGCCCCGCCCTACCCCCGGGGGTCATGATTTGGACAAACTTGAATCTACACTACCTGAGGATGCTTCCATATAAATATGACTCATCATGGCTTTGCTGTTCTTGAGAAGAAGATTTTTAAAGGTTTTTCGTATATATTTCTATGTAAAACTTTGATCCTCCATTGTGGCCCCGCCCTACCCCCTGGGGTCATGATTTGAACAAACTTGAATCTACACTACCTGAGGATGCTTCCACATGAGTTTCAATTTCCCTGGCTTTGTGGTTCTTGAGAAGAAGATTTTTAAAGGATGCTATTAATTTTTCACTAATTCTTTATTATCTCCCCTTGAAAGAGGGCGTGGACCTTCATTTGAACAAATTTGAATCCCCTTCACCCAAGGATACTTTGTGGCAAGTTTGGTTGAAATTGGCCCAGTGGTTCTTGAGAAGAAGTTGAAAATGTGAAAAGTTTACAGACGGATGGACAGACAGACGGACTACAGACAAAATGTGATCAGAAAAGCTCACTTGAGCCTTCGGCTCAGGTGAGCTAAAAAATTGTTAGTGCCAATGCATGCTCCATTAAGGTGATCGTTCCTTGTTAAATCTCATCATTTATTTCATAACCCTGGTATTTATTACGTTAGATTACAATATCATTGATGTGTAGTCATTTCCGTTAATATAGAGTAAAGGCTGTACCATGTACTGGCAAATTCTACTACTGTACATGACAGGTGTACAATATTTTTAATTCCTTTCCAAAAACAATTATGTTAAAGAATATGAAATATTTAGTATGATGAAGATTTAAAAATGAAGTCAAACCTTGACCGTATCAAAGGGATGTCCCACAACCACACCTACGGAACCTGTAGGAGGGAAGACCTACTGTAACTATCCACGATATAAAAGTCAGACCTATACTGCTTATCACTCAGGACGATTCATTTCTTTAAAAATATGACTGGTTTTGAATTTTATATCTTTAAAATAGTGTTTGTAAATGAGTGAAAATTTTTCTAAGGATGCAAATCATAAGATGTTGGCTTTAAGTTGAACCATGAATGGTTAGGAGAAGCAGCATTACAGATACACATTTCGTAAATTTTATTACAAGACCTTGCTTTATATATTCCATTTTAAAATCTTTAATTCTATAAATGTTATATTACATTTTTACCACTATTTTTATCATAAATTTATGAAAGAAAAAAAAAAGTTGCCATTATTTACCTGCTATAGCACCAGCCGCATAATCATATAACGGAGATACATGCTCATTCTCCATTTCATCTGAAATAATATGCACAAATTCTTTTCTAAAGAAGTTTATTTACATGAATCATATATATCTGCTTTGAACTTTTAGGTCCAACTACATACCATGGTCAATACTGCATTTTATTTCAGAAGACAAAACATTTACTGCAGACATAAGTAATTGTAATCAATTGAATGGATTACTTGAAAGTGAAATGCCATACTAGAATTCTGATTATCATACTTTTATTAATCAATTACACTCCAAAACTATACTAATTACTATATTACTTCTTCTATTACTTTCAATTCTGATACATATTTTTCAGTCAGAACTAGTTTAAATGAATAGCTATATAAATAAATGTAGATTTTCAAATTTTTTCACAGCAAACAAAGTTTAACATACTCTGTGACGTTAACACTCCAGTTCCTCAAATCTACCAGTATAATCCCCGATATCCATTGTTACTTCATGAATATGAATCCACTACAATAAAACCATTTTTTTTCTAAAATTAATAGCATAAATGGATATGACAGTAAGCAATAGCTGAATAAGTTATAATCTTTAAATGAATGATTTATGAAGAAAGAAACATACATAAACTTTTAATCTAGTAAGTAAATGTGCTTAGCTTGCTTTACTATATATTTATAATGATGGCAATAAACTACGGGTAATCTAATGTTCCCATAATCCCCCCCCCCCCCCCTTCCAAAGGAAGAAGCTGGAAAAACAAAAAACCATGTAACCCATGCTCGATCAAATCTTCTCCAAGATTTGCCAACTTTTGATCATCAACCTCTTTAATATTGCTTTGTTTGCTCCCAATTAGAATTTACTTTTAAAACCTAACAAATCATACACCTACATGTATGCTAGAATTAATACCAACTTAAAATACAAAACTAATAGCGAGCAAAGCGCCGCTCGTCACTGCAAGCTCTTAACGCAACGCCTGGGCGAAGAGAAAATTTGGACTTTGCTCATTGATCCAAATGAATTTTTTTCCGCAGTTACCTCTGGTCACACAATGCTTAGTGAATTGCATCTCGTTGCAAATTACGTTCTCGCGGTAGCAACAAAAATTCAACAAAAAATAAAATCACTTTGATTTAATGGATATATAGCAGATAAATACTAGATTAAACGTTCTTGATTAAAATTAGCACTGACCAGACTCTGTTTTGGTAATGCAACATACATACGACGTCATATGACATCAGAGTCTAGACGAAGCAAATGTCACGTGCGGTTTGACGAGCCCGATCTAAATTAAACCTGAAAGGTATCTGCGCTCGCCCTAACGGTCGCACCGTCAACATATTAAAGATTAATTCTAAGACTAATGTTGGGACACATGTTAAGCAAATACACCTGTTTATGGCAGAGTTTCAAATTGTTATATATGTCCCTGGGATTACAAAATCATCTCTAGAAAATAGCTGAGATAACTATGAAAATACAACTGACATAAATACAAGGGTACATGTATTGTTAAAAAAAAAATCCACATAAAATTCTTCAATTTGTTTTTCCCGCAAAAAGTCACATACTTTCTATTGACAAAACAGTGGCGACCTCTATAATACCGAAAATGCCCGGATGTTGTTGTCAAAAATGAGTATATATGTCAAAATTTTAACAACTTTTATCGTTGAAATGGAAGCATGGATTGCATAGATACTTATCAATACCAAAAAAGTAATTACTGATTAACATTTATTACAGCGTGTAAATCTTTCTGTGGTCAGATTCTTGGATAAAACTGCCAAGAAATTTCAACAGGTACCATATCCCAAATCATGTGTTTCCGCCATACACAACGATGAACGCATGCGCTCGCATTGAATTATGGTACAAAATCAGCACGCCCACGTGATTTTTGACCAATCATTACAAAGAATTTTTTGATGACAAGTTGTTGTTGAGCCATGGTTGATGTACGTTTCGCCGAAAGTGGAAACCTTGTGGGACTTGTTTACTGATGATTCTGGAATAATAAAGGACGAACTGCGGTGATATATTGAAGATTTGAAGGCTATATAGCCAGGATTAACATCCATATTAAAAGCAATGGTAACACATCTTATTTGTTTTGTACAAGACGGTTTTTCTTTGGGCGCGATGCCCAAACTTAGAGTCCTAACCATCACTATACTTTCAATTCATTTACACTTCCTTTTTCTGTGTACATTTTACTACAAATATCAACGTTTTCTTTCTAGTATCTTTAAGGGTGCTCTGTTTAGTAAATGTTCATCCTAAACAAGCTTGATAATCTTCAGAGGTTTCGGAAAAGTGTAGGTACAATACTATAGAAGTTGAGAACGGCAGTCCGAACTCCATCCTCGGTCCTTAAAAATGTTTTATGTTCGGTTTGGTTGCGATAAAATTTTAAGTTGTGCGTTTTATCACGATATAAGTAGAATTTATGTTTTAGTGTGAGTGATAGTATTGAGTCCACAACAGTAGTATGAATTTGAAACAAAATGAAAATGGCAGCCATATTTAAATTGTCATATACTCAATCAAGAACTTCATATTTATCAAAGAATTTTTACCTAGCAACATAAGAAATTGTATCTACCAAGCAGATTCATTCATTTATTGCCATTCATATGGGAGAGGCAGAATTTTTACTAGATAGGGATATTTAAAAGAGTGTGAAGAAAAAAAGAGTTGTTTTTGTCCTAATTCAAGGATTTCTCATATATCCACTTTTATTCTTTTTTAGGCAGGAGATGATCCTCCATTCTTACCTGTTGGCACGGAAGTTAGCGCCAAATACAGAGGAGCTTTTTGTGAGGCTAAGGTGAAGAAGATTGTACGATCAGTGAAATGCAAGGTAAGTTGTCCAGTCAAAGATTCTTCATTTGTGTATCTTTGAATACCACGGGTGTAGTTTGATTGTTCTAGACACAGATTTCTTAATTTTACAGATTTATCTCAAAGAGACATTGACTTCCATTGTTGTGACGGATGACACAATTACTAAAGGGTCATTAAAAGTAAGAAGTATTGGAGAAAAGCAATATTGTTGCAAAATTGTAAAATATCAGCTAACCTTTTTTTATGACCAACTTCAATGATGTTTCATTATTCTTTCAAAACTTTTAGGTTGGTGCCACTGTGGAGTACAAGAACCCAGACACTGGACAGCTTCTGGAGGCTACGATCAGTAAATTAACGGACTGTAGCATGTATACAGTAGGTGAGTGTTGACAAAAAAAAAAAATGAAAGTCATTAATCATGTGTTAAAAAACTTATTTCTGTAGACTTTTATAGCAAGAAATGAGATGCAAAGGCTGTTTTATTTTGTATTTGCAGTTTTTGATGACGGTGATGAGAAAACCCTCAGAAGAACTCAGTGTTGTCTAAAAGGAGAAAAACACTTCATTGAAAGCGAGGTAAGGAAGTCATGTTTTAAAAGTCCATTTCCTATTCCTGAGTTGTGGAAATTAGAAGAGAAATACTGAATGATAATATTAAAATATAACTGTATTTTTGTTGTTGCAGACTCTTGACAATCTTCCCTTGTCACACCCAGAACACTTTGGAACACCAGTGATGAGTAGCAAGAGAAAGGGACGAAGTGGACGACAAACTTTTGGGTAAAATGCAGTACTGCTTTTCTGAAGATTTAGAGAACAAACATACAGTTTTACTCTGTTCTTTTTTTTTATTATTAGATGTAAAGGTACTGGTGTGCTTAGAACAAATGGACCAGAACTTTGGTTAGTTCTTGAGTAAGGGTTAGGGTTTAGAACTAAGGGTATGGGGTGGAGCTGGTCCTTGGGGTCAGGATTCTTGGAACTTAATGACTTTCCCCTCCTTTTATAGATTCTTTTTAGATTTTGTAAATATTAATATTATCATTTAAAACTGTATTTAAAACCTAGATTTTAAGTTTGATGATATCTATTATATCTCATTGCAGGAATGAGGAGGAGGACTCAGAGGAAGAAAGCACAGATGAAAGCCTCCCAAGGAGAGCAACATACAAGGGGCGTAACCAGGAACTTGTGGGGAAGGTTTTCCTGGCGGAGATCGGGGAGAAGAAAAAACAAGTGTTACCTGTTCTAGTGGTCTTACCTGATGCTCATGCCACTGAACTAAAAACCAAGGATCACCTCCTTGTCAAGTCATTCAAAGATGGCAAATTGTAAGTTGATGCAATTTCCTTTACGTGGTTAAGGAAAGCTGTTAGAAAATACTGATAATTTTTGGGAGTTAAAAGTGAGTTCAAAGTTAAAAGCTCTGGAGAAAAAAACAATTACTTGGTCATTATGTAGAGTACTGTACCATTAAATTACAGTACACTATTTTATACTGTTCTGTTTATTTATTTCAGTCACACTTACCTAAGGAAAGAATTAAAAGACTTCAGCAAGGAGGCAATTGCCAAGATTGAGGACAAGAATGCAAAGCAAGGTATATTTAATTAAAAAATTTATAAATCCTTACCATTTTGAATAATAAACAGCTAAGAGTATTGTTGAATAAAAACCTGTTTAATTTCAGCTTTGGAGAGAGCTGTTACTTTCTCAGAAAACCAGGAACTGCCCAGTAATTGGGAGAGGGAGGAGTTACTTGGGACAGACGAGGAAGATTTCTCAGACGAGGAAGAGGTGGGTAAATTGTGAGAATAAGAAGAGAATTATTGATTTTTATATGGCATTGTGAGTTCGTTGGATACTTTGATTATGCTTTAAATGCATGGCTGTAGTATTGAATTATAAACTTTGGTAACTTGGACTTTTGGGAGGTTAACAGTGTTACTGCAGTGACATATTCTTCAATAAAAAATGCTTCTTTTTGGCAAAGTGTGAGTTGTGTTCCAGCAGCTCTTTCTCTTTCAGGAGTTCTAAAGCTCACTCAGACCTAAATCTTAATGACTTTTATTTTAAGTTAAATGATCACACTGAGCACAGCAGTAATTCTTAATTTCTTACTCAGGTTTAAAATTAAATGCTCATTCTGTTGATACTGACTTTGTGTTCCATTGCTTATTGAGATCACACCTTTTGATACTGACTTTGTGTTCCATTGCTTATTGAGAATTTGAGATCTCACCTTTTGATACTGACTTTGTGTTCCATTGCTTATTGAGATCTCACCTTTTGATACTGACTTTGTGTTCCATTGCTTATTGAGATCTCACCTTTTGATACTGACTTTGTGTTCCATTGCTTATTGAGATCTCACCTTTTGATACTGACTTTGTGTTCCATTGCTTATTGAGATCTCACCTTTTGATACTGACTTTGTGTTCCATTGCTTATTGAGATCACACCTTTTGATACTGACTTTGTGTTCCATTGCTTATTGAGCTCTCACCTTTTGATACTGACTTTGTGTTCCATTCCTTATTGAGATCACACCTTTTGATACTGACTTTGTGTTCCATTGCTTATTGAGATCTCACCCTTTGATACTGACTTTGTGTTCCATTGCTTATTGAGATCTCACCTTTTGATACTGATCTTGTCTTCCATTGTTTATTGAGATCTCACCTGTTGATACTGATCTTGTCTTCCATTGTTTATTGAGATCTCACCTGTTGATACTGATGTTGTGTTCCATTGTTTACCAAGATCTCACCTGTTGATACTGACTTTGTGTTCCTTGCTTATTGAGATCTCACCTGTTGATACTGATGTTGTGTTCCATTGTTTACCGAGATCTCACCTGTTGATACTGATCTTGTCTTCCATTGTTTATTGAAATCTCACCTTTTGATACTGATGATGTATTCCATTGCTGATTGAGATCTCACGTGTTGATACTGATCTTGTGTTGAGTTTCAGTAATTCAATCAGAGATTCAGTCTTTATCTCATGTTGAGATTACTTACTCTGATCTCACCTGTTGAGTTTCAATCCTTATCTCAATCAGAGTGTCAGTGTTGATATTCTGTTTCATTCTGTTGATAATTTGTTTCATTGCTAACTCTTGGTTTTGCTTTGCAGGGATCTGATGATGAACCCAGTGAGGAAAAGGATCGATTTGTGGCTCAGCTTTACAAATTCATGGATGACAGAGGTAAGGGAAAAAAGTCCTCTTATTTTATCTCGGATGACTAAGTGCTCAAAACCAATAAGTAAGCTTTATCACTTAATAGACTTTCACATGAAGTTCTGGAGAATATACACTAATGATAGATAATTTATTTTTGTAGGAACATCAATAAATAGAATGCCAACGCTTGGAAACAAGGACCTGAATCTTTATCGTCTATTCAACATTGTGCAAACTCTGGGTGGATACAATAAGGTAGGTTAATATCAGAGAAAAGCCATGATAAAAAAGTAAATGTATGATCTTATTTAATGAAGAGAAATTATCGTATTTTCTTGTTTGCATTTAAGGTTACAAATCTAAATAAATGGAAAGCTGTTGCTGGCAGAATGAAAACGGGATTACCATCACAAAACATGGTGTCTCATCAGCTAAAAACAGCCTACAAAAAGTAAGTCCTTCATATGGTGTATCATCAGCTAAAAATAGCCTACAAAATGTAACTATTGGAGATAAAGATTTCTTATAGAACATAGGAAAAACATGACATAACAAAAGATATCTTTGTTGTCCTGCAGTGTAACATTGGTTTGATTTTAGGTATCTACATGCATTTGAGGACTTCTATCGAAAGTTGGGCAGCACCATGGGTACAATCAGTAGGCCTGGTCGGAGTCGTAATAACTCTGGGAGAGGAATGGGGGTCTACAAAGGGCATGTCAAAGAGCAAAAGGTCAGAAATTCTTAGCAATTAAGAATAATCAATTAATAACCTTTTTTCAATTGAAAAATAACCATCTTTTGCATGAAAAATATCATTGCATTTATTTAGACCAAACAGTTCTTATGGTTTACTACTTAAATTTTATTAATAAATAAATGTTTGAAATGTTTTAGGAAATAACTGCAGAGAGGGAAGATTCAAAGAGTGATGGTGAATCAGACATGGAGGATTTGGACTTGAGATCAACCAGATCTCCATCAAAACGTGAGAGAATTACAAGACGAGATCTAGATTCTGTTGTGAGAGAAAACAGAGAGAGGAGGGATGGGAGCAAGGATTCAAGGCGGAGTGACACATTTAAACAGGAGGAGGACGGGAAAAAGTCTGTGACAATCAAAGAGGAGGGGAAAAAGATGAAGTCCACAAAAAAACAGGAGGAGAAAAAAGAGAGTGATGAGGAGGAAACAGAGGCAGGGAAGCAGGAGGAAAAGAAAAAGGTGGACAAAAAATTATGACCTGTCTTGCAATGCATCAAACATGTATCTGTAACTAGCTGTAAACTTTGAAATGATGGCTTCAACTATGTTTAAATACAAATTGTAAATCATTATTTTTTTACAGACCATCAGGAGAAGATCTGCAAGAAAGGAAGATATGAAGAAGGATGAAGAAGAGGAAGTAGAAGAAAAGAAAATGGATCTCAAGTCAAAGTCCAAGGTCACAGCAGGGAAAGAACCAGAGGTCAAACCAGGGTAAATAAAGCAAGGAATTTTGGCTTACCGTATATACTCGCCTATAAGTCGTTTTTTTTGGGAGTTGTATTTTGGGTCAAAACTCTTTGTCCGGCTTCTAGGCGAGTTATAAAATGACTGGTATTTTAGAGGGTCTATCCCTCTAATAAAAGCTTAAAAAATACATCCGACTTATAGGCGGACAGACTTATAGGCGAGTATATACGGTAATATTTCATTATCTACAAAATGTACATGTATCGTAAATGGTATGCTGGAAGACTGTGACATACTCATATTTTTTCAACAGATTGAAGAAACAGGAAGAGGCAAAAGAGGCTAAAATTGATAAAAAAGATGAAAAGAAAGTGGATAGTAAAAAAGAAAAAGCTAAGATTAATAAAAAAGAAGTAAAGAAAGAAGTTGAGGAGGAAAATAAAGATTTGGACAAAGTGGAGAAAAAAACAAAGAAGGAAGGAGGGAAGAAGACCAAAAATGAAGAGGAGACAACACCAGGGAAGAAGAAGGTCAAAGAGGAGACTGAAGAGGACATGTAAGTAAAAATGTTTAAAAGTCATGTTTTAAAATGTACTAATCTTGAATTATCTTAACAGTGATCAGAGGAAAAGTATTAAATTTAACATATTTGTGCGAGCACAATACGTTTATAAACTGTAGCATTGTTTGGTCTTTTCCAGGGATACTTCAGAAGACTTCAAACCTGTTACAGCCAGTGAATATCCACTGGGCACAAAGCTTCAAGTCAGATACGGGAAAGGGAAAACAGAAAAAGTCTATGATGCAAAGGTTTGTATTGTACTGGGATCTGAACTGGTATTTAGATTATTGTGATTGAATTTCATAAGATACATGTGTGAGGTGTTAAGTAAATAGTGTATCTTATTTCAGTTTATTGCAGTTTTTATTCTCTCTATATGTATATGTATATGTTTCTTGTAGATTATTGAAATGCAGAGAACAAATAATGGACTCCAGTATCTTGTACATTATGCAGGTTGGAACATGAGGTAAAATGACGTCTTTTAAATATATACATGAATATACAGTGTATATTGCTTTTATTTTGATGCATCCATGAAAATAAAGACCGCTTTATGATAATTGTTAAACGTTAGTTATCAGATGTTTCATGTTTATTAGGTATGATGAATGGATCCGACCAGACCAGGTTGTGAATGTTCTGAACAAACCTACGGATATTTCTGCTTTAAAGAAGAAAGCCAAAGAATCTCCTCCTAAATCTCCCAAAGGTCAAGTAAGTACAGTTGTCATCGTACTGAGTGATGAATGTACTCACTGAGTGCTGTTTTTTTCTTTCTTTTTTGGCTCCTGGACATTTAGGAGGCTAATTTTTTTGGCATATGGTAATAATAAGCAGTTATTCCTCAGATAAAAATGTGAAATTCAGGATCCCAGATTTATTGCCTATAGGTTGGCTTGATTGGTCATTGTATATTTGAAATTAACAGCTTTGAAAACATCTCCATTGCTTTTGGATATATAAGCAACAATTTATTTGGATGATGATTTTGAGTTTCAAAATAGTGATTACCCTTGGGGGAGCTAAGTTAGATATTGAGAAACTCGTGATAAGGTGACTGCCTAGACCCATGGACCTTTGGAGATCTGAGTACGGTGGAAAAGTGAATTACTAGTAATTAATGTTTTTGAATTTTACAGGCCAACAAGAAAGGTAAATCCCCAGCAGCTGTCCCCTCTCCGTCTTCTTCTGCAGCCGTACAGCGTGAATCTCGCCCAATCAAACGATCTCCAGCTCATGTCTCCAACACAGCTCCACTTAAACCGAGCAAACAGCCACGACCGACTCGCTCCAGTAGTGTAGAACAGAGGCAGCTTGACAGCTTTCCTGGTAAACATTGACATTAATAATGACTCGCTCATCTGTTCTTAAAGTATAATTACACGTACATTTCATAACATGAATTGCTAAATGGAATTTTTTTCACAGGAAAACCAAGGAGAACACGTAGATCTTCAGGATTAACAGAATCTTCAGACTTGGTTTCTCAAGGTCAATATGAAATTTTATTAAATACATGTACTTCAGATGTAAGAATTGACAGCACTAATTGTCTGTCTACTATTACTAGTACCCTGAGCATTCACAAAAAAGTCTGTCTCTTTTAACAAATACATTTAAAATTTTAGGTGTCCAATAGGGTTTTTGTATTTTGTCATCAATTAACTTCCCCCAGAATGCTTGTTTTTCTTACATTGTCATTCTGTTTAATAGGATCAGTGAGTGATGACAACAATGAGTTTGAAGGAGATATTGAATCTGATGGAACAGAATCTGTTGAGCTTAAGTCCAACAGAGACAAGGATGAGGTGTCTGAAAAGACAGAAGACTCTAAGATGGATAAATATGATGATGAAAAGTCATCGTTGGTAGATTATGGTAAAATCATGGATAAGAAAACAGATATACTAGCTGTAGAACAGGATTTACTCAACAAGGCTGCAGAAATCGAAAAAGTTGTCGAACTTGGTGAAATTAGACACAACAAGTCAGGTGATTCTAAGTTAGACATTAAAGGAAAGGAAGAACAGTCTGAAAAAGTGGAGGATCAAGTTGTAAAGAGTCCTCCCAAACTGGACAGCATTGGAAAAAGTCAGGAACTGTTTCCAGCAAAGGATTTGGAAATGCCTACCATTCAGGCCATTGATGAACAGGTTTCAGTAGGATCACCTGCAGGAAGTAAAGAAAAGAAAGAAGATGGGAAAATTACTTCAAAGGAAGTTGACTCAAAGGAAGTATCTGAGGACATGTTACCTGGAAAGGCTGTAAAAAATGGTGAGGGAAGTCCGGTTACCAGTGGGGATGACAGGTTTGAATTTAAGGATGAAGAAGAGACTGAAAAATTCCCTGAGTTACCACTGGAGAAGGAAGGCAAGGAGAAATCAAAGATGACAGATTCAAAAGATAAAACTGAAGTGGAGGTAGAGAAGAAGCAGAGAGGAAGAAAGAAAGACCCAAATAAAACAATGGAGAAGAAGGAACCAGTGAAAGAGAAAAAGAGGGGGAGGCCTTCTCTGGCTTCCATAGCAGAAAAGAAAGCAGCCAATCAAGTAATGACAAAATCCCAGGAGGACAGTGAGCCAAAGAAAACAAAAGAAAAGTCTGCAGAAGATATTGGAGATGTTTCCATGGTTTCACCAAACAAGCAGGAGGAGGTGGCTTTTGAACCTGTCACAAAAAATGATGAAGAAATTACAAGAGAGGAGAATGAATTTGAGAAAAAGAAAGTGAAAAAGAAACTAAAGAGAAAGGTTGAGGGAAGCAGTGACACAGAGACAGAGAAGAAAGAGAAGAAGGAACCTGCCAAAGGAACAACAGGGAAGTCCAACAAAGCAGAAAAGACTGTGAAATCCAAAGGAAAGAAGATGAAGGAAGAAGAGGAAGCTGATTCTGTGTGTGAGTGGGAGGAGACTAGTCAGGGAGACAGTGATATTGTGTCTAGTGACTCTAACAAACCACAGTCTGTGATATCATCAGAATCAATTACAGTGGGTGCTGAACATTCTGAAAGTGCTAATAAAGATATTACAAAAGACATTGGTGCCAACCTTCCAGAATCTTATGTAGAATCAAAATCAGAGGAGTCTGTGGACTTCAAGTCTTCTGCCAGTCGCTTACCAAACTCAAGTGCTTTGTATGAAAACACCCCACCCACCACTCCTGAACACGAAATGGATGCTCCGTCTTCATCACAGGAGCTAACAGTGGAACTGGTGAAGACTGACTGTACCAACAGTAATGATCAACAGTATGCAAGTGAGTCCCCATCAGGTAATGCCAGTCCATCCTCGAATGATGGCAGCGTGGGAAGTGGCAATGTGGCATGTTCTGAGAGCAGCAATAATGAGGCACCTGTTCATACTAGTCTGGGCAAACGCAGGAGGGAATCGGAAGATGTCACACCCACTAAGAGGAAGAGAAGGGGGAAGCAAAAAACAGAGAGGAAGCTAAGCAAGCAGACAGGTAAAATACTTCATCCAGAATATTCTGTTGATATCTTGATCCCAGAAAAGGCTTTTGTCTTATGATTCATGATTAAGTATTAATGTCCATCTCCAGACTTTGATTTGTGAATATAAAATTGACAATTTTTGACTTGTAATATTTTAATGTGATGCAGGGAGTGACAGTGATGAAGTGTCAGAAAGACGTTACAGCCCCGAACCAGGATATGCTTCCCCAAGCAAAACGACCACCCCTGTCAGGTCACAGAGAGCACCCCGATATCAGCTTAATCTAGGTAAGTACCCAATAAAACAACCACCCCAGTCAGGTCTCAGTCACAGAGAGCTCCCCCCCCCCCCCCCCCCCCCCCCCATCAACATAATCTGGGTAATTATGTGTTGAGCACCCCGATATCAGCTTAATATGGGTAAGTACCCAATAAAAAGACCACCCCAGTCAGGTCTCGGTCACAGAGAGCCCCCTTATATCAGCTTAATCTGGGTAAGTATCCAATAAAATGCCAAATTTTATGTTGATAAAGATCTGTGGCACAAATGCAGTATTATACATGGACTCTGTAATTCAAACTTTGGGCAAGTATGGTCTGAAAGGATGCCACTTTATTATCTTAGGAATATGTGAAATATTAGCAATACGTGTATCACATGAAACAGAACATAAGCATATTATCGAATCAATTAATGGTGTTGTGAAATTTTGTCTCATTTATAGAGGAAGGCAAATACTTAGAGGGAGAAAAACGAATTTCTTTCCTAATGGAGAAAATTCAAGAAATACGCAAAATTTATATGAATCTCAAATCAGAGGTGGCATGTATCGACAGACGAAGAAAACGTGCCAGAAGACGGGAAAGGGAGAGAGAAAGTAAGATTGTTTAACAGAGTAAGGATAAAAAGAGATCTGTTAATGGAAGAAGTACTAGCTAAACATTGTACTAGTTAAATATTGTACTAGTTCAGGGATAGACATTAACTTTCAGATTCACTTGCCCTTCGGGCAAGTGATCTCAAACTTTGACTTGTCCGAATACAAAACTTGGTTGCCCAAATTAGGAAAGAACTTATGAAGAAAATTATTTATTACTGTAAACCGCTTCGTGATCTGGAGGTCGTGACATCGAATATCGGCCGCGACTGACCTAAGTCGATAGAAAATGGGTAGCAACTGTTCCTTCGCCATGCGCTCGACACTTTGAAGTGAAAGTTGCGGGTTCTTCGGATGAGACCTTAAAAACCGAGGCCCCGTGTCACAGCAGGCGTTGGCACGATAAAGATTCCTCACTGCTCAATGGCCCTGAGTGCTGAGTAAAGGTCAAAATTTGAAGCCCTTCACTCTATATGAGTGAAAAATTCTCGAATGGAATTCTCGTAGAACAACATACAATCAATCAATCAATATTACTGTAAACGTTATGATAAGAAAAAATGTGACCAAATACACTACTGTCAATTTGGCAAGTTTAGCTACCTGAAAAAATTTGCGATGCTGCATTTGTACATAAATGTATACCACTGTACTTGTAAATTTAACCTGTTAGCGCACACTGCCATGCAGCAGTAACCCTCCGTTTCCTTTTAATAAAATTCATTAAAAATTATTTTTGGTAGGATCCTTTTGTGAATCGCGACTTTCAGAGAAAACTCTGAAGCAACGCTAAAGGAAGATAGTTGCTACGAAACATACATCTTATCTTAATCAGGATACATCCTGTTACAATGTACTTATATTTTGTGCGGGAATAAATAATCTAATTTCCTAATAAGAAGTTAACAAAATTTTGTTAGACGTAGAGTGTATTTACCATGAAAGAAAATAACAAACCTGATTTTTAAATGAACGGTATAATACAGAAATGCTAGCAAGGGATTCCGAATGCAAAAACAGGTCAGGTACGTTGCAGAAATAAAGTGTTCAATTTATTGTTTTATTTATAAATTAATGTAAACTAAATAAATATGTACATATGAATGAAAAAAATTCACTTGCCCTATTGGACAAGTGCATCTACAATTTCACTTGCCCGAACTGATGATTTACCTGTCCCGGGCAATCGGACAACCGTTAATGTCGATCCCTGTAGTTAAACATAGTAATAGTTCGATATTGTACTAGCTAAACATTGTACTAGCTAAACGTACTAGTTAAATATTGTACTAGTCAAATGTTGTACTAGTTAAATATTGTACATGTACTAGTCAAACATTGTACTAGTTAAATATTGTACTAGTAAAACATTGTACTAGTTAAATATTGTACTAGTCAAACATTGTACTAGTTAAATATTGTACTAGTCAAACATTGTACTAGTTAAATATTGTACTAGTCAAAAATTGTACTAGTTAAATATTGTACTAGCTAAACTGTGTATTAAGTGTAGTAAGAAGTATAAATTTCTCCAAAAAATATGCATGAAAATTTGCTTAACTTTCAGATTACATTTGTAAGATGAGCTTTTTCTTGATGCCTTTTTTTTGGTGTGTACTGTATATGAATGGTCAGGATGTAGGTTTGACATGTTGCATTGTGAGTGTTTCTCAGTGATAGATTTATGTGTGAATAGTGATCACTTTTCTTTATGTTTGTAGGTGCTCAGAATTCCTCCAGTGGTACTCCGGAGGGGGAAACCCCCCGGTGACAATGAATGACTTCACAACCATTGTATTCATCATGCGTAACCCAGTGAAACTTTGGATTCACCACTGCATTGCTCTGATGTGTTCAGGAAAAACAACACACCCAGCTGAATCTCTCAAATAACAGGATTATATTTCTCCAATAGCTAGGCTGTTGATGTTTCTTTAATCCATTGACATTTGTTTTCTGATTCCAAGAAAAGTACACTTTGTAAATGAAAAGACAATAATCAATGTACATAGTCTATTTTATTACAGTTTTGTAATAACTGCAACTGATGCTTGTTTTACATATGATATTTATGTAAAAAGAAAATGCAAGAGGTTTTCTAAACAGTGATTTGATGGGTAAAAATATTTACTATTACATGAAAGTCATATTTCCTAAAGATAATGCTTGGCATAATTTAGGATTTTTTTATCTTAGTTTGTCCTGTGCCAGTAATACACAGAAGTGTGTGTGTGTTTTTAGTTTAAATTTGTCAATGTTACAGGCAGCATAGAGTTATATTAAATATATTTATAGGTATTGAGTCCATATGGTCGATAGAAAACAAAATGATTTCAGATTTTACAGGAGATTTGAGCAGAGACACTTTGTCTTAGTTAAAACACTGCCGAGTTATTTAACATGAATGGTAGTTTTCATTGCGCCATTTAAAGAGGCATGCTATCCATCTGTAGAATTAGGATATTAATGAGGGCAATGTATACATGCACAATCGAGCATGTAGACCTAGTTTCTTGGTTTTTTTTTCCCCTTTTTTTAACAATTAGACATCTGAGTTACCAAACAAAAACAATGTTAAGGCCAGAAAAGGTCAGGTTCCATATTTATTACAGACATTCAGGTTTACCAACATATATTTAAACATGTGTTGCAGATCTTTTTTCTTCACCTATGGGAAATGTGCAATTTTGTATAATATACAAAACATGTATGTACCAAAAAAAAATTAACACCTAAAAAAGGTTTCCATTTTTCCAATTTTGCTTATGATAGAACAAATCATTTTCATCAATACATGTATAAATGCCTTTCAATTCATTGTAAAGGGAATAGTTTCAAAACCAATTTTTCACTTTACATTGTTTTTATTAAGTTTCTTGAAAAATAAATTATTTTCAGGTTTACCTGTGAGATTTCTAGAATCTGCATGGCAGGTAATGCTCAGGAAAATAAAAAAAACCAAACTCTCTAAGGACAGTCGGCAATCATAGTTAAGTGCTTAGGTGGAACATTTGGAAATTGCTCCTTTGTATGAGATTTTAGAGTTTATGCTTAAGTACAATTTTTTAGGAATCATTTTATTTCTGAGGTTATGAATTTGATTTTAAGATACATGAAATGGTCTCGGTATTTAATCTATTTATAGAATGTTATTATAATTATGTAGGAGCATTCCAAAGAGAAGATTTTTGAGGTAAATCTAGCTTGTTACAATCAATAGTAGGTTGTACATGCTGTTAACTACAGCTAAATGTGATACATGTTATTTATTTCACTGATGCCTGGATAATGACAGTAATCATGACTCAAGTCAAATACGATTTGATTTGATGAAATATTTATGGACTGTAACAGTATCTGTCAGAAAGAAATTTAAAACAATGTTTTGTTTTTGTTTTTTTTTAAATTGGGTTAGATATAGAATGCCAACCAACATTATTTTACATGTAGAGTAGGGAGTGAATATATCCTACCAGAATGTATTGTGTATACATGTAATAAGTTGGTTCTCTCTTGATGTAACATTTCATGTTCAAGCAACTGGTCCACAATTTTTGTCATGTTTTGAAGGCCATTAATGAAATATTGCTCTGGCCTTTTGATGATGTTAGAATACCAGTACACAGATTTTTCTGTGTAACATTAGAATTTTTGTACAGTTTATTCTATCTTATTTATTACTCATCGATAAACTGTAGAAATTTAAACTTTTGTTATTCCTTGCTTTTGATTTGCAGAATTAATGTTTGGAAGTAAAGTCATGAGTCCTACTGAAATATCTTTAATGATCCAATTTTCTGAGAGAAAAAACACTAGGAAATAAAAGGAAGATGTTTAAATAAAGGAGAGAAGGTATATTAAGAACCAGCAGGTACTCCATAGTACTTGAGGTTTAGATGCAATGATCTTAGAACTTGGTACTTTACTTAAACTGGAGCAAAGTAGAACTGGAGAAAATTGAAGATACATGTTGACTTAAGGAGGGTTTAAGTATCCCCTGCTGACTGGTCACACCTGCCTGAGCCCTATGTATTGATAAGGTAGAGAGAACTTTAACCTTGGCCATTACTTTTGAACAGTGGGTGCTAGGAGATTCATATATCATGTGTATTTCTTGTGAAAAGATCTTTCTTTGGGTATCAACATTTTTTACCTTATGACCTCAAACTTGGGAGTTTGACCTACATTTGAAAAAAAAAAATTAACCTCACTTTTAACTTTGAATGGTTGCTGCTAGGGCTTTTAAATTTCACTTACGCATTCCTTGTGACAAGAACTTTCGTTTGGTACCATTATTTTTTGTCCTCATGACATTGACCTTGGAGCATGACCTACTTTTTGAAAAAACTTTAACCTGGGCCGTTTTCTGAACGTTTGGTATTAGGGCTATATTTCACATGTTTATTCCTTGTGACAAGACCTTTCTTAGGGTATCAACATTTTTTAACTCTTGACCTTGGAGTTTGACCTACATTGGAAATAGTTAACTTTGGCCTTGAGCTACCATGCATACGTTTCTCAAACACATGTTGTATTTTACAAGCAAAATTTTTTCTGACATAAAAAGTAGCACCTTATATATGTGCCTATGTAAGCGTGTGTAAACATTCATTGAAATCAAGATGTGGGTTTAACATCAACTACGGAAACAAATTACACTGAGGATGAAACATACGAATATTTAACGAACGATTTATTTAATATCCAAAAACCGGAAATAAACAAGTGCACGCTGTGAGAAGGATCTTGACTGCTTGTGGGAAGATAAAAAGCAGGTAAGAAGTATATTTGCTGTTTACTAGTGATGTAGAAAGCGTATTTATGATTATGCCAAGAAAAATCGTCAAATATTACTTGTAGTGCACTGACTGCACCACCAGAAACTTTGTCCCTTTCATCATCACACTGACCAGGTCTGGTACAATCACTAGATTTAGCTACGTAGCTTGAATTAACTACATAGCTTTAATATTTACCTACCTGAAGTAGCTTTACTTAGCTACTAAATCAAACTTATTTCTTAAATTAGCATTTTTCCCAGAAAGTGCAGAAAATTGCACTTTGACAGCTGTTTGATGCAGTGATAATTTGCATTGAATTCATAAACCATTTATATCTCTTTTATTTACTTTTAGGGATATGAAAAAATCAACTAAGTCCGTTCCAGAAATAAAGAAAAAACATAAAGGGAAGGCATCTGACCGAGCTAAAGATAAACATCCAAACACGAAACCACTTCAAGATAATATATCTGATGTCAAGAAAAAGAAAATTTCAGGAGAATCGGAAAAGAAAAAGCTAGCAAAGTTATTTAATGAGAAATTGTGTTTGTTAGATACACCACCCAAGAAGCAGAAAAGGACTTCCAAATCAGAAAGAGAAAAGCTTGCTGAATTATTTGGTGCCAAAGTCACATTGTCTAGTCCAAAACATGAGAAACAGGTAAGTCTTGTACTTCATAATAAATAATAATTTCCGGTTTTTCAAATAGACATCATACACTGGCAATTGATTTCCATTTCATTTTGAATTTTATTTTATTAATAACAGTTTTATCTTATTAATTATACCCTTAAAGGATCCAGAGAAGAGAGATGAAACTTTAACAAGTCAACACAAGAAAACTAAAAATTCAGCTAAACAGCCTATACTGCAAGAATTTCCTCATGGTCAACAGAAAAAGAAGTAAGTTTATATATATAAATATATATATATATATATATATATATATATATATATATATATATATATATATATATATATATATATACACACACACTATATATATATTTGAAATGAAAGCACAAACACTTTACTAAACGTAGATATACTGACTTCACAGAAAAGCATATCGATCGAGCTCAAGGTATTTAATTATATATATATTTTTATCAAGAATAATTTTAATTTGTCATATTATCCTAAAGGTATAGATCACAACTATGTACAACAATTAATTGTTTAATCTTAAAGGAAATCAAAAAGGAAGAAAAATGAAGAAAAGTGGGAAAGTCCTATCAATGTAAAGATGCCGACAGTAATACAAACTAAGGTTAGCAAGACAAACAAACACTGATACACTAAAAAATAATGTCTGCTGAGTGTTGATTCTCAATTGAAAAGTCAAAACACTAATAAACAATGCCTGTTGAGTGTTGATTCTCAATTGAAAAGTCAAAACACTAATAAACAATGCCTGTTGAGTGATTCTCAATTGAAATAAAAGTCAAAACACCAATAAAGAATGTCTGCTGAGTGTTGATTCTCATATGTCAGATACATGTATGTTTTTGGTATCTGCATATCATTCATTCATACTCCTGTATCAATTCTTTTTCAAGAAAAAAAAGGTCATACACACATACTTTTTACAATGCACAGAACCATTGGTGCATCTATGATCTAACCACAATTAAACCATTTCAACATAATTTTTCTAGGAGAAAAGCATCAGTTAAGATGAAGTATCCATCTTCTAAATTACCCAGTATATCAGGGTACTCTTTGTAAAGTTGTTATAGGCAAGATACAACAAGTGTTTACAGGTACCATATATACTTGCCTATAAGTTGGTTTTTTGGGAGTTAATTTCTGGTCTAAAACTCTTATGTCCGACTTATAGGCGAGCCATAAAAAGATTGGTATTTTTTTGAAGGGCAAAATGTTATATTTTATAAACATATCCGACGATTATTGTTGAACAAAGTCTTGATACATTATATCATTTATGTATTCTGAGATTATGCATACACACTTGATAAAGTACAAGTATTTACATATTTTTAGTAACTTTACTTTAATCTTTAGTGTGCATTTCTTATTTTTTTTTTTAAATGATTTAAAGTTACATATCAGCATCATTTCTAAAAATGTTCAATGAAACCAGGTGAAAAGATCAGAGCATTGATTTGAAATTGTCAACCGATTCTTGCAAAAAGTTGTACCGACTTATAAGCGGACCAATGGCAAACCCCTCCAAAATAACCTCAAAAAATACAAAAGACTTATAGGCGGACCGACTTATAGGCGAGTATATAGGTACATGTAACAAAAACAAATGTATACAGGTAACAAACATACTCAGGTAACAAAAACAAATGTTAACAGAAAACAAACATACTCAGGTAACAAAAACAAATGTTTACAGGTAACAAATATACTCAGGTAACAAAAACAAATGTTTACAGGTAACAAACATACTCAGGTAACAAAAACAAATGTTTACAGGTAACAAACATACTCAGGTAACAAAAAAAAATATATACAGGTAACAAAAACAAATGTATACAGGTAACAAACATACTCAGGTAATAAAAACTAATGTATACAGGTAACAAACATACTCAGGTAACAAAAACAAATGTTTACAGATAACAAAAACAAATGTATATAGGTAACAAACATACTCAGGTAATAAAAACAAATGTACATACTCAGGTAATAAAAACAAATGTATACAGGCAACAAACACACTCAGGTAACAAAAACAAATGTATACAGATAATAAACATACTCAGGTAACAAAAACAAATGTTTACAGGTAACAAAAACAAATGTATACAGGTAACAAACATACTCAGGTAACAAAAACAAATGTTTACAGGTAACAAAAAAAAATATTCAGGTAACAAACATACTCAGGTAACAATAGCAAATGTATACAGGTAACAAATATACTCAGGTAACAAAAACAAATGTTTATGGGTAACAAAAACAAATGTTTACGGGTAACAAAAACAAATGTATACAGGTAACAAACATACTCAGGTAATAAAAACAAATGTTTACAGGTAACAATAACAAATGTATACAGGTAACAAACATACTCAGGTAACAAAAACAAATGTTTACAGGTAAGAATAACAAATGTATACAGGTAACAAACATACTCAGGTAACAAAAACAAATGTTTACAGGTAACAAAAACAAATGTATACAGGTAACAAACATACTCAGGTAACAATAACAAATGTTTACAGTTAACAAACATACTCAGGTAACAAAAACAAATGTTTACGAGTAACAAAAACAAATGTATACAGGTAACAAACATACTCAGGTAACAAAAACAAATGTATACAGGTAATAAACATACTCAGGTAACAAAAACAAATGTATACATGTAACAAACATACTCAGGTAACAAAAACAAATGTTTACAGTTAACAAACATACTCAGGTAACAAAAACAAATGTGTACAGGTAACAAAAACAAATGTATACAGATAACAAACATACTCAGGTAACAATAACAAATGTATACAGGTAACAAACATACTCAGGTAACAATAACAAATGTTTACAGGTAACAAACATACTCAGGTAACAAAATCAAATGTTTACAGGTAACAAACATACTCAGGTAACAAACACAAACATACTGAAGAGAATATTCTTCTCATGACAATTTTTACAAGCATTTTATATTGTTATCAGTTGGAGCAAAAATTATTTAAATTACCAGTACATTTACTTGGTAGCTCTAACCTCATTTAAAAGAGAAACTGTGATTAAGTTTTACTACTATATGTAGACTGATTGATTATTTCTGATCATTGCTGCTCATCTTGTAAGCTATTCTGATAAACTCATGTCTTGTACATGGGAATGATAATAAAAAACTAAATATTCAACTTCCAGGAATCGGACCAGGGAGGGACAGCTGATGAGTGTGATGAGGGTCAAGAAGATAGATCTAGAAGCATGTCAGGATTCTGTCCCCCTCCAGGAATTGTCCACGAATCATTGGTGAAAGCAAAGTAAATACAGTGTAGCTATGTGCATACACAGCTTGATAATGGGATTCAGAAAAGTAGATCTTTAGGATTTATTGTACTTATTACTGTGAATTTTTTTCTGCAAAATGCAAACATGGATGTTAGGAATTTTTACTATCTCTGATGATTCCTTAAATGATGTGTGTTTTACTGTATCTTGATAAAGAGTAGGAAATACCATATTTTTCTGCTGCAATTCTGTGGTTTATATGCATTCTATATTATTCAAATTACATGTACTTTCTGTGTACATGTATATGGTGAATGTTACAAGACATTTTTTCAATGAGCAACATCAATGCATATTGTAAGAATACATTTATATCATATTATAAGAATAATTTATCTTGATATGCTTAAAGCTCATTTTATTGATTCTTCATTGGAAAATATTAATTGATTCAAAGAGAGAAGTCAAAGAAAAAGACATCCCTGGATGTTGATGAGGGTGATGAAGATGAAGAGGAAAAACCGAAGAGAGAGAAATCTAAACGTGACATGAGTAAAGACTTCAGGACAGTGTTTGTAGGCAATCTTCCCGTCACCACCGATAAAAAGGTATAACTATTCCTGTAAAAGTCATTAGACATTAGTGATAAACAAATAATATACTGAGACAGAGTTCTATATCTTTATCTGATTCTCTTGTACAGCCTTCTCAATACTTGAACATAAATTCAAGCTTAATTTCTTTTTGTAGGGGCTTTACAAGTTATTTAAGAAATTTGGATCGATTGAGAGTGTTAGATTACGCTGTGCAGTAAGTCTTTTATTACATGTATTTCACTACACAAGAGCTGTATGTACTTCATAGTTAGTATATATATATATATATATGTCTCAGTGTGAATAGTTAGTATATACATGTAGGTCTCTCACTACACAATAAGTTATGACCAGTCCGATATTTATACCCCTGCTCAGGAGAGGGGGGTATACTGTTTAACCCTTGTATGTCTGTCTGTAAGTCTGTCTGTCCGTAACAAATTTTTGTCTCAGTTTTCTCAGCAACAACCCAAGGCAGATGCTTGAAATTTTAGCACACTCTTTGTTTATTACATTTTCTTTGATTTTTCCTTTGCCTCTGTCTTTTCTTAACACACACTATAGGCTGTGATGTTATAGTTGAGCAGTTGAGACGTCATAGCTTAGCAGTTGTGAGATTGAAAACATTGTAACATGGATTTAAGCAAGTAAACATATTTTGAAGAAATTGGCAAGTTTAGATGGTTTAGTAACTATCTTTATCTTATGACAGGCCAGAAATTATTTTTTACTTGCTTTGATATCCTGTCACACTGTGAGAGAATATCACTTTGGTATCCTGTCACACTGTGAGAGAATATCACTTTTATTCAATAAATAACTCACAGTATTTCACTGTTAAAAATGTAATGAAAAGAGGGATTCAACAGTTTTGGTAGTTCATGGTGACTGTTCAATTTATTGACATCACCATGTTGGCATACAGCCAAGATAGCAAATGAAATGGCAGACAACAGAAAACTGCATTATAACATAATGACAACAGCATGCAAGACAAATTCCTTATGGGAAATATTTAAAGAAGTCAACTTTAGTTTATGTTGAAGATTGAAAGTCTTGCTTTGCTGTGAAGTATCGCTCTTATTCTGAGCTACCTCTTTGTCACTTAGAAAGCTGATACTCAAAGTGCATTATTGTCTGTAGTACTTGATTCCAAATCTCTTAATCTGATATAGTATATAAACAATCTCTTAATCTGATATAGTATATAAACATGTTTTTGTAATATAAATAGTAGAGTGGATAAGAACCCAGTTTAACTTTAACTGCTATATTTGATGCTTTTCTATGTGCACTAGAATACCCTGGAGACGTGATTCTGTATTTTTCCAATAGAAAACATTCTGAGGACTTAAAATTGAAACTGGAACAAGCATTGATTATTACAGTCACACCATGTTCTTTTACAGCCCAGATCAAACACAAAGTTACCTAAAAGGGCTGCTATAATCTTGTAAGTAAATGTTTTTTAACAACTTCATCTATTTTCATAAGTTCTAGAGGTGGAATCATTTCCACGCCTAGTAAATATGAATTTTGTTATGACTGTAAGTGTGGTAGTCAGGCCAGGTATCTCAACTGGTAGATCACCTGTCTAGAATTCAGGAGGCCCTGGGTTCAAAACCTGATCTGGTCCATCACATTTTCTCCCTTCCTTTATGCAAGGTAGAAATGTTTCTTATTATCTTTGCAGGAAAGACTTCCACCCAGAACGGGACAACATCAGTGCTTATGTCTGCTTCAGGGAGGAGGACTGTGCCAAAAAGGCCCTGAAAATGTCAGTCTATAAGATAAACTTTATTTAAATTCAGGTTTTCAAATTTGCAAAATAACATTTATAGCTCTACTGAACTTTTGAGCAACAACATTGTATCAGTCAGAACAACTGTTTGTTAAGTAGGGTAATGTATATGTAAGTAGTACATTGATTATGTATTTGCTGTTTTTGTAGATATACATGTATGTATATAACAATCAAGAAAAGGAGTACATGTACTTAATGCATTAACAATTTACCAGCAGAGCTTTAGAAACATGCTCTCTGTGGTAGTGGCAAGAGGAAATAATTGTCATTATGCTCTGTGTATATGCTTCTTAGATTGATGTGTTGTTGGTTTTTGATTTGTTTGTTTGTTTGTTTGTTTTTAATTCAGACAATGATCTTTTTCTTCTCTTTTAGGAATGGAAAACTAGTTGAAAACCTTCACATTAGAGTTGACATGTCGAACCATGACCCAAGGGTAAACTTTGTAAAATAATCAGTTGGTAGTAAAGTTAAAACCTATTGATAAAATTTAAAACTTTACTACCACAGTAACATGTAATTTAGAATTGACATACTTAATTTTTTTACTTTGAAAATCATAAATTTGATTGCAGATTATGAATGAAAGATATTAGTAATGAGATAATGATTTACATATGTATTTTCAGACGGATTTTAAGCGCTCCATCTTTGTTGGCAATCTTGCACTAGGTAATGTACCTTATCCTTTTTATGGATTTTCTATCAATGGGTATTCCAACTTTATTATAGACCCCCCCCCCCCCCCCCCCCCGCTTGAAACGTGGGGGATATATAGTGATGGGGGTGTCCATCCATCTGTATGTCCTTTCATTATGCATTTGGGTACCCATTTCTTTTTTGCAACTCCTCCTATACCACTGAATAAAATTTAATGAGACTTTCCTTGAATCTTTATTATGTAGTGCCATTGTGCACCTCATATTTTAACTTTTTTATCTGCCATATATTTCAGGTTTCCCTTAGCAAAACGCAGACACTGCCATTCTTTCTATAATATTGAGGGGTTATACCCATCTCTAATCACAACTCCTCCTATACCACTGAATAAAATTTAATGAGACTTTCACAGAATCTTTATTACATGGTGTCATTGTGCACCTCCTACTTTATACATGTATTTTGATTGGACAGTTATTTGGACTTTCTTATGGCAAAAACTGGACTTTGCCATTATATTAATATGGGAGCAGGGGTATCATTTTGTGAGCTCACTGCATCTCTAGTTTTTGGTGTAATTTATATAATTTTTTTGTGAAGTACTGGACATATTTTTTATAGATGTCAAGGAAGAAGATATAAGAAACCATTTTGTTAGCTGCGGAAAAATTAGAAATGTTCGCGTCATTCGTGATAACCAGTCTGGTGTTGGCAAGGGAATCTGTTATGTAACATTCAAGGTAAAAAAGGCACCAAAAAGACCTTTCTGTAAATGTCTCTTCCATATTCAGTCCATATTAGTTTTAGACTCTTGGAATCTGTCACTCTAAGTTCTTTATTCTTAAATCATGGTAATTTTAGACATTACTTTACCTATAAAAAAATAACTTTATTAATACATGCTTTTACACAAGTCATGGATGTTTAGAGAAAATGAAATACTACTGTAGCTGTGATTTCATTGGTAGTCAACAGTATTCTATTCTATCTACACTTTACAAACTTAAGGAAGACAATTCCTGATTACATTTCATTATCTTATTACTTTGTACTTTTGTTTTCAGTCCAAGGATTCTGTGGGACTGGCGATGAAACTGAAAGGCTCAGAGCTATCTGGCCGTAAAGTGAGAATAGAATACTGTCTGGAAAACCCAAAGAAAGAGCAGAAAGTATCCTTTACATGTATTTTGTTGGTCACATGTCTAGAAAAATATTGATAGCAAATTTTAAGCATGTCTTTGTTTCTTTGACATCATTTGATTGTTACATATTTCATTCAGTAATACCACTCACTAAATATATACTCCAGCATATCCATTATGCCTGTCTTTATTGGGAAAATCTCGTGTAGAGTACATTCTTTGTCTCTGATGTACACTATGTTTATGTGTGAATTAATTTTACACAAGCAGTAGGGTCACCATAAGTTTTCTTTAACTAGTTGTCAGATGAAGAAAGACAAGAAACCTCAAAGAAAGGCTGATAAACACAAGAAAAAAACATACTTTCATATGCGACCCAGTAATGTAAAAAATAGTGCCGTTTTCCAGAAAAAAATTCGTTCCAAACAAAAGAAGAAAAAGAGGCAGGGTCACAGAAAATGATGGACATTCTTTGTCTGGTCCCCTTTTCTAGAACTCAATTCTGCAATGGAGAATCAAAATGATCTAAAGATTAACATTTCCGTTTCTTATAATTGAATAAATTACAAGATAAGTGTCATACCTGTGCCTCTGTCTGTTCAGTACAGAGCTGGCTAATGCCATGTGTAATTCTGAGTAATACCAGTAATTTATCAATATGGAGCAGCTAATATGTATGTCTAAGAGATGCATCTAAAGGATGCATCATTTAAGAGGATATTAATTATTAACATTACAAGAATTTTTAGTATATGTGTCTGAGACAGATTGCAGAATGCATCTAATTGATGCATCAATTAATTATCAACATTTAATAGAAGATTTCATGGAAATATTTTGTGTTGATGAAGTACATGGTTATATGTTTTCATGATTATACCTCGGATGTTATTTAATAATGAAAAAATAAAGTGTTACAACAAAAGGATGTGTTTACATAGGCTGGATTGCACAGTTAAATACATATCATGGGTGGAATGCCTTTTTAGCTCACCTGAGCTGAAGGCTCAAGTGAACTTTTCTGATGAAAATTTGTCCATTGTCTGTCTCGGCATTGTCGTTTTAAACTTTTCACTTTTTTTACTTCTTCTTAAGAACCTCTGGGCCAATTTCAACCAAACTTGCCAGAAAGAATTCTTGGATGAAAGGGATTCAAGTTTTTTTTTTTTTCCAAATGAAGGACCACACCCTCTCTCAAGTAGAGATAATTAAGAATTAGTGAAAATGAAATGGCATCTTTTAAAAATCTTCTTCTCAAGAACCACCAGGCCAGAAGTGACAGCTTCATTACATGGTGTATAGGTTTAAGGTTGTTCGAACCATGAGCCCTGGGAATAGGGTGGGGCCACAGTGGACAATCAAATTTTTACATAGCAATACATACGAAAAGTCTTCTTCTCAAGAACAGCAAAGCCATGATAGTCATATTCATATGGAAGCATCTTCAGGTAGTGTAGATTCAAATTTGTTCAAATCATGATTCCAGAGGGTAGGGTGGGTCCACAATGGGTGTTCAAAGGTTTGCATAGGAATACATAGGAAAAATCTTCTCAAGAATGGCAAGGCCATGATCAGTTAAATTTATATGGAAGCATCTTCAGGTAGTGTAGATTCAAGTTGGTTCAAAACATAACCCCTGGGGGTAGGATGGAGGATGGGCAATCAAAGTTTTACATAAGGAAAACATAAGAAAAATCTTTTAAAAAAATCTTTCACACAAGAACAGCAAAGCCATGATGGATGATTAGTCATATTTATATGGAAGCATCTTCAAGTTTATTGAGATCATATCTCCTAGGGGCAGGGTGGAGCCACAATATGTGATCAATATTTTACACAGAATCATATCAATGATTTTTCTACACCCAATTTAGGTCCGAATATCGGCCCTTTCCCCTATAAAAAATTACCGATTTTTTCCCAATTTCAATTGCATTTTTCCCAAAATAAAACCGATGTTGTTTTTGTTATATTGAATTTTTAAGTACAACTTATATAAAATGGAACGCTATTATTCTCGGTCATTCAGACTCTTAAAATAATAGTGAGGAAGAGCAGATTATTTTGTGCGTTTACAAGACATAGAAAAACATATGGATCGTGTCAAACGTCAAACTTGTGTGTAAATACATCGTAAGAAAGTGTAAGATGAATGTGAACCAGTGAAACATAGCTTTATTTGTAAATCCAAGTACTAGAAATTCTACAACAAGCATCCCTTATTTAACAAAAATCAAATTTCCTACACTCGGCAGATGCAACTAATATTGCAGAGTAATTGCAGAAATATGATTAGGGTGATTTAGAAAGCTTTAATAATGAGTTAGAAAAAACGATTTGTCAGATTATTCCATCTTCAATGCCTATTATGAGTAGGATTTTCTCTTATGTCTACCATTATCTGATTATGGTAAAAAAAAAAGAAAAAAAAAAAAAAAAAAAGGAAATACATGTATTGGACAGTCACAATGACAACTTTCAAAGATTAAAAAAAAAGAGTTAAAAATGTAGAACTGTGTCTAATTTGTTATTTTGTAGTAAATATTTTTAATAAATGATCTTACATTTACGGTAACCAATATTTTATTTTACCTGTCAATTAAGGTTAATTTCAATCTTATTGATTTTTCCCAATTTGACACAAATGTCGATGATTTTTCCCAATTGTAAAGGCTCAGGCTCCGTTTAAAAAGTGTAGAAAAATCACTGCATATTGATAAAATGTTTAGTAATTCTTCTCAAGAACAGCAAAGCCATGATTAGTTATATTTATTTCAAAACATCTTCAGGTAGTGTAGATTCAAGTTTGTTCAACTAATGTCCCCTGGGGTAGCTATAATGTGTGATCAAATTTTTCATAGGAATATAGGGAAAAAATCTGCTGATGAAGAACAGCAGGGCTAGAGTGACTCAGGTGAGCATTGTTGCCCATGGGCCTCTTACTCTTCTATAGTGTCAACAGTTTTGAGCAGCTGTAGTTAAATTTTCAGTCTCCACATGAAGTAGATTAAAATTGATGTTTTAAATGCCTTCATCATAGTTAAGCTTAGCCTTGACATCAGTCAATGAAAATTTTTAAAATGTTTTTTTTTCATAACCAAGATCAAACACAGGTTAAATCAGGAGGATTTTTTCAGGTTCTGATGTTGACATTTCACCTCGGCATAAATTAAACACATAGACCTGTCTCTATTGTGAATAACCTATTCCTATAATTGTCAACATGATAATGAAGTTAATTCCCTGTTGAACTGCTACATGGGATCTTGGGTGTTCAGTGCCTGATGAAGAAGTAATAAAGGAGACAGTCATGACTTGAAAAAAAAAATTCTGTAATTGAAGCAAGTCTTACAGGACATTCTAAAGAGTTTGAATGAAGAGAGGAAAAAAAAACTTTTAGCAAACCACTTCAGCAGTGTGCTAAATCAACAATGTGGACTATTACCTAATATAACTGAAATGGTTATGCCGTGGATATCAGCCTGGGTAGCTCAGTAGGTAGAGCACCTGACTAGTGATTCAGGGGTCCCGTGTTCGATTCACGCTCCAGCCATACATTTTCTCCTTTCCTGTTACAGATTTGGTGCCGTTGACCACCCCTGGACTTGCAAGTGAAAGTCCTGCCAGGGGCTAGCTAATAAGAACTTGGGTTGTGTCTTCAAGGGTGAAGACAATTTAAGGAGAGAGGGATTTAATGGTTATGCCGTGGATATCAGCCTGGGTAGCTCAGTAGGTAGAGCACCTGACTAGTGATCCAGGGGTCCTGGGTTTGATTCGGCGGTCCAGCTATACATTTTCTCCTTTCCTGTTACATTACTGAGAGTGAACTGAGTAAGGGTCAGACTGAGATTGGGTAAGGAAGGAGAGATTTGGTTAACTTGAAGATAAACATGGTTGAACTGAGAGTGAAGAAGATGGAAGAACTAGACTGTACAACTTTGCATTCAATTTGAAATCATAATGAAATCTAATTTGTAGTTCACTCATGTGCTACTTGATGTCAACAAATGCTTACAGAGATGAAATAAGTGAATTTTAAGATAACAAACTGTGATCTATCTCAGTAAACCTACAAACACTACAAATATGTGAACAGGGCCATAAAACATTGACCCCTGGAAATTCCAAGGGTTGGATCAGGTGCTGAGGAGGAATAAGCATCCCTGTAGACCACTGGGGTCAAATGCTGGTTCGGGTCTCAAGGGGTGATACTTATGCCACTAGGTCTCACCACTTAAAACCTTGAGTTAATGCCCACCGTCTCTAAATAGGTTCTGCCAGCAAGTCACATGCCACACCTCCTCGTGGTGACCCTGGAAATGCTTTAGTAGCTAAGTGGCAGTGGCAAAAGGCGAGTGTCCGGCGCCTTGAAATAACTGGAACCCGTGGCTAAGGGAAGGATACCCTGACAGAAAACCACTGGCCCTCCGAGTCCAGGGGGTTGAGCTTAGGGCTAACAACCCTAACTCATAAAAAAAGTATTGTTACGGAAACAGTAACGAGGAATATCTCTATACCTGTGAATGAGAGCCTCTCTGGGACCTGCACTGGAACCAGTATGACTGTAGGTAGTGAAAGCCATTGGGAAACTACCAACACGAATAGGGAGGCCCTTAACACGGCCAAGACTAAGATCAAAATAGGATTCTGGAATGTACGTACTATGTATGCAATCGGTAAATTAGCACAAGTAACAGCCGAGATGAGAAGATACAACCTGCACGTGCTGGGAGTCAGTGAAAGCAGATGGACTGATTCAGGTAAAATACGCACAACAACAGGTGAAACATTACTGTATTCTGGTCGAGAAGATGGACTACATCATGAAGGGGTTGCAGTTATTCTCAAAAAGGGAATTGAGAAGTCTTTAATGGAATGGAAGCCAATAAACAGTAGATTGCTAACAGTACGGCTTAGAGGAAAGCAAGTCAACATGACATTATTCCAGTGTTATGCACCCACTAACGATGCAGATGAAGAACATAAAAATGCT